TAATGCTTACAATTACCTAGTTCTGTATAAGCTACAAATATTTGAAGCTGTCCGTTATAATCTAATTTTCACTTTTTATCTAATCGAATTTAAAAAGTAGACAAATACTGTAGCAATCTCTGTACTATTGTCTGAAAAAAAACTATTTTCAATCAGATATACGACTATCATATGTTTTCGTTTATGAGACTGCAGACTTTTACTTTAAAAGTGCTCCCCATATGGTAAACAATTATAGGTGGACAAAAATCAGACTTTTCCCGCCTTAAGAAAGTTCCTAGTTTATTTCGTTGTGGAAAACAAACAAAGAATTTCCGTTATTCCTTCTTTCCCCAGTCGCTATTTTACATATACAGAACTAGAGAATTAAATATCCTCACTGATATATGTGTAATAACGAAGCATTAATATGTTGATTCGTTGCAAAGTGTTATTAATTGTTAGATGTTTTTGACTAATGGGAGTTTATGTACAAACAGTAGTGTCTTCAGATGTCTATTGAAAATTTTTTTTTAACGATTGAGTTGTTTTCTGTTGTTAGATATCCACCGTAAATATCACTGTTTCAAAAAATTTTTCTTTATCTAGCCCCTACTTTGGACCACCTGCTGACCTATTCTCACTTGGTGTTACACTTCTCACAGCTGTCACTGGTCAACGTTGTTGGTCACGTGCCAGTTATACATCCGATCCTGTATATCGCCAATGGACTGAACATAAAGATTTGCACACAGGTCCTGTGTTTTCCCGACTTCCTCCTGACTTAGCCAACTTTCTCACACGAGCCTTGGCTCATCGTCCTTCTGATCGTCTTACTATTGAATGCATTAAAAATCATCCTTGGTATCGCCTTGGTCTTGCCCGACGTCTAACTCCTGTCGCGTCACCGCGAAGCAGACAAGACTCAGGTGTATCTGTAAATACTGTCGTACCAAACAGCGACCGTACCAACACTTCACGCAGCACTTATCAAGGAGATGCGCCAGGTTTGTGCATAATTTTTTGGTCAGGTTTTCGCTAAATATGGATACTAATAATCCTTAAAGTAGCTAGAAAAATTTCTGTTTAAAAGCTGATTGGCGATGACACCTCGATTGTAGTAGCCAGATAGTAGTATTAATAACTTTCACACAACCAATGTGATTCAAAATTGCCGAGTATATAAACTTCGCACTTGATAGATGAATTACTTGACATTCTGATGACATTATTCTCTTGCATGTAGTTCACATATCTTCATTGCTTTTATACATACTTTAGTCAGTTGTATTATTATTTTGATTTCGAAATTTGTAATTCTCTTGTTTTCGTAAGCCAATCATTTGTCCGTTTATCGACCTTGGGATTATCAGTAGTTATTATTACTGTTTTAGTGTTACCTGTGAGGTATGATGTTTATTATTAAAATCATTGGTTTATTTTGTTCTTTATTCCATTATTTACTGTTCAGTACCTTCATCTCAGCCTACGCCAGTTTGTCATGCTCAATTAGATTCTATTATAAATAATCTTCACTTATCTCAACCGGCTGATATTGACAGTATGCTAATGGTAAGTTTTTTCTTCAACTTGTGAATATGCTGTGTTAATGTAGTAGTGTTATAAGCCATTGATTTTTATACTATCAAAAAGACGGAATCGCACAACAGTTTTATTTAACATCCGTTTGCTGAATTTTTGTATTTGGCTCTCATTTCAGGCGTCTCAGATGGTTGGAGATATTGATTACGTTAAGGATCGACTTGGTTTTTCCTGTCTCATGCGCCGTATGACTCGATTCTTTTCAGCACTCTCCTCAGTAGAACATACAATGGAGGTCATTCGAGCTGTCGTTGTTCAAAGGAGACATCTGCGGGCAACAATCAAAGGATCAAATAACCTACTTGTACGTCTAGTCACTCAGTTAACATTCTGATTTTAAATAAAATAGGGATGAATCAACCATTGTTATTTTATATTAGAATATTTTCTGAATATTATATTAAATTTAATATTTCTAGAGTTATTATAAATGACATTGGTGCAGTAAATTAGTGCCTAAAGCATTCTGATTTCAACAACGGTGTGGTAGATCTAAACCATACATCACCTTCAGATCGAACTGAGTTCTCACATAGACATTATATCTCAGCCGAATTTAAGAACCTGTATTTGGTGATTAAGTTACATCGATTTTTAAAATTTACAAATAATGGTGTGCATTCCACTCCGTAGTTACAGCGTAGTTTATATTATCGTGGAGTCATCCATATAATTTTTTTTACCGAGTTGAAATACTACAGCCCGAGTATTTGAACTAAGTACATTATGTATATTTTTCACATCTATTATCGCTGACATACTTGATGAGTATAACTCATCTAGGAAAGCAAAGTTAGAGATTAATCTTTACCACTAGTATCTGGTATACTTTGTTTAGCATTGATTATTTAGAATCTGTACGACATAGTTTTTGGCAATTTCTTATATGTGTATTTCTGATCTCACTAATAACAGACTTCACTATCATTATGAATTGTTCTTCTTTGTAACCTTATCTTCCAGTGTATGCTGTCATTTTTAATTTTAATCTACATTAATAGGAGTAACTTCCAAGCATATCATTTAAAATCTAATTAACCGTTTATAACGCTAACTGGTATGACTTTTGTCATATCCCACTGCATAGACCACTTCCTACTAGTTGGTTCTATTGAATAATTTGTAAAATAACCTCTTCTAATTGGTTGTGTTTCATTTCATACATATCGTGTGTTATTCATACACATAACTTTCACATTCAATCTACAGGTGGATATCAAAACTCCGGAGCATCCAGGAACTGCTTTCCGAGTATTGTTATATCCATTAGCTGGTTCAATTCTTGTGGATTGTCGTCGTGTCTCAGGTGATGGTTTATTGTTTCATCAAACCTATGCTGCAATCTATACAGATCTTTCAGCTATGGGTGCAGTAAATATAACACATCCTTACTTACATATTTTGTTACCTGAAAGGCCTACAACGGAGCCTAATAATTCAAATTTAAATGACGGTACTTGCATTTCTGAAAATTCTCCAGTGGTCTACGGTGAATTAACTCCAGTAGCAATGGAGACATAGATTTCTTTCTATAATAACCTATATTTTGATAGATCTTTTGCTTATCCTGAGATTCTGTATGAATATTTTTGCAATAATTTACTTTGAAACTTATAATGATTTCTTTAAGTCGGTTTAGATTTTGTCCTCAAGTAACTTGTCCCCTCGCCTCGGGGTTTATTTTTATATCTGTATTAGAGATTGTTTAATGAATGAAGTGTTTCTGTATGTTCCTAAATACAACTTCTTCACAGAATGGCGTCATCATTTATTTGTGATTGATTGGGTTTGGTAAAACAAATTGTACAACAGTACATTGAACACAGTATATAATATACCATTTTTCTCTTTAGTTTCTCTGTTGTTTATTTGGGGATAAACTACCTGTGCCCTCTAATTAAGGGAAATGTAAGATTTAAATGTTATTTAGAAGTGGTCTAATCAAAAAGTGGTGGATTGTGTTTGAAAAGTAATGTCTTCTGTCCACTGTAAGAAAGCTGCGTAATATTTGGTCGAAAATACTGATGAATTCATGCTATTCTGCTAGAATCTTTGTTCTTGCTCTTTTCAAAATGATAAAGGGAACTATGTGTATGAAAAATACTGATGTCGTTTCTTTAACTTCAAAACTACCTTTAAGAATATTTATCTCAGGAATCATATATTATAAAGTCAACGTGGACTTCCGAAATGATTTCCTTACATTTCTTTGATAAAAAAGGTGGTGGTCGTATTTCTTGATTTCAGACCATGGGTTCTGATATCATATGACACATTCAAGATATTTTCAGCAATTTAATTTTGAAATTCAATATACAAATGTATTACACAACAGAACGTCGTTCTAACGCGTAGGACTGTAAAAATAAGGAAACTGAAGGTATTTCTTATAAAATAAGCAAGTAGAGGATTTCAGCGTTGCAGGTTGAATAGGAAGTTTATTCTGTAGATCCTCATAAACTGAACAGGTTGACAGATTCACATGTTTGACAAATCTATCCCATATAAGGAGCTGGTGAAAAAACGGTATCCAGATGACTAAACATTAACTCTATCTGCAGCTCTTCTAGGGCTACTGCCAGTCCCAAGCCCGCGTAAAGGAGGAGGGTTGGGCATGTGGTCTTGTGAAGATTCTAGCTAATATTACAAGGTGGTAACAATTATTGGTTTTGGAGGACAGTTTAAGCAATTTAGAATCGTTTGCAATAACGTCGGTATGGATTTTCTCTTCTGCATGTGAGGGTTGTTATCTTGTAAACCACTCATGAAAATCTTCCATGATATGTGGATCATACTGTTATTTCGTCTACTTACGAAATATCTGTTGTGTCTTGTTATTTGGGTTCAGCACGGACTTAGGCCGTATATCGTATATGGTCCCACGGATTTAGAAAGGAAAGCGATAGGTTCTCTTCGGGACTGACGACAGTCAATTGTACTCAACACATCAAGCCTCGACAGCTATGGTAGGAAGAAGATGGGATTGAAGGTAACGTGATAGTTGTGGTAGAACAAGCAACTCAAACGAAATTGTTACAAAAGTTGTTACTATAGTAACAAAATATGTAGCAATTTAGCGAACTAAAAAATATGACAACCAATCAGTCATGCGGAAAAGCGAATTGATAGGTGTGTGAGCGGTTATCATTCCAGAAGAGATCTTAGCCCTTCTAATAAAATCAGCACTATCACACATTAAACCGATATCTAGTTTCCCAAAGTTCACCTCACGATAGCTATAAGAGATTGAAGATTTTCGACTACTAAATGATAGATATAAGTTGGGAATGGATTACTTTAACCGGACCTCCAAATAACACAAAAAAAGACTATTTTATTCATAAATTTTATTATTTTTTATTAGGAAGAAAGTAAATATTGTACATAAGTCAACGTTCTTTCTTTCCATCAATTCATTATTAAGTTCTGTTTAAATCTTTTACCAATAAAATTGTCTGTTTCAGTCGATTCAATTCATTTGAAACATTCAATTGTGAATTTGATTTGATTAATAAGTTCGAGATCAGATTATTCGACAAACGATTTGATAATTGATCAAGTAAATTGATAGTTAATTGTTTACTATATTGTATAGATTGATTAGTTTTTAATGAAGAGATAATATCATCATCACTATTTACAGTATCACAGTCATTATTGTTATTGTTATCATTATTACAAATCTGGTTAATGTTTTTATTTGAATATAAAGAAATGACTGAGGATAAACACGAGACTAAATCACATAATGAATGGCAAAGAATGTAAAATTCAGTATTTCGATGATATAGTTTGTCGCTAGTATCATGAGAGAGATGATTGGTGGATTGAAAAGGATCTAATAATTGACTATATGGGATTTCCAATGACATACACCATAAATTGAATAGATCTGATGTTAATGTTAAGAGATCGAATGAACCACAAAGTTCTAAGGGAATAAATAAAAAAGGGTATAAATGAATAATACTAGATACTGAGGTTCATATTCTTTCAATCGTGAACTTTCTAATTAGTTCGGCTCTTACAATTTTCAGTCAGTTACAATGTAGAACCTGCACGTATGTACATCGGTTAAAGTTGCCACATACTATTAGTACAAAGAGATGAAGTTATCCGGCCAAATCCCAGAATAACAGAGATAGTAACAGTATCAGTGGTAATAAGAAAGATTAGGCATTGAAGATATACGACTCGAAAAGTAAATATAAATTAGCAAAATAAAAACAAAAAAACTTGAGGAATTTAAGATCTCAGAATGGATGAGCCTAGGCTATTGCAGACGATTTTGAGTCATATTATTCAAGATCCCTAACCAGGTAGCCTACACCTATTAACATGACAAAGTCTAATTGTCAGTGACCTCATGGAATGATGCCATGTTTTGGTGTGGTCGAACACGGCTTCCTCGAGGCCTGCTTCTGCCCCAGAAAACAGCCCGTCGAGGTTGGCATTGGCTGGACACATGTAGCACGTCCAAACCATCGATCAATCGATTCCCAACCATTACCTAGTATTATCAGAATGGGTTTGGTGGAGAACTTTAGAAATTTCACAGGTTGAAATCATGAGTCAGTTGAAGCTAGACCACCACTGAAAACCTGGAAGCACTGGACGGCCGTTTCGTCCTGGTATGGGACTCCTCAGCAGTGCGCATCCACGATCCCGCACCACGCGGGGCTCGAACCCAGGACCTACTGGCTTCGCGCGCGAGCACTTAACCACTAGACCACTGAGCCGGCATCCAACGGTGTTAATGTCTAACTTCAACCAATCCACGAAGTTGCGCCACCGTACACCATTGTCTTCAGTGGTTAAGTGCTCGCGCGCGAAGCCAGTAGGTCCTGGGTTCGAGCCCCGCGTGGTGCGGGATCGTGGATGCGCACTGCTGAGGAGTCCCATACCAGGACGAAACGGCCGTCCAGTGCTTCCAGGTTTTCAATGGTGGTCTAGCTTCAACTGACTCATGATTTCAACCTGTGACATTACCTAGTACTCTATTCCTTATCTATGCACGAATAATGCTTTGTAGATACTTATGATCGAATACCAGTAACCTCTGGATATCCTCTATTCTTAATGACCATATTTCTCATCCATGAAGTCGGAACGGACCACCTACTGTGCATTAAACTCATCCTTTGGTTGGAAAACGGCTACCTCGTCTACACCACAAGTGATGCAAGTTGGCTAAAACCAATAGAGCCTTCTGAATCTGTGCCGAGATTTTGTCAGGCACCAGATCATCAGTACTGATGAGAATTCCGAGATAAGTAAAGTGGCCGATGAGTTCAACTACTTCACTCCCTATCACTAATTAAGACAATGACCCGAGCCAATCCTGAAGTAACATTTTACATTTGGAGGGAGAGAACAACATCTGAAAAATGTTTGAGGTGGTCAGAAGACTGCACTTTGTCAGCGTCTTCATCAAAAAGAACTATATCATCTGCGTATTCTAAGTCAAAAAGTGAATCTCTTGGAAGAATATCAATCCGTGAAAAGTCATGATGAAAGTGTTATCTCTTAAATGATGTCTCCACCTCTTACCCCATAATATATATTCTGGATAAGGTAACATGAGGCTTTTGGATTTCAAACAGACAAAAATATGATTCGAGAATAAAATGAAAATATGAACCCATAGAATAAATATTAGAAGATATTTGTAAAACTCAAGATCTAAAGGAAGGAGAAGGCTAAATGTATTTGTGTCATTGGGACCGATTCTCAGCTATATCACTCAGTGTCTTTGCGTTTTGTGAGAAAACCTTACTCCTGAGATTCAAAACAACAATTATTAATACTATTATGTGTAAGTTTATCTACTAGATAATCAACAATAATGAAATGGTAATATCAGTGTGACTTGATAATCCAGTGCAAATCGGTGAGTCAACTCCGCTAACAAAACCGAAATAGTTCAACTTAATATTGAATAGCCAAGTGTGGTTTAATCGGATTAAACTTGCTTTTCTCTTGTCTTTGGAGATATTAAAGTTACTTCATCAATATTCCAAATAAAAAGCAAATGTAGTGTTCCTTAACTCGTAATAGAAGTTCGGGATGCAAAGTGTAAAAATTTGATTCATTTCAAAAGGTTCTAAACCATTAATATGGATAGTTAAACTGTTTTAATATAGTTAGCACAAATTATAAATAGTTACTTCCAATAATAACAAAAAAGCATTTAACAAACTCACTACTCCAATCCAATAAGTAGAATAATCTTGAAGGCGTATTATCATTTGTCTCTTGACTGTCACTAATTAAGTTCGGTACAGGATAAACTAATACACCAGCTTTGAGTAATTTATACAATAGAAAGTATAATCGTTCCCAGCATTTCCACTGTCTTGATTTGACAATTTTCCTAAGAAACTTGATAAGGAAAAATAAATAAGCAAACCTCACTTTTATTTGGCAATAGATGTGCACTATAACGATAAGCAGTGAATATTCAGCCTTCTGTAAACGATAATTTACTGCCCATCGAAACTTGTTGAATAAAGAAATTACATGCATATAACCTGCTTAATGTTACCATCTTAGACACTGTGTTGTCATTAATGATTATATAACGATGACAAATTTTGACATAACTCATCCATATGTTATTTGAACTGATTCATGATTTAGTCTTTCTGATACTTCGTCAATATTTCTTGTTTCAAATAGGACTTACGTCGATAACTGCAATTAAGTGAAGTAAAGGCAATGCGCTTTCCAAGAGGTCTGAAGGTCCTATTTACGCACTCATGTGGAGTTGCAAACTATGGTAAAACAGCTGTTGAGTTTTCCCTAGATTTCAACGATCGTTTAGCTGAAATCTATACATGTGGTAAACTGTAATTGACAAATATAGTTATAGTGACCCAGTAGTTTTGGTAAACAACGAATGATATGGCCTGAAGGTTGATAGATATTAGTGCTAATTTTCAATAAACATATAACAATTCAACGAAATCATAAGTGACATCAACACACAAAATTTAGACCGATGTGGGTTTGAGGATCGAATGTTAAAAAAATTCGCTACCTGTGGGATAATCAAAACCGAGCATGAAGGGAAAACCCGTTGCAACAACAATCATCTTCAGATTAAAACATAAGCTGCAATTAGAATGAGGCACCACTTAGTCTTCCGAAACGTCATTTTGATATTCCTGATGTTATTAACGATATTAAGTGGGTCAAAATCTGTAGTCTGTAAAGTACATTCCCCAGTAAAAATCGTATATTAGTTTTGACCAAGTTATACATTTTCCCCATTCAACAGTGAAGTTTTGTAGAAGTTCCATTGGATTATTTGTATCATCAATTCACCCAAAAGTTCATCGAACTTTACAGGTATTTTATTAAATTAAACTACTGGGGTTAAATTAATTCAAGCACAATTTTGATGAATTCGAAGCTTTTTAATGAATTGAAATAACAATGAGGTGCTAACGTGAAAAACAATAATCTGAATAGTTTTTATAACCATCCATTTTACCTTGTAGTAAGTATTGTGAAATTTCGAATTCAGTACATTCTATTTAATTGTTTCTCTCTATATGGTGGTATTTCAAGGCAACACAGTCATTAAAATAAAATAATTTATCCAATCAGTCACATAAATCATCAAACACATACAAGATGCTTAAGCAATATCATGGATTGGTTGGAGTTAGACATTAACACTGTTAGATGCCGGCTGAGAGGTCAAGAGATCAAGGGTTAGCGCACCAGACCAAACGTCCCAGGTTTGAGTTTCACGAGCGCGATCGTAGATGCGCGCTGCTGAGAAATCCTATACTAAGACGGAACGGGCGTCTAGTGTTTCCAGGTTTTCAATGGTAGCATAACATTGATCGATTCAGGATTTTGATGAAATACATTACATGTATGTACGAGAGAATGTAAGTCATACCATAAAGCTGAACAACAACTAAGATTTAGGCCGATAATATCAAGCTTGATAATAGACCAGAATCTATATACTTCTCATTGGCTATGTCTTCAATTAAACACGAATAGTAATTGTTGAACTACTTTTCACAAACAATGACTGTATCATTAGCCTAAGGGTTAAAAACACTTATCATCATATTTATAAATGAAAATCCGATGATTTTAATTCGTAGCTGATTTTATAATTGCTAAAAATGTTCCATTATCATGTACCAACAATATCCCTCATTAATCATTCAAATTCATTGTGAATAGAATAGACATTTTGCTCATAAGTATATCATTTCAAATAACAGTGAAATATACAAAGGTCAACCAAACAGTACAGGTCAGTAGTGGTGGGTATATATGAATGAATAAATAAAAAAAATAGAATCAGCTCTTCTATTGTTTCTGACCCAGCTTGGATGGATGACCTGTGGTGTTAGGTTATTTTCCCATTCAAGAGGCTTTTTTCATGTTCTATAATATATTGGAAAAATAAATAAATATGTGCATCCTGTGCGAATTGCCCTTGATATTGACATTAAGTAACAAGCACTTTAAGCAGAGATGGATGGTGGCTGGCCGTAAATTCTGGGATGCACATTCCAGTCATAAACATCAATAAGAAGATACAAACAACTAATAGATATAAATTAAAATTCATCCCCACTGAACAAGCCAGTGAGTCTGGGCTCAGCAACTAAGTGTATAACGCGATGGCGTTTGAAGTGAACGGTACTTGGTTGGAGTTCTGGAGTGCACATCAACCCCGCGATGTAGTTACATCCAGCTAACGAGTCCCGAAAAGGACGAGGCGCACGTCCTAGGTTACATTGTTAGCCACTCTCCATCTCACCTTAATAACTTCCATTGAATCTTGATTCATTTAAAATGAAATGTATCAAACTATAGAATCATAATAACCATATCCAAATGATATTTTGAGTTTTTTCTAAAAATAATAATCAATAGCCGAAAGACCAAAAAAATACTGAGAATCTGTTTCATTCTGGTGTGCTGAAACGCGTTTATAGTATGCATTCGTCACAATCATATGGAGGATCGAACCTTTAAGACTTTTTAGTAAGCAAGATATATTTGAACTAATCAGTTTAATGATCTAAAGGTTTGTATGCGACTTCAATTAACTTTCGCCGCAAAGTATGATATTTAATTTAATAGCGAACTACTGCTTCATTCAGTGGTTTAATTCACAGATCACAACCTTTCCGTAGTGCTTACGGAAATTTAAGTTAGTATTCAATATTTAACTAAAGGGTGATAAATCTGCTAATTGAACGATCGATCTGATTTCTTAGGCGCTTCGAATAACGGCAGAGTGTATATGTATGGCAACTTGAACACAAGACAAAAATTGCGAAGTTCAACAAAGAGCTGTACTCTAAGGTTAATTGTGTATATTTAACATGAATTTGTCCATCTAGAAAGTTCTAAAAGCATACTAAACATAAAAGCACAGAAGTAATTATCAAGTTAAAAAATTAACACGCGATCTGTCGTCCCTATAGATGTTTTTTAGAAACCCCTATTTAATCCCGATTGGATAACATGTTTGCAAGGATTCTGTGAGCTCCTATTGATTTTTTTCGAAGTGTTTTGCAATTCCCCAACAAAGGAGATTGCTGAATTTCAAAGTTTACATCAGGAAATGATCTTAGCTAGACCGACAATAAAAACCATAGAGCACTGGACAGATGTTTCGTCCTAGAACGAGACCCATCAGGACGAGGTAGCTGGCCAAGAGAAGCTATGGTTCAATGGTTTGACTAACTCGATATTTAAGAGACTGTATCACAAGTCTGAACAGAACACGTCGACTAATTCGCTTTCATCAGTCAAAAGTAGATGGTGCCTTGAATCTATTGTGCACGGTTCAGACTATTGGTTGTCTACAGTCACTACTTTTCTTTGTAAATAATTTGAAATGACGGATCCAATTCATTAAGAGCTATTTTATAAAGTCTAGTTAGTTATTAAGCAAAAGGAATAAAGGTACTCGTTAACTAACCAATAAATATAATTATAAACTAACCAATTGAATAGCAATTAACAAATGACCAGAACTAATTTTTGATATGTGATCCCGTAACTGACCATTAGATTTCAATGACTGATTTACGATTGATTTTAATACTTCACTGCATAATGTATTAGAAACAGTGGCTAGCTCACAAATGAAATATAGTAAACGTGGTGATATCACCATTTGACTTTTTATATAATTTTCTCTAACCACTGTATTTGAAGATAACAGTGAATTGAAATCTTCTGTTTGTTCTGTTAATGATGGAACAACGGAAATAGCTTTGAATTGTATGCGAGTACTGCAAAAACAACAATAACAACAAGAGAAAAATAAAGAATAATCTAATAAACTATTAAACAGTAACTTTCTAGAAAGAAATACTATTAAAACTCATAGGCAATATAGAACCTGGAATATATATATTCATCGGTTCAAGTTGTAATACCTCATTAAATCATTGACATACCAGAGTATTAGAAGTGGCAATAGTATCACGAGTAATAGTAGTAGTATTAGAAAAGATCAGACAGATAAAATATGATTCGAGAATAAAATGAAAATATGAATCCATAGAATAAATATTAGAAGATATTTGTAGAACTCAGGATCTAAAGGAAGGAGAAGGCTAAATGTATTTGTGTCATTAGGACCGATTCTCAGCTATATCACTCAGTGTCTTTGCATTTTGTGAGAAAAGCTTTCTTCCAACTTACTCCTGAGATTCAAAACAACAATTATTAATACTATTATGTGTAAGTTTATCTACTAGATAATCAACAATAATGAAATGGTAATATCAGTGTGACTTGATAATCCAGTGCAAATCGGTGAGTCAACTCCGCTAACAAAACCGAAATAGTTCAACTTAATATTGAAAAGCCAAGTGTGGTTTAATCAGGTCACCGTTTGACAAAAACTCTTTTATTAACCAACCATGGACTGCCGTGAGAATTGGCTATTTTTAAGTGGTATTCACCAAATATTCTCTCCTCCTTTTATATCACTGAATCATAGATATGCTTCTAACATTATTATTTTCATTGTCCAAGTTTCAGGATTGATATTGTATTGTCATATAAGTAGATTTGAGAGAAAGTCATATAAGGTCAAAAAGGACATGAAATCAATTCATTTAGTCATTGATTATTAGTATGGACCTTTTTGGTAAATCAAAATTAACTGGTTGGTGTCCTTAGCATACACTCTATAGTTGAAGACTTTCGGTGGTATATATTTTGCAATAACATACTGTCCTAGAACTCTGTAATATATATACAATCCTAAGAGGTAACACTAACACTAGTCTTCATGTATATCCAGCTGGTAATTTATTTATTTATTTGAACACATTGTAGTGGCTGTGCTTCGTTAGCCAACCAATCACCCTCGTAGCCGTGTTTGAAATCAGAAGGCAAAGAGAAGCAGCGACTACGGTTTTATTAGCAGATAACTCAGACCACAAAGCAGAGAGGCGAATGATTGAGTCATGAATCATCTAATCAATTGAGCAGCTGATAATAAAGCTAGCAGAATGAATATATGCGTAGGCGGTAAGCAATGTTCAAGCATACATATTTCATACAAGCACAACAATAATAAAGGCATAATAAGTTGTTATAGTACGGATGGCCCTGTCCGCTAAATAAGTTTACAAAAGGACTTAACTGAGTTAAATGAGAACAAACTCAATTGCACGTGAGTTGCTATAACATAAGCATTGGTATAAAGGGGCACCAAATACATATCCCCTCATAATAATAATAAGGCCAGCAGTAGTTATCATTTATTTATGTGAGGTCTGTGATACTGCCCAGGTGTGGGGGTCCATACTCGGAGCCTTTGACCTAAGGGTCTAGCCAACAAGGAAATGGAGTTACATTAGTAGATTCAATCCCTTGGTATCCGGTGACCAACAATAAGTTCATACTCTGTTTGTTCCCTCAGGATTCTGGAGCCCATGTGCACCATTGGTTTAGACCCTCCGTGTCCACCAACCTGATTAAAGCACCGGACATTCGCTTTTTGTTCTCTCAGTTCCGTAAACGACATCCCTTGAAGTGGCTGTATACGCATGGCCATATGAGAGCATTTCATGAGGAAGAGTGAACTCTCCCCAGCCTCAGCTGTACCAGAGTATTTGGATGGCTTAAATAGGATGAAACATCTCTCTTGAATTTCAGTTAATCTTTATCCAAACCTATTAATTAACTTGTATATTTAAGCAACATTGAGACATCCTTTAATTAAAGACAAAAAAGGTTATATTACCAAAAAAAATTACAGACTGGTCAAATTAGTTTGTTTTACATCAACCACAAAAAAGTATTACAATTATCAGTTTAGGGGCTGTGGAGATCAGTGGAGCTAATCCGTGTCGGGTAGAAACAGGTGTCTACCTCAGTACAACAGAAGGTGATCGCGCAACTTTTTAGATTGGTTGAGGCTAGAATTCTATATTGTACCAAAAAGATAATATTGAATAAAGCCATTAGTAATAATAATAATAATAATAATAATAATAATAATAATAATACCATTGGACGCCGGTTCAGTGGTCCAGTAGGTTAGGCGTTCGCGCGCGAAACTGAAGGCCCTAGGTTCGAATCCCGCGAGCGGAATCGCAGATGCGCTCTGCCGAGGAGTCCCACAGTAGAACGAAACGGCCGTCCAGTGCTCCCAGGTTTTCAATGCTGGTCCAACATCAATCGGTTCATGACCTCAACCAAAAAGTATTACAATTCATAGATTTTCTTTAAAATTACTTACTTTTCATAAAATAAATCAATATCCATTAAATATTTTAATGAATTCATTTGTATTTCATTGATTTCAATGGATAAATCTAAAATTTTATCTTTCAATTGTTGAATCTCTTTCAAATATTCATTAATATTATCATTATTATCTTCTTTATTAATATTATCTAATTGATTAATAACTTCACTTGGAGATCCTCTAGAGTTACTGTCAGTCTCAAGTCCAGATAAAAGAGGAGAAGGGTTAGGCATGAGATTAGTTTTTAATGATTCAATTGATGAAATAAATATAATATTAAACAAATATAAACATCTTTGTTTATACCAATTATATATATTCATTGAATTTTGAATCGTTTGTTTGAATTTATAAATTAGTAAAAGATTATTTTTAATTTGTTTTAATTGTTCTAATTGTTTTAATTGTTTGTTATCTTGATAAAAACAACAATAATGAATTAATTCAAATAGTATAATATCCATTTCATTTGAAATAAGATAGTGACAAATTGTATTATTATTATTATTATTATTATTATTATTATTATTATTAATGTTCACTTGATTTAAAAATAGAATATTGAACAATTGAATAATTTGTTCCATGAATTCATTTAAATTAATTTTATTTAAAAGTTGAATAATAGATGTATCTTTTATAAGTAAAAATAATATATGAATAAATAATCGAATATGTATATGTTGAATAGAAGTATGCTGTTTATCAATTATATTATTAGTAGTAGTATTGATAGTAGTATGAGTTGTAGACGTTAAATGATCAATATGAGAAGATGATTTATTCATGACATTGTTTTCGACAAGCGTTAAGAAATATTTCATAATGTTGTTTATTTGAATGAAACAATTTGGCTGTAAAAGAAAATGTAATAATAATAATAATAATAATAATAATAATAAAGGCATAAACTGATTAAAAGATAATATCTACTGTGAACTAGTAGAATATTTCATCTTGTTAAAGTAGAAGTGAATACTGATGTCATGTTTCTTGAATAATAGTAAAACCTAATTGAGTGATGTCAAGAGGATATTTGTTCTAAGACTAAGTTTTGTCCCAATTGTCATATCTGAACGAAGAATAAATCGACGGTAACTGCTGGGAACTATTTATGGACTGTTATAATATATATACATATATATCCTTATTATATAACTGTTAAGTAACTAGATTATATATATATGTTTTAGAACTATCGCTAGCATCCGCTGGGATCACCGGACAAGTAATAGTGAGGTTAGATGCAGGGTATTAGGGAATGATGGTAAATCAGTTGATGAGTTTGTAAATCTTCATCGACTAAGATGGTTGAGGCAGGAGTTACATATGCCTGAACACCGATTACCACGATGTGCAATACTGTCTAGTTTTGGAGACGGTTGTAAGAAAATTAGGGGTGGCCAAACCAAAACTCAGCATCAGTGCTTGAAGTCACTAACTTCTAGTCTGAGCTATGTTGGTAGATGCAGACTACTTGACTGGGGTCCGCGTTGGTTGAAGACTCTTGGTGACATAGCTCGGGATCGATCACAATGGCTTAGGTGTATGCACTATCTGTCTTCCCTTAAACTATGAGATTAAAATTGCTTTATACCTTTCTTTCTACGAACTAATTCTTTCTTCCTGTATTATATATACACAATATTTCTTTTAAACAATACTATCACTGAAGTGACTACTTTAATTAATTTCGTGTTCATCATGTGCTAATGAAGTGTGGCAATTTGGACCGATGCATATATATGCCTGATCCTACGTTGTAGCTGACTGATATATATATATATATATATATATATATATATATATATATATATATATATATATATATATATATATATATATATATATATATATATCGTAAGCTTTTATTTGATCTATCGACTATTATTGTACGATTTATCATTCTTAAGATATTTCCAATTTATTAGTTAGAGTCTCTTACTATCATAGACACTTTTTGGCTTGATCTTGTACAATTGTTATTTCCTATTTTGAGGTGTGATGAGGTTTGGTTTGCTTGTATATAAACCAAGTATGTCCGAAAAATATGATCTGTGTAGTGGAGGCAGATCTTACTATTCTGGACTCAACAGGCAGGGCGAGACGAGAAGGACCAATAACGGCTCTACCGATCAACACGTCATTGATTTGGAACAGTGTTAGGATTGTATAAGTCGTGTTCTGATCGGTGATCGTATCATGTGATAATAAACAAACCAAAAGTCATAGCATCAATGAGTACAATCTTAATAGTTTAGCCATTAAATATAACACTCATTTCCTTTACAACAATCACACGGTATTTCTACATCACCCATAGAAAATGCATCCCAAAGAAGACTATCGTAACCTACAACTAGTCGAATACCAAGTTGATAAAGAAAGAACCAAGTTATCTATTTATTTGAAGGTACTCGTTAAAAGGATTTAGCTAATAAATATGACTTGAAGCTACTTAAACATACAATATAATTACATTAGGCGAATCATCAAATAGAGTATGAAAATATAAATAAAAAAGACTGCATTACAAAAACTTTAGATATCAGAATATTGATAGATACAAATGATTTGGCTAATGTAGACCGTAAGTGAAGCATTCAGCAAAAGAATCGATGGTGATGAAGGTGAACTCTGTTTGTAGACAAGATAATTTTGAGTATTATTAGAGGTAAGAAAGCAACTGTCACTCTCCGACTGCCTATACAGTAAAGGGATACTTCTTTATAACGTACCTAAAAAGTAGACTGAGTTAGGTAGCGGCGATATTGAGAACTAAGGACCATGACTGTAGAGTCAAAAGGATAACTTCTTGAGACTGGTCACACGCTGCATGTTTATTAGTAGTCTCAGGTGTATTAGCTCCGCACTTCAAAAAGCTTTGGCGCCGGTAACGGAATTCCGTGGGTAAGGTGAGGTGTGACATTTAAAGGTCAATTTTTCACAAATCCCTCCTCTTCTGTTTTGAGGAGGTAGCACTGATGTAGACGCTAGTTATCTGAGGAAAAAAGCCTTACAGCCATCCCACTACTGTATACTCGACAGTACAACTTTGTCCTCGGACCGCTTTTAATATTGCCACTCTTCAACCAACCATCCGGGTATGATGTAACCTAAGGAGATGAATTGTCCGACTGGTATAGCTCTTGATTAGGTCACCCCGATACTTAAGACCGGCCAACACGTCAATTTAGCAGCCAAAATCGAGAAATAAAGGAAAAATGAATAAAACGTACCTACTATAACACTGGTTTAACATACCTTTTTAAATAGATAAACGATAGTATTCAACAGAGGGTTTTCTGCTAATTTAGAACTTGACCATACTTCTTCAGACATATTAAATTGATATAGTTTATTATTGTTTAATAAGTCGCTTCTTTTCTTTTCCTCTTCATATTGGAAATTTACATTGAATAAATTTCCATTATTTAATTCATCATAAAGATCTTCATGACCAAATAATGAAATGTCTAAATATGATTTACGATTTGACCAATCGATTAAAATTAATTCTTGAAAAATTGTACTATGCACAATTTGTTGTTCAGATAAATTCGTCGTAAATTTATCATTGTTCGTTTCAGGTAGAAATCTTGTTCCAGTAGAAAAATTAATTGGAACTTGAAATACATACAATAATTGATCAAGAAGCTGTAATGAAATGAACAAAATACATTAGAATAGGTTATGGTTTCAATGAATTATGATTACATGATTCTGGACATGATACAGCGTAAAATGTCTTGCTCTATTGAATCAGAATTTAAAAGGTTTAGAAATATTTTACATAAGTGGTGTTATTTTTGTTTGTGAACCTTTTAACTTAGTTTCCATTCTATTTAGTTCCTTTCTGTGTACTACGTTACTTACTATTATTAAGTAGTTTATGTATGAATGAATCTGCAATATTTAATTCATTTGTTATGATAATTATGTTCTTTTGACACTCGTAATAGCATTTCCTTTCTTCTTCAGGTGTCTTCATTGAATATATACGTTTACTAGTGACAATATCCATAAACTGTATGCGTCAATTTCGTTTTGATTTATGCACTTGCATTATTGGAGTGACCTAGTTATTGGTAGTTACTTAGTTTATCTTAAATTTTAAGTCACAAGACTTTAGTTAAAACGCCACTAAGAACCTAGAAGCCTTGGATACCCATTTGGTCCTAGTATAGGACTCTCTGACGAAGCACACCCACGACCTTCGGTTTCGGGCGCACATATCTAACGTTTAGACTAATCAGTCAGTATCCAACGGTTTACTGTGTGTTTTTGTAAATAGCTATTGACTGTACCATGACACGTATAAATGCCATACAATTTGAGTGTGGTAAAATATATCGGTTATGTTTTCATCAATTATACCATTTTATAAACAAATGCTTCGTTTTGATTTTTGATTAAGGAAATATCAGACAGATATTTTATCCTAAGACTTAACAATATTCCGCAATTTTATAAAACTTTGAATCTAAAATTTACCGGTTATGAAGTGTATTATATTTTCAAATTCCATCAAATTCACTACAACAGTTATCGTCCATTATCGTTTGAACTTTAAATGTTTCATTTTTGTACTAAAATTCCAATGTAAACATGTTCTACTGTAGAAGAATGACTTATTTAGTCATAGATATAGTAATATTAAGTTAAAACTACTATTTTTATAAGTATATTCGGATAGTACCAACAGTTATTATCTCGACTTTTAGCTATTTACCTAAAGTATTGAAAATCTTATCCACTTATTTTGTTACACTTAGTACATCCAAAACTTGAAGTATAATAGCCAGTAGGCTAGGCTCCTGCCGACCTATAACAAGATCGAGAACTTACTTTATAAGTATTTTTAAGGAACGAAAATGCTAGTTAGTTTGATAATTGTCAAACACCTTTAATTTATGAAAATTTCCAAGAAAATTATGCGGAACTTAATAACAACTTGTATTACGTCAATAAGTCAATAAAAAACAACAAATAATTCAATTTTTAGAGTGAACGACAAGAGCTGAGCGATAGTTTGCTAATGAAATGAACTGCAGTAAAAACTTAATTAATTTATATCTGTTGAAGATGGAATATAAATAGCCGACTGTTTTTCTTAAAACCTTAAACATCTGACAGGCAAAAACCAAAATGCTAACGATATACATTACTTATGAGTAGTAAGGCGGTCTGAATGAATATCTGGGTTATCTGTTCCTGCCATTTAAATATTTCAACAAGTTATCTAGTTTTGTTTGTCTTAACACATCATTATGTCTAATAATCGCATAATCTGTTCAGCAGCGTTTATTAAAAGTTTACAACCTTTCGCAATACAAGCTACAAAAAGGTACGATTATAGGCTGGCATTATGCATTGAAAGAATGAACATTATTCAGATCACGATTCTTGAACTGCTAACAACTAACTGCAGATCAGTCCATGTTTATCGTCAGGATCGATCAAGAAATAAGAAAGGAAACTTTTTGAGATATTTTGTGATGAGAATTCTATATTGTAACGAATATATAATATTGAATAAAACCACTAATAATAATAGTACTAGTAATAGCAATGATAATAATAATAGCAGTAATGATAATGATGATGATAATGATAGTAATAATAATAATAATAATAATAATAATAATAGTGCTAGTAATAGCAATAATAATAATAATAGTTAAACGACAAAAATACTAACTTGATGAACTGCAATCAGTGAATGGGGACATTTACGATTGACTGGTAGACGAATTAATTCGACTAAAAATCTCACTGGATTAGTGAATAACAACAATTCACAATCTAGAAGAAACTGGACAGAATTAAGATAAATGAAACTATTAGGCAAGACAAATATATATATACGTAATATTACTGAAAGTTACAAATTAAACACTAAAAGTTTTTACCAGATAATAGGACAAGATACCTAGCAGCATAGGCCACCCACCAGCATTTTCCATCGAATTCTATCTAGGGCAAATCTTCTTAGTTCTTTCCAGTTGCTATTTATCCTTTTGATGTCTGCTTCCAGTTCTCAACATATTGTATCCTTTGGTTTTCTTCTTTTCCGTTTCCCTTCACGATTACAAGTTAATGATTATCTCGTGAAGCAGTTTGTTGATTTTCATAATGTATGCCTTATCCACCTCCAACGCCTTTTCTTAAATTCCTCTTCACTCGGAATCTGGTCTGTTCTCTGCCACAGTAGGTTGTTGCTGATAGTACCTGGTCAACGACATTCAGTATCTTGTGTAGACAAATGTTTGTAAATACTTGTACATTTTTGATGATGGTTGTAGTAGTTCTCCAAGTTTCAGCCCCATACAGTAGAACTGTTTTGACGCTGGTATTGAAGATTCTCACTTTGATATTGGTTAATAATTGTTTTGAGTTGCATATGTTGTTCAACTGTAGGAATGCTGTCCGTGCTTTACCGATTTCTCGCCTTTACGTCTGCATCAGATCCTCCACGTTCATCAATGAAACTTTTCAGGTACGTGAAACGATCCACCTCTTCCAGAGTTTCTCCACCAAGTCTGATTAGTTTGTTTGGTGTTCTCCGTGTTGTATCTGACAATGTCGATTTTTCCCTTGTGTATATTGAGGCCTTCTGTTTATGAGGCATTATGTGGTAGACGTTGGAACCACATTTGTTTTAGGAGGGGCTCATCTAAGTTATATGGCCCTGCTAGTTGCTTCATATGCCTCAACAGCTGCGATGGTCTTTGGTCTACTAACTCGCATGACGTTAACAATTGGTGTAATCTTTTATCATCGGGGACTGATGTGCGTTGTACAACCACCGCTTTTATTTTGTCATAAGGTTCACTCCTAAAACAAATGTCGTTCCAACGTCTACCACATGATGTCAGACGAATTCTTAGCTTATCCGGAAACTCAGTTACTTTAGACAAGTTAGCAGATATGGCTGATAAAATGATGGAAATCTACCCGGACAATCGTAGTTGAAACTCCATACAAACTGCAGCACCAAGCGATAAAGATATTACGGCCATGTTCCAACGACAACTAACGGAACTGGCGAACCAACTAGCTGAGTAAAGAGCGACTACAGCCACGGTACAAACAAATCGACAGAGATCGCTGGCCAGGCGAAGATCCTTTGCAAGGCAATGTTCACGATCGCCTGAACAAGCTACTGGAATCTGTTGGAACCATCAAAAATACGGTTCAAAGGCATGGCGTTGCACACGACCGTGCACGTTTACTCCGAACAACAAGGGCCGACCAGACAGTAATGGCAGCGCCTGTTACTGGCCACAACACTAGCCGTCTATTTCACATCCAGGATCGTACTTCTGGCTCGGACTTTTTAGTCGACACAGGAGCAGAAATCAACATCGTCCCAATTTCACTCTCACAGTTACAAGCAGTCAATCTCGTTGAGTCCGGAGTAGATAGAAATCAATGGGAGGAAATAAAATTACATACTTAATAGTCAGTAGGCTAAGTCCCTGCTTGTCCACGTTCAGTGACCAATCATATTTTAGTTTCACTACCACATATTTATGATAAAATAGTTATATCAAGGCCGTCCGAAGTCATGAAGCATATATGGCTAACAAAGACTTACATCTTTATTGAAAAGATTTAACACTTGTTGATTATTGTCATAATTATCATCACCAGAATTTACATCAGAAACAACCAAACGATTGAATAATTGACGAATACGTGTTCGAAAGTGTACAGTTGAATTAGGCAATGGAGTTGATCGATTAGAATTTTTCAATGATGATTGAAGTGTTGTTAATAGATCACATTTACTTGATATTGACAGATGTTCAAATACAGCACGAAGAAGCTGAAAATTGTTTAAAATAAAGCTTAAATAGAATGGAGAGAAAAACAGATAAATAATAAATACACTATATGTGGGGATCGTTGTTCGAAAAAGGGAGAATATTATCAAAAAACAGGCTTCCATTCGAGGACAACTTTATTTTCTCCTCGAGTATCTTCGTCGGTGTGTTCTGTTAACAAGCTTAACATACAAACATCTAATCAACTGTCCAATGAAATGGAGAAGAGCTGAACAAAGCAGAAGAAAAGTGGTACACCTATTGACTAGGACTACTTGCTATTCATTATCCAGATATATTATGTATATACATACATTAGTTAAAAAAACCTTGTTTATAATACAGTAACCTACCTTAATATGTTCATTATCTGGTAGTGCAGCTTTACGAACACGATCAAGATGCAGTATAAGTGAATAACAGAATAGATGATCTTTGGCTAAGAGTTTAGCATGCGGAAGTAAACGAGACAATAAGCTATAGTAGAACAATAAACAACAGTATATTAGACGAAATAAACAAACAACATGACATGATGTTATTTAGGAGTTTGTCACATGAAGGTAGTTTTTATGTCAGATGGAATACGATTGAAAACCAGGGGGATCAGAAAGCCTTTTCGTTATGGTTTTAACCTTACCAAGAGTCTCCACATATGATCACACCTAAGATTGAACCTTGAACTTTAAGGTCAGTAAACTAAACATTCAATTTCAGGCAATTTATGATACAGCGAGAACCTTACTAAAATGCTATAAGTTACTACCTCACTTTTGACGCGGTTTCCCCACTACAGTTCAAGAAAACTCTCGAAAGCTTTGAAAACCTTATCTCCAGACCCTTGAAAAATAAAAAAAATATTTTATTTTGTCGAACGTTGTATTGTCTCTTCTAGGCAGCCCATAAATCCTGCATGTTTTAAGGATAGACTCCTGCCTCGAGTCATAGCAATCTGCATCACTAAGTCAAGTTGCTCCACAAGGGCAAGTTACATCAATCGAACAATACGAGTTCTTTGGAAAAGCATTTTGGAGAATTACTTCAATTAATTGTCAATAACAGGAATATATGCAAGTCAATCAATAAATTTATCTTGATCACATTAGCCGCCAGAATTATCCTTTACAACCATCAACATGAACAAACGAATAGGCTCAATAAAAGTATAGGTCACAAGACGCGTGAACTACATAAGGTTTACATCAATTCAAAAGCATTATATTCAACCTCTTGTTCTATAACGGTCTTAACCCAATTTCTAATTTTCTAATTAGATGATATCTTCATATTTTACTTTATGGGAAATTACTCCCTTATCTATGAACCACCTTCATCTTACTGTTATGTTAACATAATCCTTTAAATCAATTAGATAACTCTAGATAATTGAAATTTCTGATCACATTTATGCAGTAATCCCTATCGATTTCTCAATAAATAACTATAATTGAAGGTGGTCGGCAAGAAATCTTTTCAGAATTAGGTTTCAGGCTAGTTGTGACTCTTCCAGAAGATGCGCGTGCAGTCTTGAAGAAACTATGGCATTCAAACTCATGTTATCCAGAGTATGCAATATCGAGTCACTTAGATGAGTGGCTAAACTGCAACTTAATCAATGGAATTCGACTAATATTAAGGATTAGACAAACATAACAATGTTCATTACCCAGTGATCAAATCGACCTCAAACTATAACATATCTCAAGTAACCTCAAATATAATTGTATGGTTTAGGTAAATGATATCATCCAAAAAGAAGATATAATATTAGTTAAAATCAACTAATCTGTTAATGAAGGGAACTGATGGATCACACTCATCATTTAAGCAAAAAGTGAAAATAGAATGAATAGTAAACCAAAGATATTGTTGACTAATAAATTACATTACAATTAATATTGAATTATTGAAAGTATACTCTGAAGTTTTTTTTACTGTCATCTCTTCTAGGTGAAAAACAAGCATATAAAACACTCACTAATTTATAGCTTCAATATCCTTAACATCAATGGACGTAACACACCAGAATGCATAGTCTGAAAAATATTTATTTGAAAAGAAACGTTTACAGAGTAATTGAATAAACGAGAATATAAGATTATACATGCTTTGTAACTCTATAACATCTTCGATAACCTCTCTGATTAACTAATTAGTAAAAAGGGTTTGAATCTCAAACGAGGCATCAGTTTATGGAACTTAAAATATAGTTTTTCATCATAAATCTAAACATCTTGAATACTACATAAAGGTATTTCTGTGTTCTCGTTTTATTCGACATAAGATGAAAGTAACTGATCTTTTAATTTCACGCAAAAACTCTTAAATCATCTTAATTCTGATTAGTTTGTCCCTCTCCATACCATGGCTTTATCCATTTAATTTCTCGAATTGTGAATAATACAAGTTAATGAGAAGATTCAAGATAGTAATCAAGAGACCAAATAATAGTACGAGTAAAACACGAGTTTGGAATCATACACTTACAAAAGACTCTGGAAATTGTTAAATGTCTGGACCAAATTATGTATTTCAACACATAGATAATGGTACGAAGAGGCACCAAATACATATGCGCTACACAAATCTCATTCGATATGTGTGAGGGTTGTGATACTGCTCGGGTGCCCGCAGGATACTGGAGCCCATGTGCACCATTGGTTTGGAATCCGGTTAAAGCGCCGGACATTCGCTTTCGCTTTTCGTTCTCTCAATTTCGTAAACAGCACTCCCGCCACGAGAAGGCAGTGAGTAAGACTTCCCTGGCAGAGGCTGTATACGCGTGGCTGTGTGAGAGTATTTCGAGAGGGAGGGTGGGCCCAATCCACTCTCGGCCATACCAGGGCATTTGATGGCCTGGACCAAATAGACACGTATATTCAAATAAGGATAAGATGGATTTATCCATTACTCAATATTTGAATGCAATTTTATCATGAACAGAAATTAAATAGAAAACCATTCATTCTAGCCTCGGAGTTCTTAAAAGTATTCCCATAATACAAAAAAAATCCAATTATATATATATATATATATATATATATATATCTGCTTCGTTATGAGAATATTAGCCATTGGATCATACGATCTAAATGAATATTCTGAATTTCTAATTGATCGATCGATAAGTAGTAACTAAATTCATGTTTGTCTGTACCATAACACCGATCGAGTTGTAATGGTCAAACTGCAATATGGCCATTAGTCCAAGTGAATATACATTGTATACACTATGTTAAGATATTAATTAGTTGGAGGTAGCCGGTAGAGAAGTTAGGTACTGTACTAGTTGATACTCGTTAACAAGGTGTACCTTTAATCTTGAAGGAACTGATAAAACCTATGAAATTTGCACCTACGTAACCCAAATCTTGAGACGTTACCTTTGAGCTATTCGTGCGATAACTAACCTCTTGTAAAGATGAGATATTCACAAGTGACTAAACACAGGGAAGTGACTGATATCCTGTTTATCTGGTTTTTAGTTCTGGTTGGTCTCTTCAATATTGTAGGTACGCCTTGCTGACAAGTGCCAACTGTCATGAAAACTAGGTCCCAGGTTTCCTATTAACTAATTAAAACCACCTAAAATTCTGAATTTCAAATAACGGATGATGTATAGAAATATAAGGTCTACTATTAGATCGTCAATAACGTCTTGTCATTTGCATTGGTCTAGTGGTTAAAACACTCAACTTTTCGGTATTAGCTTGGAGAGTTCAAACCCCGCATTACCTACTTTGGGCTTAGGTAGACGAGTAATATCAACAGCCTCCTCAGAAAAGTGTGATTTAAAGCTGAAAACATAAACCTGAACTCCGTAAATTAATTAAACTATTATTTCATACAGCACAATAGCATAAAATTAAGTCATCAGGTTGCGCAATATACATTATGACACACAAATCCTTGAATCAATACTACTTACCAGTAACATTCAGCTTTTGTTCCAATGTCCAAGAAATTAAATCAATATGAGAATTTTTACTCTGAGAAATTTTTTCCGATTTATATAGTGAAATATTTAACAATTCAGAAATTAAATGTTTCGGTGCAGTGACATGTACCAAACATGTGAATTGTTTTGGTAAATAGTTACAATTCACATTAGACTCTAATTCATAAGCTAATAAACGAGAAGCTCGAACAAGTAAATAATCTCGAACCATATTGAAACGTTCGATAATTTGTTTGTCAGCAAATGAAATAATAGGTAAATCAGGATTTTGTTTCAAACAGTCAGCTAAACCTAAGCTGAAGAAAACAGAAATACCAATATATGTTAAGAAAATTTGCTAATTTTTAAATATTATGGTAATTAATAAGTATACCAATCTAGGGATAAAAAAATTGCACGACATAGATAGTCCCCTAGGTTGATATGATGGAACGATGGATTCGATATTCAACCGGTAAAAAATAAGTTTTAATTCTTACTTCTGTTTTAATAAATGGTTAACTACTAAGAACTGTTATATGAACAATGAGTCAAAGATAAGTACATAAACCGACACTTGGTAGATGAGCTACATGATTATTACTAATTTATGTTTTGTAGTACATAGTGACCGCTCGTTTTTAGCACATCACCTAGAATTAACAGCGTTTGATTATACAACCCTATCATTTTGACGTTAAAATGAATTAGAGGTCTAATTACTTATTATATCTGTTGTTCACTAAAATAATGCTCACTAAAGTAAACATCTATTTGATAAATACATCAATTTGTAATCCATGATATACGGATGTTTTGATTTATCTACTCTTACAGAGTGATAGGACGCGATGAAAAGGCAAAGTTACATTCTTTTACTCATTTTGATTTTTGGTAAACAACGATTCCACTTTTGAATTCAATATGATGATTATTCAGTGTAATATTTGTTATCCGGTGTGATATTTTATTCGTCATAACATTAATTTCTCTTAGTGTGGTGTTTATTTGATATTCTTGAATTAAATTAACGTGGACTATAGTCAACAGCAGCCTCTGCTTCAGTAGGCCTCAATATACACAAGGGAAAAAGCAACATTCTCAAAAACAACACGGAGGACACCAACACAGTCACACTTGATGGAGAAAATCTGGAAGAGGTGGATCGTTTCACGTACCTGGACAGCATAATCGATCGGATGCAGACGTAAAGGCAAGGATTGGCAATGCAAGGACAGCATTCCTATAGTTGAACAACATATGCAACTCAAAACAATTTTCAACCAATATAAAAGTGAGAATCTTCAATAATAGCGTCAAGACAGTTCTACTGTAATGAGCTGAAACTTGAAGAACTACTACAGCCATAATCAAAAATGTACAAGTATTTCGAAACATTTGTCTACCTAGTGTGGGAGAGAACAAACCAACTTCCAAATGAAGGGTAAATTAGGAAAAGACATTGGAGGTTGGTAGGACACATTGAAGAAAACATCAAACTGCTCCAAGAGACAAGCAATAACTTGGTATCGTGAAGGGAAACGAAAAAGAGGAAGACCAAAGAATGCACTGTGATGAGGATTGGAAGCAGACATCAAAAAGATGAATAGCAATCGGAATCTAATGAAAAGGACTGTCAAGGACAGAGTTCGATGGAGAATGCTGATGGGTGGCCTATGTTGCTTCACGAGAGATAACAGGCGTAAGTAAAGTAAGTGGTAATCTATTCCTTCTTTTGGACCATATTTATTGTGTTTAGCTTTATACTGTATCTAGTATTGTTTCATTGCTTTTTATCTTGTTAATTTTATATAACGCAGCGATTCAGTGTTTCAGTTGTTCAGCTTCCGTCTACAACGTTTCAAGTTAAAACCCCGCTCCACATCGGTTTGAACAACTGGATAGTATCATTAGCCCTTACACTAGGAGTACGATTTGAGGACAAGTATACCAATCTATGATGGTTAAATGAGTCTAGTTCCTGGTATGATTAATGTAAGGTGTAGGAATTTAGACCAACAACCATTTATTTAGGTCATACGTTGTGTGTGACTGTCAACCTTGAACGTCACTAGCATTAATGTAATTTTACGGAGATTCGAAGGTGGGATTTGGTCCTGTAATGATATTTACAATAAACATTGTAATTTGAATTCGATCTAAATGTTTTAGTTGAAAAATATTCCTAACCAGTTGTTTGGATACTGTGCGTTCTTTAAAAAAAGCGTCTGAATATATTCTATCACAATATTTCAAACAAGATATTACCTACCGTGCAAGTCTCTTTAAAACCTCCACAATGGCTAAGCAGGTAGAATTGATAGAAACAGTTTGACTTAGCGTATTTGTAGTTGAAAGACTTTTTGTATTATTAATATTCAACTGTTCAATAGATTTACGGTAAATTCCAATTAAACCATGCATATTTACAGATGCATGAATACCAGTCATTTGAGAAGCGGTATCTTTAGAAAGCTTCCATACATTTTCCTTTTGGAAATTATGATCCACGTAGATACGTAAAAGATTTATGATAAATAAGTTTAAATGTTCAGGATAACTAGAGAATTGATCAATAATCAATGATGCTTTTTCAACAATTTGAGGAATCAAACGAATCCATACATTATATAATTCATAAGCTATGATTTGATAAGATTCCGAATGCCCGAAAGCGATATTCCACCATGACAAAAGAATGAGACAGGATAATGATTCCATATAATGAACTTCTAGATTTGATTGAAAGATGTGCCCAATGAATGTTTCTAAGAGTAGTATCAACGAGCTGATATTTCGATTGTCAATATAAGGTGGATGTTTCTGAAAAGAAATAATAACGATCAAGATTTTTTTTAGATGTTATAGATCAACTATGAAGTAAGATTAATTTGAAGGATAAATTACAATTTCAGCATATCAGTCATCAGCAACACTGGACTACGTACAGTATGCATCCACCCAAAATCACATACCATGTTAACACAGAGAGGTGAAATTTAAGAAATACGAACCGTAAGAGTAATAGACATAGAGACAGATGATGTTGGACACGCATAATACACATTCTAGTAACTTTATTTGATGAAGGTTAACAACCTCATATGTTGTCTTTACCTAATAGCAGATGTCTCACCTCAGTATTTCTTACTCCGGTGTTTTACCATGCGCCAATAATTCTTCATAAACATTTATACTCAAATAATAATAGCCTAAGAAAAGATTGGATAATAATGAACTGCATTCCGCTCTGTTTTATTTAATGGCTGTGAAAAATGACAGAGAATCCAGCTACGCCACAGATGAAACTAGTAGAAGCCGAACAAGCTTTTAGAATTGGTGCCGATGTATCCAGCTATCAATCCATCAACATTGGTGAGACTTACAGTATGCATGATGTGGTTAATGTTTTGAAATAATTTACTTCCCATGGCCAGTTTAATACATCTCAGTCATTAAGTAGCGTCTTGCATCTGGGTGAATAAATGCATCTCGAACATTCTTACTTTATGGTCGAACGAAAACAAGATTCTTGCTTTAGTAAGCTATCTAGATATTGAATAACAATTTAATTATTTATTTATTTGATTTATAGAAACTCTGGTACAATAGGGGACAGAGGAATGTGCCGAATAAGTGAAGGGATAAAATTGTGAAGAAATAAAGGACGGAAGGGTCGTACAATCAGCAAATAAATATGCAAGGACAGTATTTACTGAGAGAAACAGTTCGGTTGAAAAGAAGGTCAAGAGAAAATTACTTGGTTGGAGGAATTCTCCTTACTCATATGAAGAAAGCTACAGCAGGATCGCTATTGGCTCCTATCCTAACCCATATCTCAGTCCCAAAAAGCTGTCCTACATACCACGGGGTCATGCTACAAACTGTCTACCTCTCTGTTCTTTCCACTTAGTACTAGTGCCAGCAAATAACGTGCGAATTGTAAGCCTCTGAGATCATCAAAGTAGAACATGACCAATTCACCGAAATCAATATATCAAAGATGTTGATCAAGATGATGAATCAGTTTCGGTTCTTTTTCGTTCACCCGAGTAGTTTGACTATGATATGGTAGTAAAGATTGATTATAGTGATGATTTAACCGAGCCAGACTAACTAGAGTTTACTGCTTCGAAGATTAAAATGAGAGTCAAACGATGTTCCAGTCTTTGGGCAAAGCAAGTTTTAGTACTAAATATTTCAGTGTACTTCGGGACAGTCCAAGACTACACGTTTTAGATGTAATGGTCTGGTGAGAATACGACAGAAGGTTTACATTTCCAGCTAAAAACAAATAAAACAAACACAATGTTTGGGCTTAGGTGATGTCGCCTCTCACAATTCCATTAAAAGAGGAAATCAAGATAATGTTAGATTTAAAACCAACGCACAACATTCATTTCAAAATCTCCTAATGTTAGCAGATTCCGCATAAATTTAATTTTTTTAATTACTAAATCAAATAAGTGAAAAGGGGTGTATGAAATCGACATACACTTCCATATCCCGACCGTAGCTGTTACCTTGACGCGGTGGCCGGGCTTGCCTATCGTGATGACCCAACCGAGCTATATTGGCTGGAACACATGTTCCTGTATGTTCTACCATACCAGGCAGGTCGATTGGAGAACGGTAAGACTAAAAGCAGCAACTCAAGGTCTGAGGGCGAAGTCGTACTGCTGACTGTAGAGGGGTGTGACAGCAGCATCTGCAGCGATGCTGCCTTCTCACAAGGAAGGAAGGGGTTAGAAATGGTCGGCCCTGAAAATATCACACCTCACCTTACCTCAAGGATTTCCGTCTCCGGCGGTAAGGCCCTTTGAAGAACGAAGCTAACACGTCAAAAACCTCCAACAAAAAGGCCGTGCGCTACCTGCCTCAAGCAGTTGTCTCTTGGGCTCTGTGGTCACACTCCCAGGCCGTTAAGGCCGACATTAATCCAATTTCTTTTTCAGGTTCCTCAAGAAATACCCTTCGACGGTGTGGGCAGCCGGGAAATGACACCAGCCCTCATACCCGTAACAGCATACGAGACCAAATTGGTCACATTCAAATCCTTCCTACACCTTTTAATACCAATCTTATCTCCCCGACTAACCCTTCTCACGTCCTTTTATCACCTCTCACCGCTAGGGTAAACGACTCGAGTCCTAGGGCAGAACTAGCTCTCTTAGACTGGATCCCAGTAGACAGTCGTTTGTGCGCTGTCCGACTAAACGGAACAGTAAGGACTTGGGAAGATAGGGACACTCGTCGTTGCATCTTCATCGTCTCTGAATACTCTGCCACTGACCGCAGCTCAGATGATGCAAAATATGAGTTTTACAGAAAGCTTTCGGACCTTCTCCGAAAAGCTAGGCGCTCTGGTGTAGTAATAGTGGCTGGTGACTTTAATGCCCAAGTAGGTAAACTAAGCGATAGGGAAAGACACCTGGGTGGATCTTATAGCATCGTGGCTCAAAGAACAGATAATGGCGACCGTTTGTTGCAGCTATGTTCAGATAACCGCCTCTTTCTTGCAAATACTAACTTTAGGCATAAGGAAAAACATCTTTTAACATGGAGACCCCCTAATTCGTCCCAACGTTGGACCCAAACAGATAACATCGCTATCAGCCACCGATGGAGGGGCTCGATAGAAGACTGCCGCTCATTCTGGAGCACATGCCTCGATTCAGATCATGCTCTAGTACGAGCGCGTATTTACTTGCTTCTTACTGGACGTAGGAAAGACGCTGCAAGGAAACCTCTTCGGGCCCTACTTAATGATAGTCAAGCTAAGAGTATATTTCAGGAACAACTAGGAAAACTGTTAGGCAGACATGTATGTGATGCCCACCCCGAGGCAGCATGGAATGATATCCGAAAAGCTGTGGAAACAGCAGTGATATCTGCTAGTAAGGTAAACCAGAATGTCAGGGAGCAACACTCGATCTCAGCAGCATCTATCGCACTGATAGATGCTCGGAAACTCATTCCACCTGGCTCTGAACATAATGAAGAGTGGAGTCAGCTTAAGTACAAGCCGAAAAGAAGCCTACGCAATGATCGCGAACAGTGGTGGGTAGCGAAAGCAAGAGAGATGGAAAAGGCAGCGGCAATAGGTAATAGCAGACAATTGTTCAGACTTGTTAAGGAAACCAGGATTAGGAAACCGACTGTTAGCGAAACACTCTCAGAGAAAGATGGACATATTATTGATTCTCAATCCAGGAGATTGGATCGATGGGCAGAACACTTTAGGGATCAGTTCAACTGGCCTTCAGCCACACTTCGATTTCCCACGATCTCCAGTCAACCTGAATGGCAAGTTAGTGTAGGTCCTCCGACTCTTTACGAAGTTGAAAAAGCCATAGGAAATCTGAAGCGAGGGAGAGCAGCAGGCCCTGACAGGTTTACTCCTGAGATTTTTAAGGATGGTGGTTCAGTATTAGCAGTGAGATTAACCGAGGTCTTAGGTAGAATTTGGGAACTGGACGTAATCCCATCTGACTGGTCTCAATCACTGATTGTGCCAGTCTATAAGAAAGAACAAAAGTCCTCTTGTGACAATCAGAGAGGAATCAGTTTGACCAATATAGTGTCTAAAATATTAGCTTCAATAATACTTCGACGCCCAAGCAAAGCTCGTGAAGAACAGACTAGAGAAAATCAGGCTGGTTTTCGACCTAGATATTCACACTACGTCAGGTCCTAGAACATAGATACACATTCAGATGCCCCACAATAGTGATGTTTCTCGACCTTAAGGCGGCATTCGACTCTGTCGATCATAAGGTTCTATGCAGTGTTTGTCACTGAAAGGAGTACCAAAGAAGTACATTAACGTTGTAAAGGCTCTCTACTCGAACGCAACTGGTCGAGTGAGAGCTTATGGCGAACTGTCATCAGAATTGATTACCTCAAGTGGTGTTCGTCAGGGCTGCCCACTCTCTCCATTCTTGTTTAACTTTGTCATTGACGTACTTTTAGAGATAACACTTTCCTCAACTGAATTTCTAAGGGTTGAACTTCTACCAGGAGATTCACTTGTTGACTTAGAATATGCTGATGACATAATTCAATTTGGTGAAGACGCTGACAAAATGCAGTCTTCCGACCACTCTAAGCAACAATGCAAGCATGTTCGGGATGCGATTCTCCCCCTCGAAATGCAAAATGTTGCTTCAGGATTGGGTTGCATTGAGCGTGTCGATCGCTTCACTTATCTTGGAAGTCTCATCAGCCCTTATAGTCTGGTGTGTGACGAAATCTCAGCACGGATACAGAAGACTCAACTAGCTTTTACCAACTTGCGTCATTTATGGCGTAGGTGAGATATCCGTCTATCAACCAAAGGACGTGTTTACTGCGCAGCAGTTCGTCCTGTCCTATTTTATGGTAGTGAAACATGGCCGGTAAGAGTAGAGGATATTTGTAGGTTACTAGTATTTGATCATAGGTGTCTTCGAAACATCGCTCGTATATCCTGGGACAATCGAGTAAGCAACGCACGTGTTAGGAAACGGGTACTAGGTAAGGATGGCAAATCAATTGATGAAGTAGTGAAACTTCATCAGTTGAGATGGCTGGGACACGTGTTACGTATGCCCAACCACCGACTGCCTCGATGTGCGATGTTTTGTTGTATAGGAGTAGATTGGAAGAAAGCTAGGGGCGGCCAGACCAAAACATGGCACAAGTCCATGAAGTCACTGACAAGTGGACTGAGGCATGTTGATAGGTGTAGACTACCTGATTGGGATCAGCGAGATGATAGCAACCGATGGTTAGAGACTTTGGATAACATGGCTCAAAATCGTTTACAGTGGTGCAGGTGTATCCATTCTTCGTGTTCTCCCGAATTCGAATCTTACGAATTCTTCATGTCCTTTATTTTTATCTTTCCAAATTTATTTCACTGGATTATACTCCTTGAATAACATCTTCAAACCCTGATGTTTACGATTACTGTTTATACCCTTACCGCCTCTACCTCTACGGGATTTGAATCGACAACTGCATCTCTGTGCTAATGTGATGTGGCAACTCGAACTGATGTACGTACGTATGAAGTTCTACGTTGTTCTGACTGACTGACTGATACTTCCATATTACACCTATTGAATATTCTCCCTGTAAACTATAGTAGGCATTTTTTAGTAAAATTAGGTTCGAAATAAAAAGCGTAATGCTTGAATTTACAGGTGAGTAGCACATTAGTAATTACTGGACCGAGTGTAAATTTTCGAGTTTTAGAATCAAGCACCATTCCATCCACTTTGATTTTAGGAGTCGATGAGTATCACTTTATACAGCATAAAACTTGACTCAAAGGCGAGTAAACAAATCCATACTTGGATGTTGTGTTCTATTATTATGCTTTCTGAGCTAAAATTAATAGGGCTTTCAAAAGTCTCGTAAAATGACGACAAATGAGTTACACACTAATAAACCTTATTGTTCATTAATGATCTATATGGCTTCATCAGTATCTTCAGGAGTGTAAATACACATACCGTCTAATTTGCTTTAGGCAGTTAAACAGGGTTCTCGATATTCACACGAATAGTTTGACTTGGACCAGCTGAAAATTTGACAGCGATGGCTGAATCGCATCTAATTTTTCATCCATTAACATAGCAAATGACTAAAACTTATTGAGGAATTCATCAATAATTTGTTTGTGTACGATTCGCTATAATGATAAAGACGCCTCAATTAACAGTGGTAGACAATACCGATAAAAGCTATAAACACTACATCAATATGCAGGGCTTATTAAACGGCAACAACAATAAACTATAAAACAGAGTTATATTAGATACATATGTCATAACTTACCGTAAACCAAACATAACAACATTTCTCCTGACTAAAATATTGAAATAAGCAGCATCTATCCATTACAACAGGTCCAACAGAGATAATATCAGAATCGACTGGTGTTACATTGAAAAGATTCCATAAATAAAAGAAACAATCCAGATTGGTTATCTCATCGTTATGTATGATTGACAGAGTTCTTGTTTTATTGTCACATTTTAAGGGGAATATTTGTTGAGATTCATTTTGATTCTAAATATATAAATATTCATTCAAATATAGAGGAGAAAACATACTTTTCCTTCGTCTTGTTCATACAATTTATTTAATGAGTTAGCAAAAGCTTGTTCTACCTGTACGAATACCATTTTCTTTGGGGTGCTGTAGTGACAGAAAAAACAATGAATAGATGTAATATGTTACATATAAATTACTACGGAAAACAAGTTCAAATCAGATGGAGGCTAACTAACAGTTTACTTTAGTCGAAATCCATAGATTACTCTTTGAGGTTAAATCCTATATATTTTAGAAGGTAGGTCTCGTGTATTTAATACACTAATAAACTAGGTTAATAATATGTTTGCAATAGTAATTGTAAAGTATCCAGTACAAGATGACCGCGCTTTCCCAAGAAAACTGTCTCAAAATATTAGGAAAACGAAACGGCGTGATGGAATTCCTTCAGTGCAGTTATATGAGAGCTCAGACATACTAGCTTAATAGGATACAGACGAAGATAAGTGTTCACAAAACCGTTTCAGCGAAGTCTACTCTGAGGATATTATTATTAAACACTTACATAGCCACAGCGTTGAAAAATCGAATTTCGTACCAGCGATTGTAACTCAGGAAGCTGCTTTTCAATTGTTTAGTAGCTTTAGGCTTTGAAAGTTACGTTTTATACATAGATTTAAGCAAAGCACTTAATAAGGTGCCTTACTTAGGACTTGTGTAGGAGCTTTCGATGTTGGGGATAACAGGCACAATAAAATACTAGATGAGAAACTTCCTTTGTGATAGTAGACAGAAAGTGAGAGTACATGGCAAATCATGTGTATGGAAATGTAAACTGCGGTATCCTGCAAGGCACCACCTTAGACTCTCTGCACTACAAAGACTGCCTAAACTGTCAACAATCTTGTTTGCAAATGATATAAAAGTTTGGAATATAAGTAATGAGGTTGTTAGTCATGATCTCCAAGCTGATTTGGACGAATTGGTCAAATGGTCGCAAAGTTTGGGTCTGAAGTTCAATTCCAGTAAGATTGAGCTAACGCACATCAGATACGGTAAAAGTCATCAGTGCACGTTCAGTGGGACACCACTACCACAAGCACAGGAACAAGGAGATCGTATGAGTAATTGTGATTTATCACTTGAAAACTGTGTACATTGTAATGTGGCAGCTGTTAAAGGTTTTCGATTGTTATAGTCACTTCACAGAGCCTTCAGGTGCCTTGGTAAATATGTTTTAGACTTTATATCTTACCTATGTGAAATCTCACCCAGAACACAGCATTCGGCTATCGAGTGTAGTACATTTATGCTCGGTGTCATCTATCGCAGTAAAATCTACTTAGCTGATGACCTTATTTTAGAGCACATTTATCTTTCGAGTGCAAATACCAGATGCTTGATAATAGGAGACTTTAATGCACCTGACATTAGTTGGACTGAGATGACCACGGAAGGATCTATAAACTCCTTTGATAGTGGGTTCCTGGTAACAATAATGGAGCATGCATTAGTGCAGCATGTATCCAAACCCACACGTTTTGGTGCTAACCAAGGTTCTTCTCTGTTGGACTTGGTAATCACTCATGAGACTGAGGATATTGTCGACCTAAATATTCTTCCACCGTTAGTGAATAGCGATCACGCTGTTTCGTCATCCGCGTTTAGAACTAGGGACATGTTTTACGACCAGATTACACCTCGTCCAAATGTATGGAAAGCTAACATATCAGCCATTCAGGAATGCGCTGCTAAGACAGATTGGTTTGTAGATACTAGCTTATCAGTTAAAGAAGCATGGTCTGAATTTAAAGGTAAGTTTAGTCTAATTACGTCCCCATTCATACCATACCTGGTGCCATGAAGACCGACTAACAGTCCACCATGGATAACTAAACCAGTCAGGAAACTTCTTAGGAAAAGGAAGAAGCACTGGAATATGTTCATCTCTACTGGCTTAGAACAATACAGATCCAGTTATTGTAAGATTAGGAATACCTGTAAAGTGTTAATAAGTAAGACTAGACTATCATACGAAAAACAATTGCTTAGGGATTCTAGATATGGTCCGAAACGGTTATTTTCGTATATAAAAAGACGAACTCAGAGAAGCGATGGAATTCCATCACTTTTGATACAAGAAAATCCGTTAATCTTGGCAAGAAATGATGTCGAAAAAGCTGAAGCTTTATCGGAATATTTCACTAAAGTTTTTTCTATCGGTTATGAAGAACTACCAACGATTCATCGCGACCGTGACGGCTCGCTGATGGATCCTGTAGTCATTGAGAAAGGTACTGTTTTAAGGCTACTTCAGCATCACAAACCTGATAAGTCCAGTGGTCCTGATGATATTCATCCTAGGATTATGAAAGCCATATCAGATGAAATTGCAGAACCATTAACGATACTATTTGGCGTGTCTCTGAGGCAGTCCAGACGGCCCAGAGATTGGAAAAACGCTATAATAAGTCCGGTGTATAAGGCTGGGAGTAGGGATTTAGTTAGTAACTATAGTCCCGTTAGCTTAACTAGTGCAGTTGTAAAACTGACGGAAAATATCATTCGGATATCTGTTATAAACTATGTTGAAGGCCATAATCTTTTCTCCAGGGAACAACATGGTTTTCGGAGAGGCCTATCATGCTTGACAAATCTCATTGCAAGAGATTGGGCTGCTGCAAAAGATCAGAATATTCCTGTGGATGTGATCTTCATAGATCTAAGTAAGGCCCTCGATAAGGTCTCCTACTCTGGTCTTAAATCCAAACTGGGACGTTTTGGAATCCATTATACAGTCGTAGATTGGATTAGTAACTTTTTCCATAACAGGAGACAAAGAGTAAGGGTTAATGGGGCTCTCTCCTCGTGGGGACCTGTATAAAGTGGAGTTCCCCAAGGTACAATCTTTGGTCCTCTTCTCTTATTACTTTATGTAAATAAATTACCAACTGTAGCAAAATCATCCGTTCTACTTTTCGCTGATGATATAAGAGACCCATACACAGTATGTCGAATAGGATAGTATTACAGAATGATCTTAGCTCATTGGCGGCATGGTTGGACAGATGGTCACTAGAACTAAATCCTAATAAGAGTGTGGTGAGAAATTAAACAATTATGATAAATTGTATCACTATACAATATATGGATTCGCGCTACCCAAAGTAAAATCTATAAAGATTTAGGAGTCATATTAAGCAATGATCTCCAAACCACTAGTCACTGTAAGGCCGCTGCTGCGAAGGGTATAGGGTATTATGGTCTATTCGTAGGTCTTTCCAGTATTTAGATGATGAAATGTGTTGATTATTATACCCGATTGATCAAGCTAGTCTGAGTTATACTGAAGATGCTGAGCGAGAACGATTGAATTAATAAGAGTGTGTGTGCAAAAAGTGCGAGACTTTTGATAATTTGACGGAATAGGGTTTATTCAAAATAAAATCTGAGAATTTGTTATATTTGCTATATAGTAAATATACCTAACAAATTTGCTAGACGACTAAACCAGTAATATCCTTTAAAACAAATCGGTTAGAGACTCTGTATGTAGATAGTATTTTCAGGTGCCTCAACAAAAATATCAGAGAATACAACTAAATGCATACTCTTTGGTACTATTGTCAAGGTCACTCACAGCAGATTTGATTTGACGCAAAAACACTCGCCTTCAGATCTAGATTTCAAATTTGTATATTGGGGACAAAAGGCATACAGCCTGTGTTATTCGTTTCACAGTAAGCTTCTGACAATGTCCAGTCTTCTCTTGAATGTGTCAATTAAAGGGAGTTACATTTTGGAGTTACATTTCTTCGAGTTACATTTTCCAAGACTTGATGACTTTGTACACCAGGAATATTTTGTTTATTCTTGGCTTAAATATTCTCCTACTACGCATTCTGATGTGTCTTCATCTGGTGAATGTAAGTAATGATGGTGTGGATCTGTTGCCTGGAGAAAGACTTCTCGACCTTGAGTATGCGGACGATATTGTCTCACTGTGCGATAATGCCCAAGGCATGCAATCCGCACTTAATCAATTGGCAATCAGTGTCCGTAGGTATGGTATGCGCTTTGCAAAGTACTTCTACAAGACTGGCAGGATTCCAATCCTGTACTCACCCTGGATGGTGAGCAGATAGACGTTTTCGAGAAGTTCGTGTATCTGGGTAGCTGAATAAGTGCTAGTGGGGGTGTGAGTGATGAGATCAATGCACGAATAGTGAAAAACAAAGCGGCTTATGCCAATCTGGGCCACCTTTGGCGCCTTCATGATGTTAGTCTGGCTGTAAAAGGTCGGATCTACAACGCGTCGGTGAGAGCAGTTTTGTTCTATGCTTGTGAAACCTGGTCTCTTCGAGTTGAGGACGTTAGACGACTCTCTGTGTTCGATCATCGTTGTCTCCGAAGGATTGCTGACATTCAGTGGCAACACCATGTCAGTAATGCAGAGGTTCGGCATCGTGTGTTCGGTCACAGAGACGATAATTCAATTGGTGTCACCATCTTGAAACACCGACTTCGGTGGCTTGGACATGTTCTCCGAATGTCGTCCCAGAGAATTCCACGTCGTGCATTATTTGCCGACTCTGGGACTGGTTGGAAGAAGCGGAGAGGTGGTCAGTGCATGACATGGTGTCGTGGTATGAAAGAAAGCTGCAAAGGACTGGCTTCTGTCGGTCCCTCACGACTCCCTGGTTGGGGTCTGAGAGATGGTGCAACACAGTGGCTGGAGACGTTATGGGATATGGCTCAGAATAGAAGCCAGTGGCGATCCTGCTGTACCCTTCTTTTACTTTCTTCATAAAAAGTGGTTGTGTCTCCCTTACCTGAAAGATTTCTTCTGATTGTACCTTTCCGTTCCCTCATTACTACCACACTGCCTTACACCAATCTCTTCGTTATTGTTCTCTTTTTTCTATTTCTCTTCGAATTCTCATTGTTTTGTGTGGCGCATATATATTGGCGCTCTCTTGTTCCAATATTCATGTGTTCAAATAAATAAATAAATAAAGCAAAAAAGAGAGGATATAGCTGGCACAAAATCAATTTTGGTAATCTACACATCAAAATCAGATCATCTGTTAATCTGCTGCCGGACAGAATAGAGGTCTACCTTCTCAAGCCGCTCTTTGTATGAAACTGCCGCCGTCTTTACCTTTTCCAAGATCTTTCATACACATAGTTCCCTTTATTATCTTAAAAAGAGCGAGAACGATGATTTGTGCAGTGTCATTTCTCTCGATATTCTGCAGCGTATATTGTGTTGAACATGTTGGTCTTTAACTTGGTAAGCATCCGTCTTAAAACTTATAGGATTATGAATAAATTAACTGCGACGGTGCTGTAGTGAGCCATGGTTTTCAAATCAAGGCTCACTGTTAACTTAAGATCTTTGTGAGCACCCATTCTCCCCATATGCAGTACCTATTTACTTTTGTAGACACATCTGGTCGCGTTGATAGTCATCAGCTACATTTAAGATCAACTGATAAGAATACCTAAGATGGCCTAAAAATCACATGCATATACATCTCCTGTTATTCCTTCCCAAGTGTTTGCATTGTCAGTGTAAAATAGCATCGTGAACACGACCATAGTTAGGAGTTTCCGTACATACATTACGAAACCTAAAGGACCTAAGAGAAAGCCTTGTTGTTTGCAGTTTAACAAGTTGTTGGCTTCCACGAATGTCATTATGACCTTTTATATTATTATTCCCAGTATTTTGGCTATGATACGTATGTGATTTGTTGAAGGTTGTCTTCATCCTCACTTATCAGTTGAAACGGCATTTGCATCCTCCTAGTCAATAAGTAACTCACCTTTACCAAGTGACATATTGAATATTGTAGCGGTAAATAAATCCCCAAAATAAATAGCACTAAGTTTTCGACATTGGATGCTGACCATATGTTTTAGTGGACTCATCTAGCTGAAGGCGCTCGGTCATGCATCCGCACCAGATCACGTGTGGTAACGCCGTGCTCAACATCTACCGCAATCGCTAGCCAGATTAGATCAGAGAATTCCGATATATTGGTAATCGCCAAATACACTCTTCTGATCTCCTCGACTCTGTCTTTTGATTTCTCTGGGTGGGAACGAATTATATTAGAAGGTGTTACTGGTAAAAGCGTTGTCAAACACTGAATACCTGTGACATCATCATTGGTGAGACCGACGTGATCTGGTACACCTAATTGCAACTGTGAGTCTGTTCCTTTTTGGGATTTTTATATATGATTGCCTTATTTTTTATTTTGTAAACATTGTGATTTTTTTTCGTGTTTTTTCTTGGACATATATATATTTTCCCCTCGTTCATTATCGTACTTCATATTTCATCATGACTGAACAGACACCCAAAGTAATCAAGATTAAGGCTTTGTCCCCACCTTCGTTTCAACTGATGCCTTTCTGGCCCGACAACATCGAAGCTTGGTTCTGCTACGCAGAAGCCGACTTCCACGAGCACGGCGTGATCGACACACGTGCACAATTCCTCGCAGTAGTCAAGGCACTGCCGCGGGAATTCAACAGGTACGTAACACCTAGTATGTTTACTAGTGATGTTTCCGATCCTTACGAAATCTTAAAACGTTCAATTCTTAAACGAGGAGACCTAACCGATAGACAAAGGTTAGATCAACTCTTCAATAACATCGACCTGCAACACGGTTCTGCGACAGACATGTTGCAACGGATAAGAGAGGTAATGGGACCAAGAACTTTCGACGACGGTCTATTCAAACAACTCTTCTTGTCAAAACTTCCCCAACAGGTGCAAGCAGTTCTGGTCTCGTTCCAGAACAACGCCTTAGACGAGCTAGCTGCATCTGCCGACCGTATTCTAGAAATTACGAAACCTTCTACTACCGAGGTATTTTCAGTCAAAGAAAAACCTCAAACGACTCAGAATGATATAACCGAGTTATGTCACACACTCACGCGTTATCTTAATCTTCGTACCGACCGTAAGAGATCGTGCACCCCACGTAGAAGCATTTAACGTAAGCGATCTTTCTCTAGACCACGAGAGACAGATAACCACGACTGGTGCTGGTATCATAACCAGTATGGAAAGTTTTCCAGAAATTGCAGAAAACCCTGCAATTTTCCCTACACGAAACCGAGTGACTCGAAAAACAACTCGGGAAACTTCCAAGCCGGCATGCGTTAACGGCAATCGTAGCCAGCGAACATAGCCGTCTGTTATACGTCACAGATGTGACAACGAGAGTTCGCTACCTCGTCGACACTGGCGCAGAAGTTAGACTACGTGGTGACCAAAATTACGTAAAACGAATGCACATACACAAGATTTCCACCTTGTTACTGTGATGTTCTTGCATACTACCACTATCCCCAGGTCTAAACTTGTGAATTTTCATGAATTTCGAAGTGGGAGAAAGTTTGTGTAGTTTAGATGCGATATTTTCTCTTAAATGTTTATTTTAACCATAACAACGGCATTCAAATATGCACAAACTATCTCAATCTTAAAAGTCAGAACTTGGAGATGAATAAAAAATAGCAAGTTTATCATCTTTAGTTGGTACAATCCGCTTGTATAGAAATTAGTACTTCTTGTATATATGACGTTTACCATGATCTGCTAATAATTCCTTATCATACTTAACAACTATTATAATTCTAGTACACAATTTATCAGTTAGTGTAAAATCAAATATAAAATCTAAACTCATGTCTTCCTGTCAATTAATTTTAAATAATCAATTGTTGATTACAGTATTATTTACATCTAAATTAAAACTAATATATTCCATATAATTATCGATTGATTTATTACAATATACATCTTGTAGTGTCGGTTATTATGTTAAGCCAATATATCTAATTCTAGCTTTCAGACAGCCCATTCTATTCATTCTACTTGAGTCACATTCTGACCTTGTTATTTATTCGCTTATCAATCTTGACTGTTTTATACGAGCGCGTAGGTGTGTGTACATTTCTTATCCCACTACTCATCACATGTCTGTAACTTAGTTTTGTGTAACTATAAATATTGATTAACGCTTGGTTAAATAGGAATTGGCTTAGCAGCCATCTCCACTGCGTGTCGTTTTGCTTCTTTCTATTCCATTCGCTGTATATACAAAATATATGTATTCAAAAGTCCATTCTCGTTATTCGGCTTATATAAAACCGTTATTGACTAACGCGATTCAAGTCCATGATTATATACGAGAATAGGCGATATATATATATATATATATATATATATATATATATATATATATATATATATATATATATATATATATATATATATATATATATTTCAACAACAATCATCATTACAATCACCTTGGAGTCAGATCCATGGGCCACTAAAATCTAAAAACATTATTTCATCAATATAACATTTTCATTTGCTCATGACTTACAGACATTTTAAAATTGAAACATAATTAAAATTATTGAAAATATTAGTACATTATCATTAGTCAAATTCTAAGAAAAGAAAAATCATTTCATTTCTATTATATCACGAAAAAAATTTTAATTACATAGAAACATACTACTATTATATATATATATTACTTTTTATTTAAAATGTAATAATCTAAAGTACATACATTAAATTTTTTTTAAAAACAGCAAATATCCGGACAATGCCTTAGTAACAATAATAATAATAAAGAACATTGTACAAATTTTGAAGTTTAGTTCAATTTTAATGATAGAACTGAATAATTAAAAAAATAATACTTTTTTATTTTATTTTTTTAAAATTTATATTCAGTTTTAATATTGTTTATTATTTTGTTTAATTAAAATAATAATAAAAAGAAGAAAAAACAGAACGATAGAGAGGGGGGAAAAATACTTTTTTTTCAACTATTTTATCACTCTTTTCTAATATGTAAAAAAAAAGATTCACATGTAGTGGGGGCGGATGTGTGTGTGTGTGTGGGTGTATATTATTGTTTGTTTATTGACTGTAAAAAAAATTGATTTTGAATATAAATCAATCACTAAGCTAATTAATCAAGTATACATTTTAATAATGATTATATATAGAATAATAGTGAGGTAATAATAAACATCCATTTATCCATTTGTTGTTATACATGTAATTAATTTATTTGCTAGAAAACTTTTGAAAAATAAATTCCAATATAATTTTTCTTCTTTTTTTTTCTCTTGAGTCATATGAAATGAAGAAATAGTAATAATGGAAGCATATTCAGCTTTACTGGAGCATTTTCCTTATATATATATATATGTATAGAAATATATTAAAAATATATTCAAACAGTGAATATTCAATTAATTGATATGTGTAACTACCAACGAAATTTATTTATATATCAGTGAATTGGATATGATTTGTTATCTGGGTTAGTACTGAAAAAATCAAAACAAAATATATCAGAAGATTATTAATTAACAAACATTTATGGATTTTTATCAGAAAGGAGTTTTGCGGATATTATAATAATTGAATAGTTGAATTCATCAGTCAATGGAAGCTAAACCAATATACAAAATCTGAAAGCACTGGATAGCGGTTTCGTCCTAATGTGGGACTTCTTAACATCACGCATCCACGATCCCGGACCCCGGGATACGAACTCAGAACATATCGGTCTCGCACGCGAACGATTAACCTCTAGACCACTTAGCCTCCATCCAACAGTGTTAATGTCTAACATCAACCAATCTACGAAATTGAGTTACCGATTTTAAAGTAATGATTATTGTACAAAATGTCGCAATATTATCAATTTCAGTTAGGTTAAAAGATTTGTGTGAGATATGTTCTTTCCCTTCGTAGTTTAACTATTCATTCTACTGAGATAAAAAGATTCAGAACATTAATAATGGTTTCAATTAATTCAAACACTAACATATATAAGCGAACATTATTGTTTTCGATTACATCCTCATAAGGCTTCACTCTAATAATTCACTCTAATATTTATATGCATATACGAGATTGGTAAACCAATCAAGATAGTCTATGATTCAATGATGATGACGGCGGGATAGATTACATAAATAGGTGAAAAGTATAAATCAGTAGTGTGATGACAAGTGTACTAGTTGTGATAAGAATAATAAAGCCTTGAATCAATGCTTCATAATGGGAAATAGGTCAGTGATTAGACAAATATTGACACCGAAACATTCATAATACTCATAAAAGTCACAAGATTAAATAATATTAAGTGTTCAGATCATTGGACCATGAAGCGTATATATGAGAAAAGGAAAGCGGTGGAAGGGGGTGAAGAAAAATAAACGAACAAAGAGTATGGAAAATAATAATCAATAAAATCATTTGTTAAGCACAAGGGAGAGACAAATGTTGAAGTTAGACAATAACACCATTGGATGCCCACTCAGTGGTCTAATGGTTAAGCGCTCGCGCGCGAGACTGTTAGGTTCTGTGTTCGAATCTCGTGGGGTTCGGGACCGTGGATGCGTGCTGCTAAGAAGTCCTAGATTAGGACGAAACGGCTGTCCAGTGCTTCCAGGTTTTCCATGTTGGTATAGCTTCAATTGACTCATGATTTCAACTGTTGAAATTTCTAAAAATCTCCACAAAACCCCTTCGGAGTTAAAGTTGTTAAAAATTTCTTATGAACGCAAATACTTTGATTGTTAGCTCGAATTCCTATATCTTTTGCTATGCTTAAGAGACGAGATCGAAGCGCATAATGAAAACTAGTAGGAATACGATAGCTAACTTTAAATGACCTATTTCTGTCTACCACATGACCGCTATCGATCAAGTGTGATAGAACCGAGCTGCGTATTGTCATGACTACCTTTTCGTAACCACGGAATAAAAGGTACTATCAAGTTACTATCAGTTCAGTTCTATCACACTTGGTCAATAGTGGTCATGTAGTAGACAGAAATAGGTCTAGGGCAATGTTTAATCATTTAAACATTATATCATAAAAACAGTGGAATGAAAATAAATTCACTAACTTTAATTTTTTCGCAACATTTTTGGTCCTTAACAAGGAAGTGTTATCATTTAAACTGGAAGTTGTCATTTGTGTAGATTTATTATTTAGTGATTGTGTTTGGGAGATTATTCTTTGTCTAGTATCAGATGGTACATTGGTGTTTCTTGAAATAGGTCTACTTGCATGAGACGGAGTTAAATTAGTTTTTTTGGAACTGCGAGATTTCATAAAGGTATCTGGTTTTGGAATTGAACTCTTGTATGATGATGAATAAGGTGATGTATTTAATTTTTTTCTATTAAATCATAAATATGACGAAAATTAATAAGGAATCAACATAAATTCAAATCGTTTAATATGATTAGTATGAAAAAGGATAATGTTCGTTTATAACATAGACTCTCAATGAATCGTAGTTGATAGTTAAAAAAGTGACACTGTGGTTCCATCAGGAATTCCTTTTAAAGCTAATCAGAGGTGAGTACATGATTATTGCATAACTGAGTGGTTATAACTTTTAGTGTTGCCCAGTGTTTGTACCGTATTAATTATTAACTGAAATCAGAAATGTGAACACTTAGATTTCTGATTAATTTATTACTGGTCAATAGGTAGCTGGTTCGATTCTGTGTGAACTCAGTGAAGCACACAGAAAGTCTTAAATTAAAATGAAATAGTTGTTCAGTGCTTTCCACTTCTCAATGATTCCTGTAGATGATAATAGCTTATGACAAAAAGTAGTTTCAGGTTATACAATTACAAGACACTCAAATATATAACGGTATATAGTTGAATAAAATATTTTTTCATCCTTCTACACACCTGGAATAATAAAACCTTATGGTAGTTACTACAATGACAACTTTCTTGTTACATGCTTGCATTAGGTCTTGTCTATTAAATAGATATAATCTCGGTCACAACTCTCAATCAATTACAAGCTCTGCAATGGCACTACTGTCAAAGTTATCATCAATATACTGACGTTGAAATCCATTTCGTTAGACTCAAAAGTACCCAAAATCAAGCTTTACATTCGAAATGATCGAGTATCTAAATATAACCGCCATTAATATCAAGAAATTAATCTATCAAGCCCTCTGATGAAAACATAAATACCAAATATCACATATCAAATCATAATCTGAGTTCTAAAATTCACCATAAAGTTTTATGTGTTTCAACTGATGAATCTCATACTTAGAATAAATAAAATAATATAAAATCTCGAAACAATAATCTTCCTTAAAAAGAAGAAAAGAACTTACTTTGATGGAGTTTTGTTCTTTGAGCTGGATGGTTTGGTTGTGGACCTTTCATCATTCTTCTGAACGACATCATCAGCACAAACTTCGGATAGAAGTGAAGCGTTCGAATTTCTCTACATTTGGTTCACAGCTTATCCTGTACACTTCGATGTTGATTGGTTCTTGTTGACCTTAAACCTGTCATTGTTTACTTCTTTGTTTTGATTGTATCTTCCATTGGTTTGATTTTTGTTCCTATGTTTATGCATAATTTTCTTGACTGCTTGGTAAATTGAATTAATTTCAATGTACTTGTTGATTGCTGATTGGTCTGAGTGCCAAGCTTCTAAAAATTCTCTGATGTTTTTGAAATTTTCTCTATCCAAAATTTTCACATTTTTCCAATCAAATGTATGTCCGCAATTGTTCACATGCATTGATATAAGTGAGGAAATGTCATAACATTTGACTGCCAATTGATGTTCATACAAGCGAAGATGAAGATGGCATCCGCTCTGTCCGACGTAGTGTTTTTCTCAGTTGTCACAATTTATTTTGTAAATAATATTTTGTTTGTCTTCTTTTGTTTTGCTTTTTTCATCTTTTGGTTTGTTGATGATGTCGATTAGAATAACGATGAAAATTCCATGACCAAACCATCCAACTCAAAGAACAAAACTTCATCAATATCATCTACCTAAACTATAAGTCTTCTCCATTATCTCAAAAGAACTTACTGTTCATTGTGTAATTCATCTTTCAATGGTAAATGTATACAAGGTTTAGATGTTGTATACTGTGATAAATCATTTTTAAAATAATGAGATGATATTAAATCAATTGGTTGTTTATTATCATATGAATAAGATGAAATTTTCATATCATCATTACACCAATTTGGTATATCATCAAATGAAGATTTATGATATTTATTAATAATTGATTGTTTATTTAATTGAATTATTGGATAATAATTAGATGAAGGTAAATTTCTTCGAATGGATTCAGTTGATATTCTTTGTTGTAAATTGTTATTTGATAATTGATTAGAAGAAGAAGAAGAAGTAATTGTATTTGAAGGAATAGAATAATCTCTTTGATCAACCAAATAACTAATTTAGTTTAATAAAAGAAAATAATAATAATAATTTCAAATTAGGTCCATTTTGTACTTTTTTTATTTCACTGGTTGAAATCATGAGTGAATTGAAGCTAGACCACTATGAAAAACCTGGAAGCATTGGACGGTCGTTTCGTCCTAGTATGAGACTTCTCAGTAGTGCGCACCCACGATCCCGCACCTCACGAGATCCGAACCCACGACCTATCAGTCTCGCACCAGGCGCTTAACCAACTAGACCAGTGAGTTCCTTTCTCACAACAGACCTGGTTGAACTCCACTGGTAACGACTATTTTTACTTTTAAATGTGTTACACATAAGTATAGAAAACATTTTAGTAAAACAAAAATGTTAAAAAGAAGAGAATATCACTAGAATCCATGTTAACAACAATAAATAGTAAACAACATACATGAATGAATTATTAATTTCTACTAATTATGATGATGTTGATTTGTAGTCAACATTTTAATATGTCGCTTTAAAATGAATGTACTACATTGAAATTAAAAATAAAAATGTAATTAACAACAAAATATTGCATGCATAACAACAAAGAATTTACCCCCCCCCCATGATCATCATCATCATTATCAATATCATGATGTATCGAAGAGAGAGAGAGAGAGAAATGAGAAAGTAAGCATTAAAAAGAAAATTAAATGAATAATAAATACTTCAAAATGAGAGTATATAAAACTGCATAAGTTTTTCAGCTAAACTAGGATACATGTATAACATTCATTGTTATATAATGAAGTAAACATTTCTAAATTATAATCTATTATTTAGTAAACGGAATACACTCATTAAGATATTAAATAAGAAACATTAGTTCAGTGAAGAGTTCTCCCATTTTCGTCGAATTCATTATCAAAGCTGTACAATCGCAAATATATAATAATACTGGTAATAAATATTTGTCAGACATGGTGACAGTGAGGTATGGCACGTTTTGTGTACTGATTAACTTTTGTAAATTGATTTTGACACATGTCACTTGCTATTTTTATCTCCAAGTTCTTTGATTTTAGGAATGTTTACTATTATTTACTGTTAATTAATTGTATTTTTATATAGTCATCGTTTTCTAATTGATTTCTCATATTTGGAGTAAATTGAATTGACCTACTCTTCTTCTTTGGGTAGGATATTGTTCTCTTACTAATAAGAATATTTATCTTATCGTGACAATTTGGTTTTATCAGGTGTCTATACCAGTTGAATAAAGTTTCATTCATTTATCATTATTTTTACTCATACTTACATTTTTTCTTATAGTACCTTTTCTGGGTATCTTCTGTACCATCTAGAATGTTTGTTAAATTATTACAAGAAAATTATTGATTGTTATCGTCTTTTGAATAACTGAACTTAGGAAAGCGTCATTACACTTCTAGCCCTGATATAGACATACTGAAGCAGTCCAATTTCCGGGTCTAACACCACTTGTATGTTCCTAAACAACTTTTACATACTTACTTACGCCTGTTACTCCTCTTGAAGGAGCATAGGCCGCTCACCAGCATTCTCCATCCAACCCTGTCCTGGGCAATCCTTTCTAGCTCCGTCCAGTTGTAATTCATCGTTTTCATATCTGCTTCTATTATCCGACGCAATTTGTTCTTTGGCCTCCCTCTTTTTCGCTTCCCTTCAGGATTCCAAGTTAGGGCTTGCCTCGTGATGCAGTTTGACGATTTGCGTAATGTATGTCCTATCCATTTCCATCGTCTTTTCCTAATTTCTTCTTCAGCTGGAAGTTGGTTTGTTCTCTCCCACAGAAGGCTATTGCTGATGGTATCTGGCCAATGGATGTTGAGTATCTTGCGTAGACAGCTATTTATAAATACTTGTACTTTCTTGATTGTGGTTGTTGTAGTTCTCCAAGTTTCAGCTCCATACAGTAGAACTGCCTTGACGTTCGTATTGAAGATTCTCACTTTGATATTGGTTGAAAGTTGTTTTGAGTTCCATATGTTCTTCAATTGTAGGAATGCGACCCTTGCTTTGCCGATCCTCGCCTTTACGTCTGCATCTGATCCTCCTTGTTCATCGATGATGCTTCCCAGGTATGTGAAGGATTCTACATCTTCCAGAGTTTCGCCATCAAGTGTGATTGGATTGCTGTTCTCCGCTTTGAATTTGAGGACCTTAGTTTTCCCTTTGTGTATGCTGAGGCCTACTGATGCAGAGACTGCTGCTACACTGGCTGTCTTCATCTGCATCTGTTCGTGTGTACGTGATAGGAGGGCTAGGTCATCTGCGAAGTCCAAATCGTCTAATTGATTCTGAGCTGTCCATTGTATTCCGTGTTTTCCCTTAGATGTCGAGGTCTTCATAATCCAGTGGACCACCAGTAGAAGGAGGGAGAGAGTAGACAGCATTGTCTGACTCCGGTCCACATTTGGAATGCGTCTGTCAGCTGTCCTCCATGCACTACTTTGCACTGTAGTCCGTCGTATGAGTTCCGGATAATATTGACAATCTTCTCAGGAACTCCGAAGTGTCGAAGAAGTTTCCATAATGTCTTCCTATCTACAATGTCGAATGCCTTTTCATAATCAATGAAGTTGATGTATAGTGACGAGTTCCACTCAACTGATTGTTCGACGATGATCCGTAGTGTTGCAATTCGGTCTGTGCATGACCGATCCTTACGGAATCCAGCTTGTTGATCTCGAAGTTGGGCGTCTACTGCATCCTTCATCCGGTTCAGCAACAATCTGTTGAAGACTTTCCTTGGTATTGACAGTAGTGTTATGCCTCTGTAGTTTTCACATTTGCTCAGATCTCCTTTCTTTGGAATCTTGACGAGGTGTCCTTCTTTCCAGTCCATCGGCACTTGTTCCTCCTCCCAAATCTTTTTGAATAGAAGATAAAGCATGCTTGTGGTTGTTTCGATGTCTGATTTCAGTGCTTCAGCTGGTATGTTGTCGGGTCCTGCTGCTTTCCCGTTCTTGATTTGTCTGACGGCCATTCTAATTTCTTTCGTAGTTGGTGGATTGACATCTATAGGAAGATCTATGTGTGCTGCTTCGATGTCCGGTGGATTCATTGGAGCCGGTCTATTCAGGAGTTCCTCGAAGTATTCTACCCATCTGTTACGCTGTTGTTGAATTTCGGTGATTGGCTTGCCTTCTTTGTCTTTGACTGGCCTCTCTGGTTTACTGTATTTCCCTGATAGTTTCTTCGTTGTATCGTAAAGCTGTTTCATATTTCCTTCTCTAGCAGCTTTTTCTGCCGTCGTTGCTAGTTCTTCCACGTATTTCTTCTTGTCGGCTCTAATGCTCCTCTTCACTTGTTTGTTTGCTTCTATGTATTCAGCTTGTGCTTGGACTTTCTCTGCTCGTGTTCGGCTGTTGTTTATTGCTGCCTTCTTGTTCTTCCTTTCTTTGATCTTGTCCAGTGTTTCTGTAGAGATCCATTCCTTATGATGGTATTTCTTTAGACCGAGAACCTCTTGACACGTTGAAGTTAATGCTTCCTTGATGCCTTTCCAATTGTCCTCCATAGTAGTTTCTTCTTCTTTCAGTAGATCTTGTAAGGCTTGGAATCTGTTGTTGAGAGCTATCGTGAATTCATTGAGTTTGACAGTATCTCGAAGGAAGGCTGTATTGAACCTTTGTATTGCTGTTTGTCCACTTGTCCAGTTCTTTTTTAGCTTCAGTTTCAAATTGGCTACAACTAGGTGGTGATCTGAAGCTACGTCAGCACCTCTCCTGGTTCCCACATCTTCCATTGTCCTTCGGAATTTTTTGTTGATGCAAATATGATCTATTTGGTTCTCTGTAGTGTGGTCCGGTGAGATCCATGTAGCCTTGTGTATACGCTTGTGTGGAAATATTGTGCCTCCTATGACCAATTTGTTGAATGCACATAGATTTGCAAATCTTTCTCCATTTTCGTTTCTTTCTCCCAGTCCATGTCGTCCCATAATATCTTCATATCCAGTGTTGTCTATTCCGACTTTGGCATTTAGATCTCCCATCAGAATAGTTAGGTCCTTTCTTGGGCATTTCTCAATGATTGACTGCAGCCGCTCGTAGAACTGATCTTTAATGTCGTCGTTGCTATCATTGGTGGGTGCATAACATTGGATAATATTCATTATGATCCCCTCCTTCTTTGTTTTGAATGATGCTTTGATGATTCTGGATCCGTGAGATTCCCATCCTACAAGTGCATTTCGTGCTACTTTGGACAGCATAAGAGCGACTCCCTGAGTGTGTGGAGCATTGTCCTCTTCGTGACCGGAGTATAGTAGCATCTCTCCCGTAGCTAGCCTTTTCTGTCCAGCTTGGGTCCAGTGGGTTTCGCTGATTCCCAGTACTGCTAAGTTGTATCTCCTCATTTCCATTGATATTTGACTGGTCTTCCCGGTTTCCCACATTGTTCGAACGTTCCATGTACCTATAAAAATTTTTGCTCTGGTTGTTAGAAGGGGCATCGGCCTCGTGGCTTCCGAAGGAACTCGGCTTTCACCATGAAGCGTCATAATTCTTCTAAATGAAGACCTTCTAACTCCCAGGGCAGAGTTAAAATGGTTTGGATTATTTTTTCTGGTAAGCGTTTTTTTAGCGAGTTAGTTTTCTACGGGATGGGGACGCTAACCCCATGCCCAACCCTCCTCCTTTACCCGGGCTTGGGACCGGCAGCAACCCTATAAGAGCTACAGACGGAGTTCTAAACAACTTTTACTTACATTAAATCTACCCTGGTGACATTTAATTAGTCAGTCCATGGTCTAAACCACAAAAATTTCACAATCCCCTCTGAACTGGTAAGTAAATGGACTAAATAACAGTAAAACAGCTGTGGTTTTGAAATTATTATTAACACCCTCTCACCCATTGTTAGAAAACATTTTTACACCTTCAATCTCAGCACTTAAACTTGTTCCCCAATCACATTAATAGTTTTAAAAAATGGTTAATCGGTTATTGTAGTTGTTTTAGGATGAACACAAAAGCCAATAATTTGTGTAGTAACTAGCCTTTTAATAAAAATAAGTTCAAGAAATCACGTTATCGCTAGTTTGAATTCAAATTTGGACATGGTTACAACCAGAGATATTTTGTGATCAGATTGTGTTTGAAATGCATTGGGCTAATTTATCACGTAGTTCATTTATTCATCATTTTCTGGTTGGATTATCTAGATTTTTATTAGAATGGGGGTTTGTGGAGACTGTAGTAATTTTTAATATTTGAATTCATAAGTAGATTTAAACTAAACCACCATTCAAAACCTGGAAGCACTGGACGGCCGTTTCGTCCTAGTATGGGACTCCTCAGAAGAGAGTATTCACAACCCCGCTTGCGGGACTCGAACTCAGAACCTTCCACTTATGAATTCAAATGTTAAAAATTATCTCGATTTATCAAAGAGCCAAAATGTTTTAAATAGTTTCGTTCTATTTACATCTTATCAATATACGACTGTTGTGTAACTTTCATTCTATATTTGAGATTGTTGTTTAAATTTTAGGGACTTTGTTGATGACGTAACAAGTTTCTGTTCAAGTCTAAACTACTTAGTGTAAAATAACTAAAAATATAATTGTGGTGATTTAGTAAATGACATCGTAGAAAAGAAAATTTGCTTCATTGAAGCAATTATTACTCCTTGGTAATTGTATTGTGTCACTAATGAGTGACTCTAGAAAAACCAATCAGCTTGAGCAACCTCAACAGTCCTGAAAGGGGACCTTTGCTTGAAATAATTTTATATTGCTTATTAGTATAACAGGGGTTTTTTGGAGCATTTTAGAACCTGATCTACTCACTTAGTTGAAAAACTGTTCTGCTAAAGTTCATTTACTTCATTATCAATCAGTCAGTTATAAACAATGTAGGAGTTTTAACCAATGATCATCGACCCACAAACAAATAGCAAAGAAATACAAATTGAGCACAAATAATATAGTGAGCAAAGAGTGTATAAAATTAAGGACAAATATGAAAGCATTTATTTTATCAGTTATTGGTCAATTCATTACAATTATAATCGTGCAAAATGCATATAAGGAAGTTTGTACTTTCATTTACGGTATAAACCAATGGTTAGTAATTTCATGGATCAATGTTACGTTCTTGATTTGGTTACTTCTAGTTTTTCGTTATATTGGTCTTGTTAGTCACAACCATTACACTTAGGAGTAGCTTATAAGGAAGGAATCTTTGCTAAACTGTAATTACTCAGGATGGTAAACATTACAATAACAGAGCTTATTATAAGAAATAAAAAAACCTATCAAATCGGATACTTTATTCAAATCAAAACTACTAGTCACTTAGTGACGTAATAAAATAAATAAAAATATCACTATATAAAAACAAATACTCACTTTCTTTGAGCATCAACTTCACTAGTGTAAACTTCATTTTTCAACTGATTTACTGATTTGGCTAATTCATTAAGTAATTTTGTATGCTTCAATGTTTTAGCTGAACTATGAACAAGTGCTTCCGCTTTCTCTGGTAAAATTGGTATTTTACCACGATACTCTGAATGTGACTATATTCAATGAGTACATTGAAGAAAAAAAAAGAAAAAAAAGAATAACACAAAAAAAACTGAAATTTTATAAAATCATCAAGACAATTATCAATAATTTTAAGCAAAGATGGATAGTGGTTAGCAGTAGATGAAACACGCGTCCTCGATTTCACTGCTAGCCGCCTACCATCTTTGTTTAAAAACCTTGTGACTTAAGACTATATCGAAGCAATCCACACGGGATGCACATATGCCAACATGAGACTGATCAGTTGCAGTCCTAAATAAAAATGGGCAGATACAAGTAAAAAATAACACCAAGTGAATTCAATTGTCAATAAGTCACTACAAACTATAACTCACTTCAACTATAAAATAATAAAGAAATCTAATTAATTGCTAATGCTTCGGCAAATTTCAGTAGGTTGGAGCTTGATTGTTTGTTAATCACCTTGAAGGACTTCAGTGCATCAAATCCGTGTCCTGTGTCAAGAAGATGTCTTGCGATGACACTGTTGAATGCCTTCAGTCCATTTGATGTTAAACGTTTCGGAATATGTTCTTAGAATCATTTTGTCTTGTCTAAAACAACATGTTCTTTGACATAATCAAAGGTCAACAGGTATCCGTTTCATGGTACCACCAAATGTGTATATAAATTTACATGTATCTTCCAAAGCAGTTACATTGGTAGAACAGAAAGAAGAGCCTAAGTCCGATCCAAAGAACATATTCTGAAAAGTTTAACATCAAATAGATTGAAAACATTCAACAGTGTCATCGCAAGACATCTCCTTGACACAGGACAAGAAGTTGATACACTGAAGTCCTTCAAGGTGATTAACAAACAATCAAGCTCCAACCTTCTGAAATTTGCTGAAGCATTAGCAATCAAACGTCTAAAACAAGACCAATCTAATTAATGCAAAAAACATAGACAAATAATAAATTATCAATGTATATAATAGAATACTTTGTCTTATGAAGAACTAGTCCATATGTTAACTGTGAAATTACTTTGTTTCATAATAACAATATTTTCTTTTGTAGAACAATAAATCTTAAGGCTTACATATTTTCATATTTCTTATCTATAAAAGGTTTACAATCAATCTCAAGTATTCACACTTTCAAACATTTCTTCGGTACTGTAAGTATCTGTCAAATCTACTTTTATTCATATAATTGTTAGTACTTGTACAAATGATCTTACTGTTAATATTAAAGAATGAATTTTGATTAGTTTTCATTAGTATATATGAATCCTGATCGAATTGTCTTGATACAGACATTCTGTTGTAAGTTTTATAGAATAGATAGATTGTAACTAGCTGGGGAATCCAAGATTAGTGTTTCGTCTCATTTGGGACTCGTTAGCTAGATATATGTAGTTACATCTTATTTTAAATGTGAGAGATATGACTAAAACATATGTATACTCAACTGATAGGTTTCAAATAAGATAAAACAGACTTTCTGAATCTAGCTATAAATTATCTAAACTACTTAGTTTGAATGATATTAAAAATTGTAGTTTGTTGTAATGTTTCATCTCTTGTACTGATATCATGAGTTTTGGAAGCATTTACCGATCTATTCAGTTTGGAACATAAGTACTTTTATTATCAAGTTCATCTTACTTCATCACTACCATTCATATCTGTCTATAAGTTTGTTAAAAGTAATAAGAATTTGTTATACCTTGAAGCATACTTAACAACAATAATGATAGTTGATCAAAAGCATTTCAAGTTTCAAAATATGATAATATGAAATTCACTTCAGCTAAACTAGACCAGGAGAAAAACTCCATTTGATTTCAGACTATTAAAATCGACTAGTAAGTAATAAAGCTTCTAAACACTCATAATAAAAAAAACTCAACTCAACAAACTATGTTACTTTAACACTAAAGATTCAATCTTTAGAAGTATGCTTCTTTATTTCAAGAATTGATAATATAAAGCTGAAGCAAAACTTCTACCATCACAATACTCATAAATGAAATCAGCTTTGTGAATTTTAATCTCATTCAATCTGATCTATGTGTTCAGATGGAGACGATTATTAGTTTTTTAGTCAGAGAAGGGTTTTTATGGATATTATAGTAATTTTAATGTTCGAGATCATGAGTGAATTGAAGCTAGACTACCATGGAAAACCTGGAAGTACTGGACGGCCGTTTCACCCCATTGTGGGACTCCTCAGTAGTGGTCTCGAGCGCTCGCACGCGAGACCGATAGGTCCTGGGTTCGAATCTCGTAAGGCGAGGTCGTGGATGCGCACTGCTGAGGAGTCCTACAATAAGACGAAACGGCTGTCCAGTGCTTTTAGGTCTCCCATGGTGGTCTAGCTTCAATTCACTCATGATCTCGAACATTGAAATTATTAATTTTTTCTTGCCTTGGTGACAAATACTCTTTTGCTGCATCTTAAAAATTTTCTTTCTTTTTCTTTAAACTCTTTCTTGCATTTATTACATCATTGAGTTTTATTTCAACTATCTTCCAAATCTGTAATCTTATTTTGTCAAATGAGCTCTACTCACTATATTCCTATCAATGTTTACTCATTATGTAATCACTTGTTTCCAGCCGTTTGAACTGCTGTCACAATCAACGTTGTAGAATGTTTTTTCATATAACGTATATATTTACAATATTTAGTCTATTACTTTTATTTACACCCTTGCTATACTATACGAATATGACTTCAATATAACTTACAGTCAAACCCTTTCGTGTAAGTAATTTAAATCCATTATGTAATTATGATTTTTAAATATCACAGGTTGTAAGCAGCTAACGAGAACCTACGAAATAAAAATGAATTCATGTTGTTCTTACTCTTTTCAAAATGATAAAGAGAACTATGTGTATGAAACATCTTATAGTACTCAAAAGCTAAACTAAATATTAGCAAAATTAAAATTAATAGATCTTTTAGTTGAACACATGAATTGGTTTCCTAAGCTCTTCTTGTAACCCTCAATCTAAATCTGCTCGGCAACTTGAACACCAGAAAAAAGTTGCGAAATATGGGAAGAACGCTTTACTCTAAAGTTAGTTTATATACAGAAAGTCGAGAGTATTCACAGCATTTCAGATGGCCTTTGGCTTTTGGGAAGTTTTGAGACCCTTAAAAACATAATAGCGGGATAGTTAATCATCCAATCACTTCCTAGATGTTTTCGAGTAAGTTCCATAAAATGCTGATTGGATAAGATGTTTTTTAGCGTTCTCACGGCATCTTTGATCGATTTTGAGGAACTTTCTGGGTCTCCCTAACATAAGTTCCCCCTTATTAAGTTAATATCTCATATTTGCCTATATCAGTTGTCTTCTTATGAGGCAAAATAATCAAAAGTTTCTGGAATAATCAAAAATGAAACTTGAAGAATGTGCTTTTTCTATTTCTCCTCCTTTTAATCTAACTTCCACAATATCATCGATTTGATAAAGTAAACATGTATGTGAAATAAATTTTGTTAGCTCAAAATCTAAAGCAATATGGTTAGCTTTATAGTAAAGTGAAAATAAAAAAGTGCTCAATTTATGATCATTAATTTACGCGTCGATGATCATAAGGCCATAACAATCTAGCTATGCCTCTGTTTCCACCACTGTTTCTTAATCCATACTCCATACTAGGGATATCCAAATCATTACTGTCCATAGTTTTTGAATGTATTAAATATTCATTGAATTGATTATGTTGGTCAGCTGGATAACTCTTATATGTTTGCATAATTTTAGGAATAATTGTCTCCTATGAGAATGTTATAAGTAGATTCGTAAATAAATCAAAGAGTAACTAAGAATTTTGAAACAATATGATGAATTTTCTATTGAAGAAAATGATGAAACTAATTCGGGAAATCGGTTCATATTACAGTGAGCAAGAACGTAATTGGGGACAATCGAATGTACTTTAACAAAACATTACAGCAAATCTCAGTAAAATCTTAGAACCATACAGCAAATACTTAATTTGTAAAATATTAATCAATTGTCTCAAACTTAAATGTTCCTTTAGTAAATATCAGTCAATCGTCTCAGACTTCATTGTTCCTGAATTTTCATACCAATTGCTTTCTGTTCTTGTCCTGTCCTTCCCAACCTTCTGCTACCAGACATTCAAATCGTCACTATCGTTATACACTACTCATGTCGATATAAGTACCACACACCACAATATCTTATCTGTGATAGCCTTTTAAATGTAATATCAAACTACACAATTATATAACATTCCTTTTTTATAGTAAATGGTTACACTCATTTATGAAACTTCATTTTCATCTGTAATATAACTTTAGTAAATATATGCATACATATATATTTCTTATTGGTGAAAATTCCTACAAAGAAACTCTTTTCAGTTTTACCACTAAAATAGTTAACTACAGAATTCAAGATCTCTTATTATGAAACCAGAGATTTTTGTCCTTAAAGTGAGTCATAATGAAAAGGATTTAATTCATTTATATAGACGAGCATAGACCGCCGATCAACTTTCTCCAACACACTCTGTCCTACTCCTTCCTTTCCAGTTCTATCCAATTTTTGTTCATGCTTCTCGTGTCTGTCTCCATTTCCCGGCGTAATGTGTTATTTTCTCTTCCTCTCCTCGTTTGTCTTTCAGCATTTCAAGTGAGGGCTTGCCTTGTGACGAAGTTCGGTACTTTCCTCAATGAGTGTCCTATCCACTTCCAGCCCTTCTTCCTGATTTCCTCCTCCATTGGGATCTGATTTATTCTCTCCCAAAGTAGGTTATTGCTGATAATGTCTGGCCAACGGGTCCGAAGTATTTTGTGTAGACAACTGTTAGTAAACACTTGTATCTTCTCGATGATAGTTTGCGTAGTTCTCCAACTTTCCACCTCATACAGTAGAACTGTCTTCACATTTGTATTGAAAATTCTGAATTTGGGGTTGGTTGTTTTAAGGTCCAGATGTACTTCAGTTGTAGAACTGTCTCTCTTGCTTTACCGATCCACGCATTCACATCTTCATCAGATCCATCGTGTTCATCAATGATGCTGGCCAGATATGTAAAGGTTTTTACATGTTTTAGAGCTTCTCCGTCAAGTAATACTGAATTTGTGCATGCTGTGTTGTATCGTAGAATCTTGCTTTTCCCTTCGTGTATATTGAGATCTACTGCAGCTGAGGTTGCTGCTACACTGGTCGTCTTCTCCTGCATTTGTTGTTGCGTTTGAGATAGAAGGGCCAGATCATCTGCGAAGTCTAGATCGTCCAACTGCATCCCAGCTGTCTTCATGATCCAGTCGGAACACCAAAGTTTATTTAAGTAAATATTAGTATTAAAACAAAATTAATATTAAATAATAAAGAAAAGAAAATTAATTTTTAAACCTACTTCTTCTACTGGTTTCCTTTCATTTTTCTCTTTTTCCACTCGTTTTATTCTTGTTATTGTTTGATTTAATAAATTCTTAAATTCTGCATTTAATCTATCTAATAATGGATCAGTAATTTGTGAATTATGTTGTATAAGTTCTTGATATATATTGATCAATTGATTGATTTGTTTTTCTTTATCTTTTAATGTATTTAAAAAATCCTTAATGAAAATCGATAATTGACATAAAATATTTGATAAAGAAAGAAAAAAAAAGGAAAAAAGAAAGGAAAAAAGCGCATTAGGATTGATTTTTCAAAATATTACAGCATTTAAGAGAAAAATATCATAGTTACGAAGGAAGAATGGGCGAGACTCTAATTTATGGACGAGGTGTTTGAAGGGTTTCAAGGTTACGGCGCCAACTTCAGTGCTTAATGCTAACTTACGATGGGTTCACAAGGAGTTTTGTACAAAACGTGATAACTGAGCGGCTATAAAAAATAAAACGGCGAGACTATAATTTGGTGGACGAATCAATCAGGTATAAGATAACAGATCTCGGGTTTGGGCACTAAAGCTTTTCATCCATTTGGCTAAATAGATTTCTGGCATTACAGCTGATGTCAGTTCGTGATGAAAACCCCATATATAATTCCTAATTGAGGCAAATTACGACAATTGTCGCGAACTGGATAATAAAAGTACCAGTAACACTGGCTGCAGCCAGGTACTATAATATATACGGATGATTGGAGAGCGTACAGATTCCTACATAGGCTAGGCTATGTGCATCGTGTCGTTATCCACAAGTAGCATTTTGTGTACTCAACAACCGAAGTGCACATAAACAATATTGAAACTATGTGGTCGAGACTGAAAGAGTTTTTGAGACTTTATCATGGCTCCGGAGGCCGACTATTCTGTAACCGTATGGATGATTTCCTCTACTGTGCATGCATTACGATTTTAGAACCTCTGAACCTCTTTCTAACCTTGACAAGTTTCCACTTTATTTTCTCGATTTATATAATATATTTTTACTCTATACTGACTGTTTGCTGATTGGTTAGTATTCTCAAGGTCACTGAAAATTCGTTCAAAGTTCGTCCATAAATTAGAGTGTCGCCGAAGAATGTATTTGTAACGAATGAACTTGAGGTAATTTTTTCACTCGTTAATCTGGTTTAAAGAAATATATATATATATATATATATATATATATATATATATATATATATATATATATATATATATATATATATATAGTAATATGAGACTGATCAATTATAATCCCAAATATCAATGGGAAGATTCAAACAATCAATACAAAATGAATTTAATCCTTAAATTGATCAGCACTAATATCTTTTAATAGTTAAGCTAGAAATATATTGTAAAGCATATAAAATACGAATTTGTAGCTTCATGATCTATACAATCAAAACTTTAAAAAAAACATTAACCTGACATTTTGGATCAAAATGAAGCATATAAAACGAAGCTTTCTATTATTATTATCATTATTATTAATCACAAACAGATAATGTGCAAATGAATTTAATAAATTTCAATAACATATAAGCAGTTTTAAAATGTTGTGCAATATTATAAGCAGATAATGATTAGTGGCTAGCAGTGGAATCCAGTTTGACGCATGTTTTGTCCTATTTAGGACTCGTCAGCTGGATGTACTTGAATCTTAGCTGTGCAATATTGTTTATAGATAATTTAACGCATATTATAAATTGTAATAGGTATGTATATGTAACAGCAGGTTTTTTTTCGGGGGGGGGGAGGGAGGGGTTGCTACACGTATAACATTTATTGGTAAAATATTATCTTACCTTATAAATAGTTGGAAATTTTTGTATAAACTAAATAGAGATATAAACCAAAGTGATTTTGTTGTTGTTGTTGTTGTGAAATACTTTTAAGCTTTATAAAGAATATTAGGAATAATATTTTCATGGTATTCTTTTTATCAAAGAATTCTTATGTCTATGAAATAATAATTTATGAAAGAACCAATTACATTTAAGATAAAAAGTCTTTAATTTTAGCGCGAAATTTATATATTCATTCGGTTAAATAGAATTTCGAGATTTTAGTTGACGTCAGTTCGTGATGAAAATTCTAAATCTAATTCTTAACTCTAAGCATCAACAGTGAATCATAATTGTAATTCTTCATACTGGTTTATAATCCTCATTTATTCTTAGTTATTAGGTGAACTTTTTCAAGGTCGATTTAGCATCGCTCTAAGGTTGTCCATAATTTATGGTCTTACTATATTTATTTGTCATTTAACTCAATATTTACAACGATAGTTGTTACAATACTGTTGTGGTTGAATACATTTAGGATTAAACTGAATTAGCGCAAGGTTACACGTCATAACACTTTCGTATTTATCATTCAGTTTTTTTAACTATTTATATAAATTATATTTCATGGTAAGTTTTTATTCCATATTTTTTTCTTTATTTGAACATAAATATTAGCATAAATTGGCATCGAATATATATGCAACACACAAGTCACTTGGTTTGTGTGCATGCCGTGATACTGCCCGGGTGCCCAGACAAAAACAGGTGATGTATTTTAGAGGGCCACAATCGGAGCCTTCGACCTGAAGGTCTAATCCACAAGGCAGTGGGGCAACGTCAGGAGATTCAGTCCCAAGTTAGCCGGTGACCAGCAATAGGTTCATACGCCTTTTATTCCCTCAGGATCCTGGATTCCATGTGCACCATTGGTTTGGAATCAGGGTTTTCCAACTGCCGTATGTAGATCCTCCATATCCACCTACACGGTTAAAGCATCGGATATTCGATTTTTGTCCTCTCTATTTCGTAAACAACATTAATACCACGAGAAAACATTGAGTAAGATTTCCCTGGCATTGACTGTATACGCGTGACCATGTGAGAGCATTTGGAGAGAGAGAGAGAGAGAGAGAGCTGACTCTCCCCACTCTCGGCCGTACTAGAGCATTTGGGTATTTAAAGAACCTACAATACTTGCTGAAATCGATGTTAAAAATTTCGGATTCATTCATTATTGAAGTAATAAGATACACTACTAATCAGTCTTATATTAAAACTGAAGGATTTTACAATTGACTGTGGTCTTCAACGATTACCTGGAGACTTTTAGTTTAATTTCAAATTGAATAAATTCTTCAATAACTATGGTGATGAAATATGTATTTGCTTTACCTTATCATTCGTACAGATCAACAAGAAATCAATCATTGTAACAAAATGTTTACAACACAATCTTTTTCATTTGAATTATATTAGTGTTTGTTAAAAACTGTTTTTCATTCCCAATAATGAATAAGATACAAGTTTAAAAAGCCATATACATATACAAGCAATATGCATTTTTCTAACTGATAACACATGAAATTTCCATTCAATAATTTCTTACTTCAAGTGCTCTACTCTCTTCATCATCTGGTTGTGTTGATCTTGATCTCAATTCTAATAAATGATGACAAGCTGTTTGACGTTCAGATAACCAACGGCCAAATATATCACGTTCTTTAACATAATGCTCCCATTTTGTTCGTAATTCACGTAGTTGTTCAGTGTGACATTCAAGCTAGTCAATAGAGTAGATGGGGTTTAGATAAAAATGAATACATATTTAAACCAGTAAGTTATTATGTAAAAGTATTAAGGGACGCAATGTTTTTGAGATGGTAAAGAATATTTGTTAGTCAGTCAGTAACAACGTAGAACTTCGCATGTACGTACATCAGTTAGAGTTGCCACACAACATTAGCACAGAGATGCAGTTGTCGATTCAAATCCCGTAGTGGTAGAGGCGGTAAGAGTATAAACAGTAATCGGAAACATTAGGGTTTGAAGATGTTATTCAAGGAGTATAATCCAGTGAAATAAATTTGGAAAGATAAAAATAAAGGACATGAAGAATTCATAAGGTTCGAATTCGGGAGAACACGAAGAGTGGATACACCTGCGCCATTGTAAACGATTTTGAGCCATGTTATTCAAAGTCACTAACCATCGGTTGCTATCATCTCGCTGATACCAACCAGGTAGTCTACACCTATCAACATGCCTCAGTCCACTTGTCAGTGACTTCATGGATTTTTGCCATGTTTTGGTCTGGTGGAGAAAATATTTAGCTCATGTGGATGATTTGGGTGGAGGTTTGTTCTCTGAGCTGGATGGTTTGGTCACGGAACTTTCATCGTTCTTCTGAACGAAATCATCAGCACAAACTTCAGGTAGAAGCGGTGTTCGAATTTCTCCACATATGGTTCACAGCTTGTCCTGTACAGGACTGTCAAAACCATCCAGCTCAGAGAAAAAATCTCCAATAAAAACGGCATGTTTACAATTCTGTATGTATTTTATTGTTATTGTATTGTATATTTTATAATTACATTATGATTATACTACTAACTACTTGTCACGAATAAATTTAAAAATTGTCTAATTAAATAAAACACTGTAAACTTATTTGGGTGTTGGAATATATGGAACGTAGCGGATCTAATAAATCAGTGAATCACTTACGTTTACTTTAAAAAAATTAATTAATCAAAATGGGTTTTGACTAATCGCAAATACATCAAGACAGAATTCTAAATATAACTTCAAAATTAATCACCAATCGATCGATTACTTATTAGTGACTGAAGTTATTTTAGCTTAGTCAAATTCTATCGACCAAGTTGTAATGTGGCCACTGATCTAAGTGACTTAACATTACATTCTCTGTGTTGAAATGTTAGGTGGTTGGCGATAGTCACCAGGGAAACCTGTACCTAAGTTTTATGCATTCATCATCAAGGTCTACTTGTGACACGAGATTAAATTTACTAGGAAGTACCAATAACATCAATAATACAGGTACAACTCACTGATGAATGCCAAATAACATAAAACTAAGCTTTCTTTATAAAAGGAGTCTTTATTCATTATTCAAGATGAGTAAGTTTATATCAATGTAAAGAGCCATGAGAAAAGTCAAAGAAACTGTAAGATGTTTTAAGTACAGACTTAATCTAGAATGAACAATTATAGGATTCGAATGAAACTACATACCATACAAATACAACCAGAACCAAATGTAGACAAAATATTTTCCACAGTTTTTCATTGACTTAATAAATTATTCTACTGTGGAGTTAAGGGTGAGACTATAATTTATGGACGACCTTTGAGTGACGCTAGACTGACCTTCAGAGTGTTCACTTAATAACTAGGACCAAATGAGGGTCATAAGATTGTGTGAGGAATCAGAATTATGATTTACAGTTGATGATTAAGGTTAGAAATTAGATTTAGGGTTTTCATCACGAACTAACAACAGCTATAATGCCAAAACTCTATTTAGCCAAATAGATGGGTGAATTTCGAGCCGAAATCCGAGACCTGTAATCTCATATCTGATTGGTTTGTCTATGAATTATAGTCTCGCCGAGTTAAGTTTTTTTTCGCAGATGAATACTTAAATAAATAGACAATAAGAGAGATATAGATATAAAATACTTTACGTTTTACTAAATTTACAACAATATGATTATATGAAAGCTTCACGACCAAACCATCCAGCTCAGAGAACAAAACTCCATCAAAAAAGCATCATATACCTTTCTGTTTTCTATATCGATTGCATTTTGCACATGTTTAGCTAACAATTTCACCAAAGTTTGATCTGAACTATTTCCTTTATTATCAGAGCTCTTATCACCTTCTTGTGAAACATAATCGATTTCCACTGAAGACATTCCACATCTTTAATAAATAGTGAAATGGAAAAAAAAACTGAAACTTGTTAAAAAAACAAACCATGGACTATGAAAGAATAAAAGCGTAATACAGTAAATTGATTGGGGTTTTGACCCTTTAATGTTGGTTTACTGACTTAAAGTAAACGCTCACATTATAAAGTCAGATAGTCTTAAGCTCAGTCTATGGGTTTGCACTTTTGGACAGTTCCATTTAAAGATATAACAGCTGGGGAAATCATTCTATGGTTTAATCCATTTAGTTAACTAATCTTCACAAGTCGAAAATCATGATAAATATTAATATAAAATATATTGAAAATGACTGGTTATGTGAATTGTTAATTGTTTACTACCTTGTCTCTGTGTTAAGTAGGCTTGAATAACTTAGATTAACTAACTAGCCATGAGTGAATTTTGTTCCTGTTATGTAATCCTTGTTACTCAATTAGCTCATAGAAACAATATAACATCAACTTGAAATGAAATGAACTATCCTACTGTTTATATCTTGACTGTGTTGTGATCAGTCTTCGTGAAGTGGATATAAACTTTAAATAGACTTGTCAAAAATGGTTATACCGACTCAATTTGCACTGAATACACATATACTAATTAAAACTGATCGAATTTCAGCCACAATATCAACAATAGGATAATTTGACCCATTGTAAATTGAATTAAAGCAGCCATCACACAAGTGTGAGTCTCAAGATTATCTGAACTCAGTAGCTTAAAGGATAATGAGATGACGTTTGAAGTGAGAGAGGCTGAGTTCGAACCCAAGAGTGGATATCGACTTAGATGCAGTTAGATCTACCTGATAAGTCTGAAACAAGACGCATCGTGTGTCTTGAATGCCGCTGCTAGCCACAATCTAGCTATTCTATATAAATATAACATTATTAGTATCTAAGTTAATACTCAGGCGAGCGGTCATGTCTTTTAGTAATAAAATCAGTTTGAAAATATCAATTTCCGGATACCATGAACTTTAAAAAGTAGTATCACAATTCTCAACAGCAAATTAGTGTTATCTAACTTACTTATATCCAAGTGTGGACAATTCTCTTTTCATCGTTATCAACTGTGATTGCATAGCCAATGTCATAGCTAACTGATGACCAACGTCTTCTAGACTTACTGCTTTAGCTAGAGGTTTATCATCTGTCAATTGTTTCAAACGATCTATTTGATAATTGATAAAACTTTTATTTGGATAGGTTGTTAATCCTGTAACATTGTATGAATTTGAAGAGATTGGATCTGATGTTGTGATGGGTTGATTCGTTGTTGTAATTCCTGTTATTGTAGCTACTGCTACTGATGACTGACTAATAACACTTAATCGTTTCCACCAAGACTGTAAATCATTTAGTATAAATGTAGCGACTGAATTCAATGAATCAATGTAAGCTTTGAAACGATTAAACTGATCATCTAGTCGACTCTATATTAATAAAACAAAAAAATTTCCAATCCATATTCTCATACAAACATTAAACATATGTTTGCTTAGAAATAATTATTTCCTAGCTATAAATTTCGACACTATGGAGTTCCTGAGATGATTGTCAACATTATCCATAAATCATACGACGGAATACAGTGCAAGGTAGTGCATAGAAGACAACTGACAGATGCATTCCAAGTAACGACCGGAGTCACACAAGGCTGTCTACACTCCCCCTTCTTATTTCTTCTCGTGGTTGACGACTAGATTATGAAGACCTCAACATCTGAAGGAAAACACGGAATACAATGGACGGCTCAGAATCAATTAGACGATTTGGACTTCACAGATGACCTAGCAACCCTACTCCACATACACGAACAAACGCAGATAAAGACAACCAGTGTAGCAGTAGTCTCTGCATCAGTAGGCCTCAACATACACAAGGGGAAAACCACGATCCTCAACTACAACACGGAGAACACCGATCCAATCACTCTTGATGGTGAAACTCTAGAAGATGAAGAATCCTTCAAATATCTGGGAAGCATCATCGATGAACAAGAAGGAACAGATGCGGACGTAAAGGTGATCGTCAGAAAAGCAAGGGCCACATTCCTACAATTGAACAACATATAGAACTCAAAACACCTGTCTGTCAATCAATATCAAAGTCACAATCTTCAATACAAACGTCAACACAGTTAGTTCTACTGTACGGTGCTGAAACTTCCAGAACTACTACAAGTAGCGTCAAGAAGGTACAAGTATTTATAAATAGTTGTCTACGCAAGATACTCAACATCCATTTGCCGGATATCATCAGTAACAGCCTTCTGTGGGAGAGAACAAACCATCTTCCAGATGACGGGGTAATCAGTAAAAGACGTTGGAAATGGATAGGACATACATTACAGAAATCGCCAATCTGCATCACGAGGCAAGCTGTAACTTGGAATCGTGAAAAGAAGCGGAAAAGAGGAAGGCCAAAGAACATATCACGTCGGGAAATAGAACCAGATATGAAAAGGATAAATAACAAGTGGAAAGAGCCGGAAAGCATCGCTGAGGACAGGGCTTGATGAAGAATGCTGATGAGCGGCCTATGCTCCTCTACGAGGAGTAACACGCGTGAGTAAGTAAGTAAGTAAGTAAGTAGTTATAAGTAATCCTGGAAATTTCCTTTAAGAAGAAACCCTTATTTCTAAAGAATTCTTCAGAAACAATAAAACATCAGTGTAGAAACTTATGTGTGATTTACCAAGTTCAAATCTTTTATAATATTAGCTTAAGTATGTAGATTAATAAATGTAACGAAATCTTTGAAAAATGAATTTTAAATATTGTTCCACATTATATTATAAAAAGTAAATAATATGGATCAAAACTATGCATAAATCTTCTTTATCATTAACTTAACATTAAGAAAACAGAATGGGTTTTGTGGAGATTTTCAGAAATTTTACAGGTTGAAATTATGAGTCAATTGAAACTAGACCACCATGGAAAACCTGGAAGCACTGGACGGCCGTTTTGTCCTAGTATGGGGCTCCTCAGCAGTGCGCACCCACGATCCCGCACTGCACGAGATTCGAACCCAGGACCTACTGGTTTCGCGCGCGAGCACTTAACTATTAGACCACTAGGACGAAACGGCCATCCAGTGCTTCCAGGTTTTCCATGATGGTCTAGCTTCAATTGACTCATGATTTCAACCTGTGAAATTAAGAAAATCATGTGACATACCTTGATAGATTGTGCATTCGAATGTATATTCATATAATTAATTTCAATCTCTTTATTTCTTTCTAAAACATCTAAAATAATTCTATCTAATAGTTTTTCATCATTTGAACTATTCACTAAATATTTCCAATTATCCACTACACTATGATCAATTGGAATTTCACGATATGGACATGTGATCGATTCACATATTCTATTCGTTCTTGATATTGTTGCTTGATCTTTAGTTATATTATGAATAAGTAAATGAATTAATTGATGTGTATTTTCTAAAAGGCTTTTGCCTTCTTTATTAATTTCTTTCATGAATTGATCAATTTGAATTGTTGAATCTTGATAAGCAGATAAATTTCCTGTTAGATTACTATTAGTATTATTAGTACCAGCGGACATAAGACGAAAATTTATACTATTCATCCATCGTTCAATTGTTTGTGCTGAATCACGAAATGCAGAATAGTTTTGTTGAATTGTATTAATCCAAGTGATAAATTGCTAGAAAAAAATATATAGCAAAATGATTACAAATAGGCATTCTTGATGTACTATTTATATTGTTCATGATCTTAATCAAAAACTTAATAATCTTCACAACCCCTATAGTAGTAATCAAAATGTGCTCACAAGTGACTAGCTTCGTGAGGGAATTCTCGGAGTTCTAGTGAGAAGCCGTGATCAGTGGAGCTAATCCATTTCGGGTAGAGACAGGTATCTACCTTAGTACAATGGAAGTTGGTCGTGCAATTTCGTGCATTGGTTGATGTTAGACAATATCACCATTGGACGCCGGCTCAGTGGTCTAGTTGGTTAAGCGTTCGCGCGCGAGACCGAAGGCCCTGGGTTCGAATCGCGCGAGCGGGATCGTGGATGAGCACTGCTGAGGGGTCCCACAATAGGACGAAACGGCCGTCCAGTGCTTCCAGGTTTCCAAAGGTGGTCTAACATCAATCGGTTCATGATCTCAATCAATAACATTTACAGTGTTTGAAGGGAATAAACATGATTCAGATTACAAGCCGATCTCTGTTCAGTTGTATAATGCCAGGCAATAAGTATGGAATGAATGGTTTATTATACTCTAGTATATTTTCATTTCATCTACTCTTAAACTCCGTGTAAAATTAAACCAGATACCTTTGGATTACATACAAAAAAATGACTATGTAGTCGTCGATATAGGTTCTAATTTCTACTACTCTTCTTCTCCTAACACGTTCGATGCCACTCTCATTACCGGTCAAGTAAATTCGATAAGAATATTATAATAAAAATGATAATCGGTAGTAGTAGTAGTAGTGTGGTGTGTGATACTTGACATAAGTAGTATATGATGTTAGTCGTGAACAGAAGGTCTGGCAGTAAAGAGACAAGAGGATCGAACAGTAGAGAATGAAAATAGAATGCAAATTGTATGAAAATGCAAGAACAATAAAGTCTGAGTCATTTTAAAACAACTGGTGGGCATTTTGCAAATTAAGCATTTACTTTATGATTGATAGATTTTATTAACAAGTCCTGTAATTTGGCGTTAGATACGTTCGATTGTCCCCACCCGTGTTTTGTTCACTACAGTAGTAGTAGTAGTAGTAGTAGTAGTAGTAGTAGTAGTAGTAGTAGTAGCAGTAGTAGTAGTAGTAGTAGTAGTAGTAGTAGTAGTAGTAGTAGTAGTAGTAGTAGTAGCAGTAGTAGTAGTAGTAGTAGTAGTAGTAGTAGTAGTAGTAGTAGTAGTAGTAGTAGTAGTAGTAGTAGTAGTAGTAGTAGTAGTAGTGTAAATAGTATTAAATGCTTACGTACTATGAAAAATCAAGTATAATACTTCAAATTTACCTGAATCCTTCCTTTTATTTCGGTAAATCTTCCGGTCAGTTGATTAAATTTATTTGTCTGGCCATTTATCTTAGTAGTATCAGGTATATTCTCACAAAATTGTTCATATTTTTGTGAATATTCATTAAGTTCTTTATTTAAGACCTGTACAAAACAAATTTTACATATAAAGAAAAAAACACTGAATTAATACTTCACTGTGACGAAATACTTAAAAGGATTACTTACTTAAAGATTCATTTGGAAAAACTTTATAAAGATAAATGGTCACTAAAACAGACGTTGGTTACCACCCAGTGATCAATCGAATGTGATTACATCTCAGTCGTACAGGAGGTCAGTCGTGACCCGGATAACCCTGTAGTAACATCTCTGACTGTGAACCTGGGTGACACGAGATCAAATCCATCAGGGAGAACCAGATCCCTCAAGATTACAGTTACGCCTTGCTGATGACTGCCAAATGGCACGAAACCCGGGTCCAGGGTTTCCTGTTCACTACCTCCAACCACCATCTAATCTCAACATAGTGCACCCAATGTCAAGTCACCTAAACTAGTGGCTACATTGCAACTTGTTCGATAGCATTGAATCTGCACTAAGAAGGACCTGACACACATGACATTAATCACCACCCAATGATCAATCAATTGTGTACAATAGTCTTTACATAAGCAATTCATTAAATATTCATTTGGTGTAAATAATCACGTAGTTTACTAATCAAACTAATCAATAACAATTTTGGTTCTTCCACAGTATTTGAAATCTCTTTCTGTAGCTCTTTTAAGGTTACTGCCTGTCTCAAGGAGAATTGTCAGGTATGGGGGTCAGTTACCCCCATTCCATAGAAAACAAACTTGCTAAACAAAACAAAAAAACGCTAATCAGAATGAACATTATTGAAAGATAAATTGTCAATTGAACTTACCGTTATTTGTTGAATATAAGTATTCCAGTTGTTTTCATTAAACTTGATAGATTCATGAATTAATGGTCTTATATTTTGTTCATTTGTCTCTGTTTGATTTACCAACATGCCTAATTCTAAAATATTTAACTTTTTTTCTGTTTTATCTATCCAATTGCGTAAATCATTGTATAATTCAGACAAATTTTTCTGTTCATTGACCAGATGATTTAATTTTTCTTGGTACTAATTATTTTTAATAGAGAGTTTAATTATGTTATGTAATTCGTTAGACAGACAATTACAAGCATTAGATATATGTTCATTAAGTAAAATGAATTAATTTAAGTGAATGTTCATTTAAAATCTTTAATTTAACAAAGAATGGGTTTGAACATATTTCATGTTTGCTGAAACATTCATTATCCGGAATTTGTACGACGGACTACATTGAAATTTCGTACATGAAGAACAGCTGACAAAAGCATTCTAAATAAGGAACGATATGATATAAGGATGCTTAATCTCTCTTCTGTTCTCTTTCTCCTAGAGGTTGACTGGATTATGAAGATCTCCATACCTGACGGGAAGCATGGAATACAATGGATAGCTTGTATGGAACTAGACGATTTCGATTTTGTAAATGACATGGTCCTTCTAACCCGTACACACCAACAAATTCAGGTGAAAACAGACAGTGTAGTAGTAGACTTCGTATCAGTAGGTTTCAACATAAACAGGGAATAAAAACCAAGATCCTCAAATGTAACACGAAGAACACCAACACAGTCACACTTGATGGAGAAACTCTGGAACAGGTGGAAACTTTCACGCACCTGAACAGTATAGTCGATGAACAAGAAAGATCCGATACAGATGTAAAGGTAAGGATTGGCAAATCAAGGGTACCGTTCCTACAATTGAAAAACCTATGAAACCAAAAACAACCGTCTGCATGTCAACACCAAAGTCACAATCTTCAACACAAACGTCGAGACAGTTCTACTGTATGGAGCTGAAACTTGGAAAACTACCACAACCAACATCAGCTATGCACAAGTATTTATAAACAAACGTCATCACAAGATGCTCAATGTCCGTTGGCCGGATATCATCGGCAACAGCCCGCTGTGAGAGAGAACAAACCAACTTCCAAATGCAGAGGAAATTAGGAAAAGATATTGCAGGTGGATAGGACACACATTGAGGAATTCATCGAACTGCTTCACAAGACAAGCACTAACTTGGTATCGTGAAGGGGAACAGAAAAGAGGAAGACCAGAAAAATGCACTGTTACGAGAATTGGAAGCAGACATAGAATGGATGGATAGCAACTGGAAACTACTTGAAAGGGTTGTTAAGGACAGAGTTCGATGGAGAATGCTGGTGGGCGTCCTATGTTCCTTCACGAGGAGTAACAAGCGTAAGTATGGATTGAAACATTCCCAGTTAAGTATAAATATTGTCTTTTATGAAATGCAATATTCTCTGTCACTTTTTACAAGTGGAAAGGTCATCACTCTATCACTATACTTGTGAGTACTCCTCTATGATCGAATTATAGGAAGCTTTAATTTATCGAAGGCTTCAATTCAAGGTGAAAAATTACCTTTTATGACCAAGAGAATTCGTATAAATCTGTCAATTCTACAATCTATTTATTAGACTAAATGATCTGTCGGTATAGGACAATACATTTGTAATAAATGATTATCGAAAAAAATTTGATAAGAAGTTCCTTTAGACTGTAAATAAGCTTTATTTATTTAAAGATTTCTACCAATTATCACTAACCCTTCAACAAACCATATTTATCTGAACATATTTATCTCACTCACATAACTTTATTAGATGCAACAAGAATCTCATGGTCGACAGAATTAATATCCTTTTGTTAAGTAAAGTATAAAGGAAAAACAGCAATTTAATCTATCTCTCAAAACATCAAATATTATTCACTTGGTGTTATTTTACTTGTATCTTCCCAATGTTATTTAGTACTGCAATTGATCAGTCTCGTGTTGGCATATGTGCATACTGTGCGGATTGCCTCGATATAGCCTTAATTAACAAGCTTTTGAAGCAAAGATGGATAGCGGCTAACAGTGAAATCCAGTTTGACGAGGGTTTCATCCTTTTCGGAACTCCTCAGCTGGATGTACCTGCATACCAGAGTTGATGTTCACTCCGGGACTCGAACCCAGTACTGTTCGCTTCAAACGCCATCACGTTCTCTACTCATTATTATTCGTATATCACTCGTTTGTTGATCAAAAATTCTCATTTCTCGTTATCTCAAAATGTTTTTGTATAAATGGTAAGTCTGGGATGCAGGTACATCTGGCTGACGAGTCCCAAATGGATTCCAATGCTGGCCACTATACATCTTTTCTTAGAATGTTTGTGAATTAAGTCAATTAAGGCACAGTATGCACATATGCCAATAAGAGACTGATCAATTTCATTTCTAAACATCAATGGAAAGATTCGAGTAAACAATACCAAGTGAATTTAACGATAAATGTGGTTAGAAAATATTTCAATTGTGTTAGGGTTTTTAGTTAATTTTTCCTGTTTAACGAGATTGGTACATTTTCAGTTGAAATCTTAGAATGCTAATTATGATTTGTTTGTTTTAACTGGTCTTGGTAATGTATGACATATTGTTTAACCAATTAACCCACAAATGAATAACGAGAATAATTGTCTGGACTTCAAATAAGCCTTTAAGATGAATTCATTAATAATCCATTAGGTTAGTTACTTGCTTCCTTACGCCTATTACTCCCAATGGAGCATAGACCAACAAACAGCAATCTCTAACCGACTTTGTCCTACTCCTTCCTTTTTAGTTCTATCCAGTTATTGTTCATTTTTCTAATGTCTGTCTCCATTTCTCAAAGTAGTGTGTTCTTTCCTCTTCCTCTCCTCGTTTGTCTTTCAGCATTTCAAGTGAGGGCTTGCCTTGTGACGAAGTTCGGTGCTTTCCTCAGAGTGTGTCCTATCCACTTCCAGCGCTTCTTCGTGATTTCTTCCTCCTCTAGATTCTGGTTTGTTCTCTCCCACACGAGGTTATTGCTCATCGTGTCTCGCCAGTGGATCCGAAGTAATTTGTGTAGACAACTGTTAGTAAACACTTGTATCTTCTGGATGATGGCTTTCCTAGTTCTCCAGGTTTCCACCCATACAGTAGAACTGTATTCATATTTGTATTGAAAATTCTGACATTGGTGTTGGTTGACAATTGTTTTGAGTTCCAGATGTTCTTCAGTTGTAGAATTGCTTCTCTTTCTTTGCCGATCTATGCATTCACATCTGCATCAGATCCACCGTGTTCATCAATGATGTTGCCCAGATATGTAAAGGATTTTAGATGTTTTAACGATACTCCTTCAAGTGTGATTGGACTGGTGCATGTTTTATTGTATCGCAGAATCTTGCTTTTCCCTTTGTGTATATTGAGACCTATTGCTGCTTATGCTGCTGCTTTACTGGTCGTCTTCTCCTTCATTTGTTGTTGCGTGTGCGATAGGAGAGCCAGATCATCTGCGAAGTCTAGATCGCTCAGCTGCATCCTAGCTGTCCATTGTATCCCGTGCATCCCTCGAGATATTGATATCTTCATGATCCAGTCGATCACTAGGAGAAAGAGAAAGGATGAGTGTAAGCAACCTTGCCTGACACCTGTCTTTACTTCGAACGAGTCTGTCAACTGTCCTCCATGCACGATTTTGCAATTGAATCTATCATAGAATTCCATATGATATTGACTGTTTTCTCAGGCACGCTGTAGTATCAACGAAGCTTCCATAATGTTGTCCTATCCATACTATCAAATACTTTCTAGTAGTCAATCAAGTTGAGATCAGGTTAGTTACATAGAAATAATGAATATAGTTGAGATAATCATTGAAAAATAATCAAATTTAAGACAATGAATAATGAATTTCCATTAGATTTCAGTCATGTTTCGTAGGACATTCAGTAAAATATAAATTAACTTTATCCAAAAATGAAATACTGAAGTTTTAGTGAAGAGATTTTGTTTTTGTTTTTGTTACTTCATCTATAGTTTTAATGTTTAATAGTGAACAATATTCATTCAGAATTTCACTTACTTCTGTTATTTGTTGATTGATTTCATTAAACTCATTTCTAAATTCATTTAATTGTCGTTTAGCTTTAGATCCAATAGTTTCTGTTTGTAAATTGGTGATTTCATTTTGATTCGTTACAAGTTGATGTTGATGATCGTAGCCTGTAAACATAGGTGTGTTTACAGAATCGTTTATATCTAATTGACTTGAGTGTGTCATAAATATTTGATTCATAGTTAATGCTGCAGTTGATGAAGCTCGACAAATTCGATCTGCTCTATCGCTAAGCTCTAAAAGTTTTGGTTGATATGAACGTAATTTTTCACGTATAGTCTATTTTTTAAAAAAAAACAATAATTATCGACTGAGTTATTCATTAGATAATTTGACACATTATGTTTGAAGTTTTGTATAATAATTTCACTTACCTATGAGACTTTGGGTGACATGGCTCAGAATCGATCACACTGGTGTAGGTGTATACACTCTTTGTCTTCCTTTAAACTATGAGATTAAAATTACTTTATACTTTTCTTTCTACGAATTAATTCTTTCTTCTTGGATCATATACTTATACGTAATCTTTTATATATTACCACCATTGAATAAACTACTTCTATGAATCCGGTGTTCATCTTGCTGTGCTAATGAGGTATGGCAACATGGACCGATGCATGTATGTGCCTGGTCCTACGTTATAGATGACTGATTGACTTCACTTAACTATTTGAATATAAAGTTTATAGCTGAGAATTTAATTCTTTTGCAATTAAAGTAATTATCTGAACGTCCGTTTATAACTCAGTTTTCGGATAATTTCTTCCTTCACTTTCTGACCAATAATCAAGATATCTTTATCCAACGAACTAACACATATCAAGACTTGGTGGGCCAAATGATGTATGAAGCTATTTCGGTCATTTAAAACCACTGAACTACATTTCTTAAAGTTACTCCACAATCTTGTAGGTTAGAATTTTAGTTTAAAGTGTAGAGGAGCTTCGCTCTAATAAACAACTGTCTGTTTCAGCTTTTGCGTTTGCAGAATTTTCCTAGCCCATACAAATATGATAATTAACACTGTGATTATGTTATAATAAAATATATGTCGTTTAGCTTTCCTGAAATTTCGGTATATCATAAACAACTTATCAGTGATATCTCTTACGACTTTGCTGACTAGTGCAGTGGTAATTTCTTAGCTCAGAGAATTTATTAGACAGAACTATCACCAAGTGCACGTTATTCAAAGATTTCGAGTGGATAACTACAAGCAGAAATCACAACATAATTCAACTAAAAATTTATAATTATTTTTTTCACATTATCTCAATTTCCATAAATATTGTGCATTAAACAGTCTACATGAACTATTCAACAAGCAAGTTGACAACCACTAAAGTCATATGCTCCACAACTTATAAAAGTGATCGCGTAAATGAAATTTACGATATTTTTCTATCTCTTGACTTAATTTTTTCGACACTATGGAGTTCCTGAAAAGAATTTCAACATTATCCGAAACTCATACAAAAGACTGCAGTACAAAGGCGTGCATGGAGGACAACTGACAGATGCATTCCAAGTAACGACCGGAGTAACACAAGACTGTCTACACTCTCCCTTCCTATCTCTTCTCGTGGTCGACGACTAGATTATGAATACTTCAACATCTGAGGGAAAACACGGAATGCAATGAACAGCTCGGAATCAATTATACGATTTGGACTTCACAGATGACCTAGCAATCCTATCCCATACACACGAACAAACGCAGATGAAGACAGCCAGTGTAGCAGTAGTCTCTACATCAGTAGGCCTCAACATACACAAGGGGAAAATCAAGATCCTCAAGTACAACACGGAGAACACCAATGCAATCACTCTTGATGGTGAAACTCTGGAAGATGAAGAATCCTTCAAATATTTGGGAAGCATCATCGATAAACAAAGGCGATCAGATGCAGAGGTAAATGTGAGGATTGGCAAAGCAAAGGCTGCATTCCTACAATTGAACAAACAACATTTGAAACTCGAAACAACTGTCTGTCAACCAATATCAAAGTCATAATCTTCAATACGAAAGTCAACACAGTTAGTTCTACTGTACGGTGCTGAAACTTCCAGAACTACTACAAGTAGCATCAAGAAGGTACAAGTATTTGTAGGCAGTTGTCTACTGAAGATACTCAACATCCATTTGCCGGATATCATCACTAACAGCCTTCTGTGGGAGAGAACAAACCATCTTCCAGATGACGGGGTAATCAGTAAAAGAAGACAGAAATGGATAGGACATACATTACAGAAATCGCCAATCTGCATCACGAGGCAAGCTGTAACTTGGAATCGTGAAGGGAAACGGAAAAGAGGAAGGCCAAAGAACATATCACGTCGGGAAATAGAACCAGATATGAAAAGGATAAATAACAAGTGGAAAGAGCCGGAAAGCATCGCTGAGGACAGGGTTTGATGAAGAATGCTGATAAGAAAAATTGTATTTATAACGTTTCGTGACCTAATATAAACCGCTTCTTCAGAGTAGTAGCTCACATAACATCTCGAAACTTCGGAAATAAAATTTTTCTGGGAATGAAGATATAACAAAAAAGTATATATATTTATTATTAACTTTCTATCCAATGCTCAATTTATTTGAAACTATCAAGTCCAACCTTCTGGTTAACTTTTTTTAGCGAGTTAATTTTCTACGGGATGAGGTCGCTAATCTCATGCTCAACTCTCCTGCTTTATCTGAGCTTGGAACCGACAGTAACCCCAGATGGACTCTCGGTGGATACCTATAAACTCACCTTTTTTTTATAAGTATAACATCAATTTTATTTATAGTTGTCAAGTGATCTATAGATTGAATAAACTTCAAAATCAATTTAAAAAAATGAACTCCATTATATTGATAACCATTTGAAATAATTTGAATGAACTCACTGTGATTGTATTCAAATGATTCTCAGATAAGTTTAGATTCTGTTCATTTATATTGATACTTTTTAATTCTGTTTTTAAAGTATCAAGGAAATTTCTAATATTATTACATAATACTTGAAATTCTCTATTTTCCATAAATACAAGTTGAAGTTTAGATAAAACATCCTAAAGTAATAAAAGATATTTAATTCATTAACAATTAGATATTAATATAAAACTAGTTTAACAGACATATATTGAACACTGACTGACACAAATACTGGTACAAGAGGGCACCAGATACATATGCGCCAAACAAATCTCATTTGATATGTGTGAGGTTAGGATACTCTGCAGGTGCCCGAACCGAAGCAGATGGTTTTCTTAGGGGGCCACATTCGGAGCTTTCGATCTAAAGGTCTAATCCACAAGGCAGTGGAGCAACGTCGAGAGATGCAGTGCCATGGTAGCCGGTGACCGACAATTGGTTTACACGCTATTTGTTCCCTCAGGATCCTGGAACCCATGTGCACCATTGGTTTGGAATCTGGGTTTTCCAACTCCCCTAGGTGAATCTTTGGTCTCCACCAACCCGGTTAAAGCGCCGGACATTCGTTTTTCGTCCTCTCAATTTCGTAAACAACACCCGCGCCACGAGAAGGCAGTGAGTAGGACTTCCCTGGCAGAGGCTATATACGCGTGGCCATGTGAGAGCATTTTGAGAGGGAGAGCGGACCATCCCCACTCTCGGCCATACCAGGGCATTTGGGGGCACAGTGATTGACAATTAAAAATAAGTAGAACACTTTCATAAACTATGTAAAGACATGAAGAAAATAGTATAATAATACAGTATCATATGATAAATACCTGAAAAAGAAGTAATCAATAATTTTTTATCACTTGTTATCAAACTTTTAATTGTTAAGCAACGTTTAGTTGTTGTAAGACGTTTTCCCATTTTTACTTGTCAAGAGAATAGTTTCTAGAAACTAAGAATTATCGTTTACTAAATATCTTGATATTTTTATATGAACAATATAATAAGTTTATTTCCTTATTGATTAGTGACAGATTTTTAAATCAAGAATTCTTGGAAACTGTTACTTTGATATAACAAATAATGATTTTATTTTGAATGAGATCATGAATCGACGAGTGTTAGATCACCACCCCAGTATGGACCCTCAGCAGTGTGCATCCACGATCTCACATGTGAGACTTTTAGGTCTCATGAGAGAATGCCTAACCTCTAAACCACTGAGCCGAATCCCGTGTGCGGGATCGTGGATGAGCACTGTTGAGGAGTCCCATACAATGACGAAACGGACGTCTAGTGTTTTCGGGTTTTCCACCGTGGTCTAACATTCTTTGATTTATGGTCTCAATCGAAAATTAACAATCTCCAAAACTCCACATTGATAATAATTATATAACTAGTTATACTGATATAATAAGAAATATGAAGTGATTGACATATGAAAACCATATTAACCTGACGGCTTATGTATAGTTTAATAACAAGTAATGAGAACTAATTTACCTAAGCATAAAATCTTATTCAAATATTTCAAAAAGATCGGTGAAGAAAACAATAAAATTAGAAATTACCCATAGTTTACAAATAAGAAACATTACTATAATATCTATTGAAGCTTTATACAAAGCATCTAATGAATTTAATATAATAATAGAAGACATATATCTGGTGACAATGTACATCAAAGACAAACTCTAACTAAACAATAATTAAAAATCATGGAGCATTGTTTAGTAGTCGAATGGAATCGTTTGGTAGAATACATTCACGACCCCTATTGAATAAAAGATATTTTTTCTAATTGATTGATATCAAAAAATTGTGAAATAGTTTATTTTTAAATCAGTAAGTAGATGTTATCGTCCTCACTGATTGATTTGAAGATCTTGGATCCGAATCTTTATGAGATCTTATATATACATTGTGTTTTTTTATATCTCAATCCAAGCAAAGCCGTTTTACAATATTCTTTGAATTCCAGCGATTATCTAACTGATGTCTTCTTAAAATGAGACTAATTTATGGATGACCTTTGAGAGACGCTAAAGTGACCTTGAGATTGTCCATCTAATAACTAGGATCAAATGAGGGTTATAAACCAGTGTGAGGAATTAGAACTGTGATTTACAGTTGATAATTAAGGTTATAAATTAGATTTAAGGTTTTCGTCACGAACTAATATCAGCTATAATGCCAAAACTCTATTTATCCAAATAGATGAATGAATTTTTCGCCAAAATCTGAAACTTGTTATCTTCTACTTGATTCATTCTTCCATAAACTATAGTCTCACCGTAATGTGAACATTTACTGAATTTACATGAACATAGCTGTAATGCTTTGCAGAAGTTGAAAGCTACATTGTCAAATGAACAACATGAATCTCTTATCAAAGCTGGACAAATTTATATGAAAATTAGTTCATTTAACTTGTGATTAAGAACGAAGCTAAGCTAATAGAAAGTAAACTACAGACAATACTTAATATAGAAAGCTGCTTAACATTAAAACAATGAATGAAATGGTTATTTAATGGATCGTGATTTTTTTAACAGTTCTGAAGTCTACTTCATCTAGGGGATAAGAAAAATTTCTATCTCCTAGATAACATATTAATTATACTAAGCAAATATTGATAGTAGATAGCAGTGAAATCCAGGACGTGTGTCTCGTCTTATTTGGGACTCGTCAGCTGGATGTACTTGCATCTCATAGTTGATGTTCACTTCGGTACTCGAACCCAGTACCATTCGCTTCAAGCGCCATTGCAATATCCACTTAACTACCGAGTGCTGCTTGTGCAATGAAGTGAATTTTAAATTCACTTGGAGTTGTTTTACTTGTATCTTCCCATTGTTATTTAGGACTGCAGGCACAGGATGCAGATATGCCAACATGGGACAGATCAATTTCAGTCGTAAATAACATTGGGAAGATACAAGTAAAACAACGCCAAGTGAATATTAATGATACGCTAGCAGAAATTGAATAGATCAAATACAGTCTTAAGATTATGTTATATAAGGTGCCAAGTGTGATTGTTCTACTATAAGTAAGTAAATTATTCATACGATTCAGGTCATGGAGTAATTATTCTTGCTGTTCGAAAAATCTACGAATACCTACAATCTCTATACATCAATATTTGTCATTTGATTTTAAATCTTCCCATGTAGTCTTTGTTATATCCAAGTGAAGAAATAATTACAAGTGACTTCTGAGACCTATTAATGGATTTATATTATATACATATATTCCTATTATATAACTGTTCAGCAACTAGAATATGTATATCTATATTTCTTTCATTATAAGCTTCATTTTGACTTATAGACTATTATTATACAACTTACTGGTCATAAGATATGTTCAGTTTATTGAATACAGTCTTCTACGTTCACAGCCACCTTTTGAGTTGATCTTGTTTAAATCTTATTACATATTTTAAGGTGTACTACGTTCTGTTTGGCTAGTATATAAACCAAGTTTGTTTGAAACAAATGATTCGCATAGTGGAAGCTAGTATTGGTGTTCTGAACTCAGTTAGACGGGCTATGGGAACAAAGGACCAATAGGACGCTAGGCTGACCAGACTGGTCGAACGTCATTAGTTTAGTACAGTACTAAGATTGAATAAATCGTACTTCAATTAGCGAATAAATTACGTGATAAAAAGCCACATATTAAGTCACAAGAGTCTTAATATTTCTTTCTCTATGTAGTTGGTAAGTCAAATACTAAAAATCTATTAATCATTGAATTGAATTGTAGTGAATGAGAATACAAATGGGGACAATCGAATCTATATTTGAATACAAAATAACATAGTATGTTCATAAAATCTGAGAACCATACAATAAATACTTCGTTTGCAAAGTATCTATCAATCGTCCCAAACTTCAGTATTCCTTCGTTTTCTACACTAATCATTTTCTCTTGTTTTTTCCTTTACTTCAATCTTTTTAACCTTCTGCCAACAGATATTCTACTTTCAATTGATGATACATACTACTTATATTTATCGATATCAGTAACATACACCATAGAATGATTTTATTTTAAAAAAATCTCAATACTACGAATCTTCTTATTATTACTTACCTCACAGCTTTTAATTAAACTATGATATTGAACTAATAATTGATTTAAAGAATTTTTAACACCAGATTCATTAGTTCTTTGTTGAATTGATTCACATAAACTATTTAATTGTGTTAATTCAGATTTTTGAGACATTAATTCACTTTGAAATACCTGACATTAAAAATACAAACAAAAATAATATTAGAAGGAATTTTGTGGATATTATAGTGATTTCAGTGATTGACATCATGAGTAGCCTAAAGATAGACCATCAAGGAAAGCCCCAAAGCACTGGACGGTCGTTTCGTCCTATTGAAGGACTCCTCAGTAGTATGCATCAACGATTTCGCTTCGTGAGATTCGAACCAAGGACCTATATATACAACTGACTAAGGTGCAAAATTGTGCAAGGAGGACAACTGACAGATGCATTACAAGTACCGACCGGAGTAACACAAGACTGTCTACACTCTCCCTTCCTATTTCTTCTCGTGGTCGACGACTAGAATTTGAAGACCTCAACATCTGGGAGAAAACACGGAATACAATGGACAGCTCAGAATCAATTAGACGATTTGAACTTCACAGATGACCTAGCAATCCTATCCCATACACACGAATAAACGCAGATAAAGACAACCAGTGTAGCAGTAGTCTCTGCATCAGTAGGCCTCAACATACACAAGGGGAAAATCAAGATCCTCAAGTACAACACGGAGAACACCAATCCAATCACTCTTGATGGTGAAACTCTGGAAGATGAAGAATCCTTCAAATATTTGGGAAGCATCATCGATAAACGAAGAGGATCAGATGCAGAGGTAAATGTGAGGATTGGTAAAGCAAAGGCTGCATTCCTACAATTGAACAGCATATGGAACTCAAAACAGCTGTCTGTCAACCAATATCAAAGTCACAATCTTCAATACAAACGTCAACACAGTTAGTTCTACTGTACGGTGCTGAAACTTCCAGAACTACTACAAGTAGCGTCAAGAAGGTACAATTATTTATAAATGGTTGTCTACACAAGATACTCAACATCCGTTTGCCGGATACCATCAGTAACAGCCTTCTGTGGGAGAGAACGATCCAACTTCCAGATGAGGGGATAATCAGTAAAAGACGTTGGAAATGGATAGGACATACATTACAGAAATCGCCAATCTGCATCACGAGGCAAGCTGTAACTTGGAATCGTGAAAAGAAGCGGAAAAGAGGAAGGCCAAAGAACATATCACGTCGGGAAATAGAACCAGATATGAAAAGGATAAATAACAAGTGGAAGGAGCCGGAAAGCATCGCTGAGTACAGGGTTTGATGAAGAATGCTGATAAGAAAAATTGTATTTCTGACGTTTCGTGACTTAATATAAACCGCTTCTTCAGAGTAGTAGCTCACATAATATCTCGAAACTTCGGAAAATGCTAACTTGGAATCATGAAGGGAAGAGAAAAAGTAGAAGGCCAAAGAGTACAATACTTTGAGACTCGTAAGCAGACACTGAAAGAATAAATAGCAATTGGAAACAACTGGAAAGTATTGTCGTGTACAGTGTTGGATGAAGAATGCTGTTGAGTGGTCTATGCTCCTTCACGAAGAGTAACACGCGTAAGTATATATATATATATATATATATATATATATATATATATATATATATATATATATATATATATATATATATATATATATATATAAAACAAGTCTTGAATTGAATATTAATAATATGATATTACTTGATAATTTTGTATAATTTCATCAAGTGGATAATAAATATCAATCATTAATTGATTATTTTTTTCATTCATTAATTGATTGATTGATAGATTATTCATATTATTGATTGATTGTTGATTAATTTTTTTAATTTTTATTAAATAATTCATAAATGATTGTTTAAAATCATTTAATTTATTATTGAATTGATTTAATTGATTAATCAATAAATTTAAATCATTTTTATAATCAATCATATGAATCATTAATTGTTCTATTGAATTTTGTCTATTATGAATTTCATCAATAATAATAATTGTATCATTAATATTTAATTTGACTAAATCATTTTCTAATTCATTCAATAAATGATTAACATTATCAGCTATGATTGATGATGTTTTAGTGATTTCATTAATATAATTCTGTAATAAATCCATTTTTAGATGAGATTGTTTTAATAATTGATCAATTAGAAATGATGATGATGATGGTGACGGTGTAATCGATTGTAATTCATTTTTTTCATTATAATTAGTTAATAATAATTGTGTATTCATTGAATAATTAGTTTTCCAATATTCCAATTTATTTGAATCATTTTTCGATGGATATGGTGATATTCTAATTGGATTCTATGAAAATGTTAATTTTTAATAAAAAAAAGAAGAGAAAAAAGAAAAAAAAGAAAAATACGGTTTCATGTGGGGGGGGAACATATATATCTCTATTCATGTTATATTATCAGAATAGGTTTTGTGGAGATTTTTAGAAATTTCACGGGTTGAAATCATGAGTCAATTGAAGCTAGTGGTTAAGTGCTCGCACGCGAAACCAGTAGGTCCTGTGTTCGAATCCTGTGGGGTCGTGGATGCGCACTGCTGAGGAGTACCATACTAGAACGAAACGGCCGTTCAGTGCTTCCAGGTTTTCCATGGTGATCTAGCTTCAATTGACACATGATTTCAACCTGTGAAATTTCTAAAAATCTCCACAAAACCCATTCTGATAATAATCACCTGCTCACTAGTGACTGACTTCAGGAGATACTACTGGAGTTTTAGTGAGAAGCCGTTACCAGTGGAGTTCAACTAGGTCTGTTGTGAGATATCAGCCAACTGAAGACAATGGTGTACGGTGGCGCGACTTCGTGGATTAGTTGAAGTTAGACATTTACACCGTTGGATGCCGGCTGGCTCATTGATCTAGTGGTTAAGTGCTCGCGTGCAAAACCAGTAGGTCCTGGGTTGATATTATATTACTTTAGAAATACACTCTATGAAAAGATTATCCAGTGTATTCAAGGTTACCCACGATGGTTTAGCTTTAATTGACTGGTGATTTTGTGGTAAATTACTTTTATGAAGAGAATGCGATTGGGTTAAGGGAAACAATTATTATTATAATCAATTGTACCAAGGATTGTTTCACTGTACTTGTTTGTTTGACTGTACTAAAGACATACTTTCTTCCGTTGATTATAGCCTTGCATGAATTCGGTTATGCTCAGTAACCACACTTGTACTCCTTTGGGACGATCTCGGCGTTCTTTCGATGCCACGAGATCGCCAACAAATACATTTCGACTACAGCTATCAACTGTCTTCTGATATTTGGCTTACGGGGGATCTTACTGGTTAACTGGCACGTAGTCTCCCTGTAGTGGTGATCATGTTCAACCACGACTCGACGCCACACAACAATTTCAGTTATTACAAATTACTATCATATCCACAAAAACTACTTGTGATATTTGGCTGTTGTAATATAATTAACGAGTAAGACGAATAATTTTTTCAATAATTTTAAAACTTATTTATTGGAGAAGATAATATTCTTCAATTTCAACAAATAATATTTTGATTAGTAGTCGAAAGGACTTCTTTACGGTTTCTTTCAATAGTTGAGATCATGAGTCACTAATGACTGGCTTCAATAAATATTTCCTGGATTTGTAGGGAAAAGCAATGACTAGTGGTGTTTAACCGCGTTTGTTGTGAGATAGTAACACACTGAAGACAATAGTGCATATGTTGCTCAATTTTGTGGATTAGTTCAAATTAGACATTAACATCGTTGGATGCCGGCTTAGCAGTCTAGTGGTTAAGCGATCAGGGGTGAAACTTATAGGTTCTCTATTTTAAGTGTCGTACTAGGACAAATCGGTCTTCCAGTGTTTCCAAGTTATCAATAATGATCTAGTTTAAGTCGTCTCATAAATTCAACTTGCTAAGTTAGAAGCGGTTACGAGTTCACTTAGACTGCGAACGGAAACAAAGACTCAGTGACTAAAGACTAACAAGCTAGCGATTCGATGCGACCCAGCCTCGCTAACTAGAGAAAGAAGTCCAAGCTTGGAATGGGAAGTATATTCTGCAAATCATCCAGAAACGAGCGATAACAACAAACACGATTCAAAACGTATATATATATACAGTGCGAAACCGTCCTTAGGGAGAGTTACAAAATAGCATACTAAAAGACACAACGGACCAATGGGATTTAAAATTCTTCGAAGTAGGAAATAAAACATGAAGGTGAAAATAGCGCCTTCGGCGCGAAAACAAAGCAATTCAGATTTTTCAAATAAAACTACAAAATTAGGTCCTTTCCCAAGCGAGTTCTGGGGATCTAACGTCCTCAACACAATTATTAAAACATTGACACAATCTCAACAAACCTCTGTTCTGATAAAAACCTATTTCAATCCATAGAACAAAAAACGTTTAATACCAAATCCTATATTGAAATATATATATAACGATAATAGTCAATGAATGTTTCATTATGAAATATATGTAACAAATTGTTAATCAGTTTTGAAAGAGTATTTAAAGAAAATATTTGCTTTATTTCATTTTATTACATCTAGTTTCAAAATAAAACAGTCATAACAGTCGGTCGGTCAGCTACAACGTAGAATCAGGCACAAATATGCATCGGTCCAAGTTGCCATACCTCATTAACACAACAAGATGGACACTGGATTCATAAAAAGAGTTAATTCAATGGTGATAATATATAAAAGAAATATTGCATGTAAGGATATAGTACAGGAAGAGAGAATTAGTTCGTAGAAGGAAAGATATGAAGCGGTTTTCATTTCATAGTTTAAGGGAAGACAGAGTGTGTACACCTACGCCATCATGATCGATTCTGAGCCATGTCACCTACGGTCTCTAACCATTACTCGTTGTGATAGTCACGCGGACCACAACCAAGTAATCTGCATCTACCAACATGACTCAGACTAGAAGTTACTAATTTCAAGAACTGATGCCCACATTTTGGTTTAGCAGCCCCTAACTTTGTCCCAACCATCCCCAACAGTTGTAAACATTGTGCGTCTTAATAATCACTGTTCACATGCATATGTGACACATGACACAACCATCTCAGTCGATGAAGATTCAAAACCTCATCAACCGATTGACCATCATTCTCTAATACTTTACGTCTAACCTCACTAATAGTTGTCCGATGATCCTAATAGATACTGACAATATTTCTAAGGCATCTATGGTCAAATACTAGTAGCTCATGAATATCTTCTACTCTTAATAACCACGTTTCGCAGCTGTAAATTAGAAAAGAACGGACCGCCGCTCAGTATACTCGTCCTTTAAGTTAACAAAAGCCAAACGTACTTTCTATATCCTCCTACCTTCAACATCACATTCAATCATAGAATTTAACTTACTTTCCCTTCTTTTATTCTACAGAATTGTTCAGAGATTTCTTCAATCCATTGTTTAGAATTTTTTAAATTAATCATTAATTCTTTTAATTTTATTTTGATACGTTTTAAACAATCGATTATTTCTTTAATAGAATATTGATTTTCTTTTATTTCATTTATTAATAATAAGAATTTTTTTTCATATGATTGATTTAAATCGAATTTATTGATTAATTGATTATTATTATTATTAGTAGTAGTAGTGGCATTATTATTGATTTTTGATAATGATGTTTGTTTTTCTATTAATTCTTTATCTAATTCATTTAAAGAATCAATAAATCGATTAATTTCAATATCAATCATATGAAATTCATTCAATTGTTTTAAATCAATAAATAATTTAGTTATATTTAATTGAATTAAATATAAATTATTTTTCCATTGTTTAAACCAATTTTCATATGAATTATATTCTATTTCATAAGTTTTCATTAATTCATGATGTTGATTTTGTTGATTTTTTATAGTATTAATTAATTGGATTATAAATTGATAAATTTGTTCAGATCTTTTATATTGTTGATTTAATAAATCATTTATTATGGTATTGATTTCATTCGTTTGGTGTTGTTGTTGTTGTTGGTGGTGCTGGTGATGGTCCTGATGGTGGTGGTGTTGCTGTTGTTGTTGTTGCTGTTGCTCTTGTTGCTTTAATTGTTCTATCCATTCATGTATTGATTTTAAATAGGTTTTGCCAATATCTAATTTTAATTGAAGTTCATCTATTCTATTATTATGATGATGATGATTATATTATTGATTTTTCTCATGATTATCTTGTTTAATTTGATTGATTAATTGTAAAATTTCTTTGATCCATAAATCTAAATCTTTATTCGATTGTATTAATTGATTAAAATAAGTTAATTTAATTTGTATTATATTAATATCATAATTAATATTATTGATTAAATGTTGATTACATTGTTTAATATAATTACAATTTTGTTCAATGATATCAATACCATATATTATAGGATGTATTATCATTTGTTCATCGGACTGATTATGAATATTGATTTTTGTAAATGATTTATGAATATTGATTATTTGTCTAATGAATGTTAATAATTTTTCTGTTAATATATGAATTGATGGATTATATTCTATAAATAATTTACGTAATTCATAAAGTGTTTGTAATAATTTTTGATATTGTAAATGAAGTTCTACTAAATGAGTTGAATTATGATTTGATTCCTTTTCTATATCATGAATTGATATATCAGTTATGGATTGATATAAATTACTTTTATTCAATAATATATTTTCTATATTATATTCTATTTTAGTTTGTTGATATTGTTTATCCAAATTGTTAAACCATTGTTCATAATTAACAATATCGATATTAAGATTATTTAATTGATTATATAATTCATTAAGATTATTTGTATAATCGGTTAATTCGGTTTTCAATGAAATGAATCGATCAAACATGAATGAATTTTCAAATGCTGATTTTAATTCACATTCTATAACTTGACTACTTATATCTTTTTCAGTAGTTTGTAATTTTTCCATAATATTTAAGTCATATTCTTTTAAATTAACAATGATTTGTTGTATTATTTTCATAATTGATTGACATATTTCACTGAGTTTACAATGAGTATATTGTTCATCAAATTCAATTTTAAACTGGTTTGTTAATGTTTTATATTTTATATTGGCTCCTTCAAGAGATCTATTAAAATCTTCAACATTTTGTTTTAATTTTTTTAATTTCAATGTATAATTTTCAAATTCTTTAATTTTATCTTTTACTATTGTTAAACATTGATTATATCGTGTTTTAAAACTATTCACATAATCTTTTGATGGTTTTAAAGTAGCTTTATTATGCAATATTTCATAAGGATCTAATATATCATGTTTAAATCTTTCTAATTCAATTAATAAATCATTCCATTTCATTGTATCCATGAATGTTTCTTCAATTAATAAATCTTCTAATTTACTGATTTTGAATATCATTGAAGTTTGTTTTAATTTATCAATAGATTGTTCATATTTTGTTAATTGTTCATCAATATCATTCCCTTTAGATGTAAGATTATCTAAATTATCTTTAAGTTGTAATAAATTAGTTTTTATATTATTGATTCGTGATTTATCTAATGTGATAATACGATTATGTAGTTCTTTCAGCTCTGTATTATTATATAATTCATCATATTGATTAAATTTATTCATGAATATATCGAATAAGTTTTCACCTTGTGAATAATTTTCTTCTATATTGTTTATACTACTTAAATGTTTTTCAATAGTTTTATGAGTTGGTGATAAATTTAATTGTGGTTGATGTTTAGGTTCAATGATGATTTCTGATATATTATCTTCGATATTTTTTATATCATTTTCATAATTGATTATCCAATCTTGTATTGATTTATATAATTTATTGATTTCATATTCATCAGTTAAAAGATTTTTACATTTTATTATATTATCATTTAATTGATTAGATAATAGTTGTAATGATTGTTCCATTTGTGTAATAAATTCCTGTATAGAAGGATCATCTATAAATTTCAATTTTATATTCATTGATTGTGGTTTATTAAATAATTGATTCGATTGTTGTTTAATTGATTGAAAATTATTCAATAAATTAAATAATTGATATTGTTTAATATTATTTAAATCATTCATAATCATTGATTTTATTGATTTTTGATTTTGTATTAGATAATTTATATCAATTTGTAAATGTTGTGATTTTTCATTAATTAATTTAGAAATTTCATCATAATTTTTATTGAATTGTTCAATTTTATTTATTAATTTTCGATAATTTAATTGTATTACTTTAAATTCATTAGTAGTATTTTCAATCCATTCTATTAAATTATTTAAATGATTTATAAAATTATTCCAACTTATCAATTGATTTGCTGTTGATGTTGTTGTTGTTGTTGTTGATGACGATGACGAAGATGATGAAAGGGAAGAAACCTGTGTTTTATTTAATTGAATGATTTCTATAATTAATTGATATAAATCATTCATTTTCTTAATATTTTTATTATCGATTAAATTTTGATCATTTTTATTGATTATTTGTTGAATATTATTGATATCATTTCTATATTCTGTGAAATCAATCAATAAATTATTGATTATTTGTTCCAATGATAAATCATTCATTGAATTTATCATAAATTGATCAATAATTTTTTGAATTTCTAATTGATATTTATTTAAATAATCGATAGATTGATTTAATTTATTTTGTATTAATTCATAATTATTTTTTTGTAATTCATAATTTTGTTTTAATTGAATTAAATTTTCATTGATTTGTTGAATCATAATTGAATTCATTGATAATAATTCATTGATTTTATTATTTTGTATATTTGTTTCTTTAAAATTTTCATATAAATTATTATAACGATTATGTAATTTTGTATATTGTTCATTCATAGAATTTAATTGTTGATTAAAATCAATATTATTGATTTGATCAATAATTTTTATATGACATAATTGATTTAATGAATTTTTTAATTGATTAAATTCATTATTGAATTCATTGAAATTATTGAAATAATTCATTTCAATTTGATTAGATTGTTTATATAATTCAATGGTTTCTTTCATATTATTCATTAATAAATCTTTTTTATTCAGAAATTGTTTAAAACAATTAGATAATATATCATTGATGATTATAGATTGATATTTTATACAAGTTGTTTCTATTGATTGATTCAATGTCATTTGTATTGGATCAATTTTGATTTGTAATTGATTTAATAAATGATTAATTGATTGAATTAAATAATCATACGGATCAATATTTTGTTTTAAACATATTGTTTGATATTCTTTTTGAATTAAATCAATATTATTTTGTCCTTCATGATAACATGTGAATATATGATTTAAATTATTGATTAATTGTGATAATTGATTTAATCGATGAAATAAATCATTGGTTAATTGATTAATTTGTTGATATAAATCATTTTGTAATGAAATAAAAAATTTTGAATGTTTTGTATATGTTTTTATTAAATCATTTAATAGATTATTGATTTCATTTTCAATTATTGATAATTTAGATGATTGATTACGATTTGATGGTGATTCACATGATAATTCTATACCAAATTGATTACAAATTAATTTAATTTCATTAAAATTTAATTGATAAAATTGATAAAGTTGTTCTAGATCATAATTAATCGATATTATTGATTCTTTATTTAAAATCAATAAAAATTGGTTATGATTAATATTTAAAAAATTTTGAACATTTTTAATTAATTCATTTAATTTAATTAATTTTAATAAAATCGATTGAATATCATTAGAATCTATATGAAGTTTATTAAAAAATTGTTCCATTTCTTGTTGACATTGCATTAAATCATCATTTGAAATAGATTGAATAGATTGACTAAGATATTCAATATGCATAAATTGTGTTTTTAATTCTGATTGATTTGTAAGAAGATCCTTGAATTTGAATAAAAAGAGATGAAAATGAAATAATAATAAAAAGTAGAAGTATTTATAGTGTTATATTCTAGTGAAGATTACATTACGAATAACGTCTGAGATCTATTAATGGACTAATATTATCTATATATATATATTCTTATGGTATAACTATTCAGTAATTAGATTATGTATATCTATATTCCTTACATTATGAGCTTCATTTTGATCTGAGGATTATTATTATACGATTTACCATTGTTGAGTTATGCCCTGTCTATTAATTACCACCTCCTTCATTAACTGCCATCTTTTGGCCAAATCTTGTACAAATGTTGTTTCCTATTTTATTGGTACAATATGGTCTGTTTGGTTGGTATATAAATGATTCGTATCTGCACTCAACAGGTAGGGTTAGGCAGGAAGCAGGATCGGTAAGGGCTATAGACTGTGCGTACAGTTTTTGGTCCGTTACTGGTCCGGTCGATAAATCACTGTACTCTAATTGGCGGTATCATTAAGTTATACATTGATAGGGACGCAAACCCACAAGTTATAACCCATTGTTAAGTGATGATTATCGAACTTTTATTAAGTATTGGTAATTTTCTTTAAAAAATTTACTTATGGTTATAGTTAAACAAAGTTGAGACCATCAGTGTTTTAACTTTTCTTTCTTTCTCTCTACAAAAAAAACGAGAGTTCATAGTGGTTCCTGTTATATCCTAATGAAGATTAAATTACGAGTAACTTCTGAGACCAATGAATGGACTAATATTATCTATATATTCTTATCGTGTAGCTATTCAGTAATTAGACTATGTATATTTATATTCCTTTCGTTATAAGCTTCACTTTGGTCTAAGGATTATTATTATACTATTTACTGTTCTCAAGTTATGTTTAGTTTATTGATTACAGTCTCCTACAATCACATTCACTTTCTGGCTTGATCTTGCATAAATATCATTACCTATTTTAAGGTGTGATGTGATCTCTTTGCCTGGTATATAAACCCAGTATGTTTGAAATAAATGATTCGTATATTGGAAGCTGTTATTGGCGTTCTGGACTTAACTGAACGGGCTAGGGGAATAGGTGACCAATAAAGATCATAGACTGCTCATACCGGTTGAACATCATCGATTTAGCACAGTACTAAGATTGTATAAGTCGTACTTCGATTAGTAGATAAATCATACGATAACTAGGCACAACATATAGATTTTAACAAGCAAGGTTTATGAAACAGATGACTTCATATATCACCTAGAAACACTGCAGTGTGAACCATATTTTCTATTTGTATAATATATTCCTAAGCTATCTATTTTCCTATCTTATTATTATCTCAACGAGTTCTTTATGTGTTTTTTTTAGTTTACCCAGTTAACGACGTTAATATGTAATTGAGCAGCTTTTCTTTGGCCTAACAATTATCTCCATGTTAAATATCATCAAACTGAATTGAAAACAGTGGTTAATATATTTTTGATTTGACTATTCTATAGCTTAGTGAGGTGCTAAATGAGTGGAATCCATTCATATTATTTAAAATATTAATTGCCTATCATATTCTATATAACATATGAGATGATAAAGCAACTTAAATACAAAACTAACCTGAAAATTATTCATATAAACACAAGTATACATTATTCATTATTATTTGTACTAAATAACTTCTAAGATACTCATGAATGATTACAAAAAAACAACAGAATAAGTCAGATTAGTTCGAGAGCGGTTTTGTGGATAATATAGTAATTGAATTTATGAATCAGTGGTCTAGTGCTCATGTGCATGCGCGCGAGACTGATAGGTACTGGGTATGAATGACAATTGATTGATCACTGGGTGGCGATCAATGTCATGAGTGTCTAGTCCTTATTAGTGCAGATCGAATGCTATCGATCATGTTGCAATGTGGCCACTAGTCTAGGTGACACAAGACTGAATCCGCCAGGGAGCACCAGTTCCCTCAAGATTACAGGTACACCTTGCTGACGAGTGCCAAGTAGCACGAAACCCAAGTTCAGGGTTTCCTGTCGACTACTTCCAACCACCATCTAATCTCAGCTTGATTTGAATCTCGCCGGGGGTGGGATCTTGGATGCGCACTGCTAAGGAGTCCCATATCAGGACGAAACGGCCGTCCGATGCTTCCAGGTTTTCCATGGTGGTCTAGCTTCAATTTACCCATGATTTCAACTACTGAATTAAAATTAAATCAAACGTTTTATATTTCATACAGTAAATTGTCTATTGTATTTATAAACTAAGTGGAAAAAGAGACAAACATTATCCTTAACGAGGAGAATTCATTTTCTGAGAACAGAAAGACGATTCAAGAAAATGTAAGCTGCGAAATGACTTATCACTAAAACGATTTGTTTGCTCCAATCAAGTAATAAGTTCGATCAGCAGAATATGACATTAGAAATCATAGTTTATTGTTAAATCATGTCAGTAATGTTTAGATAAACATAACAATAGAACTAGACGAATCAAGTCTTGATCTTTCATTAAATGCCCCAGAACAAATTAGGACGATAAGAGAAATTCTCTCGTATGGACACACGTATACAGCCACTGTCAGGGAAATCCTACTCATTACCTTCACTCGGCGGGAGTGTTGTTTACGAAATTGAGTAGACGAAAAGCAAATGTTCAGAGCTTTAATCAGGGTGGTGGACGGCGAGGGTTCAAACCAATGAAGTAAGTATTGTATGTTTCTCAGCTTTCACTAAGTAATTCTGTAATTTTATATTCTCGTTCACTAAACTTCTAGCATGTTTTATATACTACAGTGATAAGTTTTTATAGCTATGAATTAATACAGAATAAAGTTGTATCATCCACTTATGCGATCTATTTCTCATGGGAAATTGGAGGTTCTGGGTTCCATTCCTACTCCCGGGGAATCCTATGCTAGGATAAAATAACCGTCCAGTGCTTTAACACTTTTAGTAGTTGTCTATCATCAGTTTATGATTTCAATTAAATTAAACTATTTCTGCAATCCCGTAATGACAAACAAGAATCGTTTTCACAACTTATAAATTAACTGTTAGATGAACTTACTTCAATTTGCTTTTTCATATTCACATAAGACGCTTCTAATAACTGACTATCACTTTCCATGTTCACATAACTAACTGTCTGTATTTCTAAGATTGAACTCCTCTGACGTTCAAAATTCTTAAGATTAAATCTAAAGTTTTCCACAGCTTGTTGAAAAGCATGAATTGATGTAGCTTGTATATTCATATCAGAAATCATTTTTTCCAAATTTTGTTTCAAAGTTTTGATTTTACCTTTCAAATTGTCAATTCTTTGCAAAGATGAAGAATCTTTCAATGACTGAACTTCAGGAAGTAGCTGTTCATCAATCTGTTGATCATGCGTATTTACATTACTAAGTAATTGATTATAACGATCGGTCTCAGTTTGAATGTCCTGTAATAGTTCAGCAGTAGATTGAGAACTGTTTAAATGACTGTGATCTTGATTAATCTTGTTTTCAATGTCATTTAACCATTTCTCTTCAGCTTCAATATTACTGAGAAATTTGGATTGACGAGCGATTTGAGCTTCGATCTATTTAGATGAAATAAATGATTGTAACGAATACTTGAGATTGAATAATACTTTCGAAATTTTATTTATAAACCTGAGAAGTATCAATAAATGTAGTGCATAAGCACAATAATATGAGGATTAAAACATGACTTGAGTTGACTTCTGTGTAATAAGTCAGTAAGTCAATCAAACTAAACGTGAATATGGTACAGATGTATTTTGAATCAAGTTATCTAATATATCACATCTACACAGCTAAATGACACTAATAAGTGTTATTTTATATGTCATTCAACCACTGATCACAATTATTACACACTCCTGCATCGGAGATTTGCATCAAACTATATTTCTCAAATTGATATTCAACTGCTTCCATGTTCTTGTGTGATAAACTCTGAATTTCTTCCAATCTACTCTTAAACTAGGTAGTCGTTACGCGTTCAAATGAGTAGTGATAGAATATCTGAGAAGTACATCTCAGTCAGTTCAGTCAATAAAGATTTAAAGCATCATTGATATATTTCTGATCATATCAGTGTTTAAATACAAAAAGATTTGATTTCACATTTGTTACATCAATAACTTACTTATTTACGCCTGTTACTCCCAATGGAACATGAGCCAACAAACAGATTTCTCCAAACCACACTGTCCTACTCCTTCCTTTCCAGTTCTATACAATTATTCCTCATCCATCTCATATCTGTCTCCATTTATCAAAGTTATATGTTCTCTAGTCTTCCTCTTTTCCTTTGGCATTGAGGATTACATGTGAGGGCTTGCCCTGTGACGTAGTTAAATGCTTTCCTCAATGTGTGTCCTATCGACTTCCAGCTACTATTCCTGATTTCTTACTAATTCCTTCCTTCCTTCCTTCTTCGAATCTCGTTCGTTCTCTCCCACACTACATTGTTGCTGATAGTGTTTGGTCAACAGATCCAAAGTATTTTACATAGACAACTGTTAACAAACACTTGTATCTTTTCGATGATAGTTTGCGTAGTTCTCCAATTTCTCACCTCATACAATAGAACTGTCTTCACATTTGTATTTAGAATTCTGAATTGAAGTTGGTTGACAATTATTTTGAGTTCCATATTTTGTTGGACTGTAGGCATGCAGACTTTGCTTTGCCAATCCTCACCTTTACGTCTCCATCTGTTCCTTCTTGTTCATCGATGATGGTTTGCATATATGTTAAGGATTCTTCATCTTCCAGTGTTTCACTATCAAGAGTGATTTTATCGGTGTTCTCCATGTTTTAGTTGAAGATCGTGATTTTCACCTTATGTATGTTGAAGCTTACTGATTCAGAGACTCAATCAATTTACAGGAGAGAAAACAACAACAACAATAATAACAACAATACATTACACAACTAATCCATTACCTCTTTTAATTCTTTATCATTTTCATTAATAATATTATTTAATTCTAATTGAAATTTAGATAATTCTTTACGTGCTAATATAATCATAGATGTATTATCATAATTATCATTGAAATCAATAAGATGTTGAATTTCATTTTGACATTTTATTAATTGTATATTCCCTTCTTTATTAAGTAATATAGCAAAATTCATTAAATATTGATGTTTCATTTGTAATTGATTTAATAAATTGATTTGATTAGATTTATTATTATTAATTAAATTATTGATTGTTTCATTATGTTCATGATAACATTGAGATAACCATTGATAAGACGATTCTAATTGTATTGAAAATGAATTTATATTCTTTAATTGTTCTTCTGCTATATTGTATACTTTCTATTTTTTTTTGAAGAAAAATAAAAGATAATAATTTAACATGGATCAGAAAAGGATTATATAAAGATAGTTGAGATTATGAGTTCATTGAAGCTAGATCACTATGAGAAATTCGCCTGGAGGCCCTTCTGGGGCTACTGTTCATTCGAAAACTCAGATAAAAGAGGAGGGTTGATTATGGGGTTAGCAATTTCTATCCCGTAGAAAACTAATCCGCTAAAAAAACGCTTACCTGATTACTATGGAAAACTTGAAAGCATTGGACGGTAGTTTTGTCTTATTGTAAGACTTGTCATCAGTGAGTATCTATGATCTTGTCTTGCGAGATTCGAACCTAAGACCTGTCAGTCTCGTGCACGAACACTTATCCATCAGACCAATGAGCTGGTTGGCATCCAACGGTGTTCATGTCTAACTTCAACTAATGCACGGAATTGAGCGACGCATCAATTATTGTTTTCAGTGAGTTGATATCTCATAATAGACCCGGTTGAACTCCACTGGTTACTGTTTTGCAATAAAACTTCAATAAATACCTTCTGGAGACCGTCCCTAGTGAGTATATATTGATTAGTATCAGAACAAGTTTTGTCGTGATTGTGGTAATTTCAATAGTTGAAATGCCAGCTCAGTGGTTAAGCGATCGCGTGCGAGATTGATAGAGCCTGGGTTTGAATCTCACAGGGGCGGCATCGTGGATGCGCACTGCTGAAAAGTCACAGTGCTTTCAGGTTTTTCATTGTAGTCTAGCTTAAATTAACTGATGATCTCAACTATCGAAATTAAACATGTCTAATAATTATAAAAGTTATTTAAAACGTAGAGATTTAAAAAAATGGTTTGAATTATTTTTTTTCTGGTTAGCGTGTGTAATGGCTGCTTCAGTAGCAGTAGGTCTCAATATAAACAAAGCGAACAGGAAGATTCAACGATACAGCACAACATGCACCAATCCAATCACACTTGACAGGGAAGCTTTAAACCATGTATAAACCTTTACATATCTGGCCAGCATCATTCATGAAAATGGTAGATCTGGTGAAGATGTGAATGTATGGATCGGTAAAGCAAGAACAACATATCTACAACTGAACAACATCTGAATCTCAAAACAACTATCAACCAACACTAATGTCAGAATTTTCAATACATATGTGTAGACAGTTCTACTGAATGGGGTGGAAACTTGGAGAACTACGCAAACTATAATCGAGGAGATACAAGTGTTTATTAACAGTCGTCTATGTAAAATACTTTGGATCGGTTGACCAAACACCACCAGCAACAATGTACTGTTGGACAGAACAAACGAGATTCGAGGAAGGAAGGAAGGAAGGAAGGAGTAAGACATCAGGAAGATTCGCTGGGTGTGGATAGGACACACATTGAGGAAAGCAGCCGAGTGCATCATAAATCAATCCCTCACATGTAATTCTCAATGTCAAATGAAGAGAGGAAGACTAGAGAACACATAACTTTGATAAATGGAGAGAGATATGAGATAGATGAGGAATAATTGTATAGAACTGGAAAGGAAGGAGTAGGACAGAGTGGGTTGTAGAAAGCTGCTTGTTGGCCCATGCTCCATTGTGAGTAACAGGCGTAAGTAAGTAAGATTTTTAAAAAAATCATGTCTGGGAGCATATATCCTGAAGCGAAACGGAAAAGTGGAAGGCCAAAGAGCACGCTACGTCAGGAATTGGAAGTAGACATGAAAAGGATGAATAACGATTGGAAAGAACTGGAAAGGACTTCTCAGGACATGGTTGGATGGAGAGTGCTGTTGAGTGACCTATTCTCATCCACGAGGGGTGACAGGCGTAAGTAAGTAATAAATTGGTATATTAATAGAATAATGATATGAGTGGACATACTTTTCTTTATTATGTTTAGTTAACTTGTGACATTCTATTATCAGCTAATATATAATTCTGCTAAGCATTTTAAAGATTAACCAATGTTCGATGTTTGCATGGTGAACCATAAAAGCCTTATATTTCATTTGAATTCCTAAAAGTATGAAACCTTTATACAGGTAGGTAGCTATAGTAAAGTATGATGACGAGATCCATTAATTTATTCCTGTTCCTTTTAAACGTTATAATAATGCCATATGAAGATTGAGAAAACGATAAGCATAGTAACATTTACTTATTTTAAAGACAGTCGTGTTTTTATGAACTCTTATTTTCAAGAATATAGTTTAATTCAGAATAATAAGAAAATGATGATGGTTTGATTAAATGTACTATTAACTGATACGATCATGTACTAATGAGCAGCAGATCTGTGCAGCTGTACAAAACTTGTTCTCTATCTGTTATGTTCGTTAACTTGAATGCAACTACTGATTCGTCTTACTCGGAACGGAACGAAGAATCAAGGATTCATAGACTCGATAGGCTATACTAATCGATTGTCCCCGATTCAGCTACCTCGATCCAGAAGTCTTGGTAAGATGCAGAAAGTGTATTCTACAGAGAACCAGAAGATATCAGGTCGCTCAAGCACACAATCAAGCGTATTTATACAAAATATATATAATCGATATTGCCATGGAAGTTTTTCAACATTTAATCGATAAGTTCATCGATCGACTATATGCGTGGATGGTAAGAAATGCCCAAACATACATCTGCATACAAGCTCCACAAAGATAAAATTACAAATTAAGAGTTTTGGGGATCTAACGTCCCCAACACTATCCACTTCTTTACAAGTTTGAACTATGCGGTAAATCTGACATGACTTCACGATGGTCATAGAACATAACACCTAGTTTTAGTTTAACCATAATCAGTTGACTCTAGATACATATCGAAATTATATTACTCAGATAAGTCTATCTGATATGACTAAATACACTTTTTATCACCTTGATTTTAAATAACTGTGATCTGATTTGGAATGCCTTTTAAACAATGATTATATAACTTATTTGACAATTACATATTTATATATCCAACTTTGAGCCACACAGATTCCTTAGAATCATCTGTTAAACTTCAAACTGTTTCCATTCATACTGTCTATTTGCCTCTAGTTATCAACCCTGAATGTTTACTGAAAATGTGTGCTTAAATGATATTTCCGATGAGCTATCTCCATAGATTTTTGTTTTTCGGAAAATGATATCATTATTAACGATTTGCAGCACAGCATGGATGATAGGAGTCAAGTCTTCAGAATCAATAACAGGTATCTGATCACTGAAGCCTAACTTCAAGATGCATTTCTTCTGATTCATTTAGAAAACAATGATTATTGTATGAAAAATTATTGGAAATAAGTTAGTTATTTGCCAGTAAAATTAGACGCAAATCATGACCAATTACAACACAATGTCACTGAGCCCTAGCCAAATCATTCGGCAGTTGGGTTACTGAATATCGAACAAATCATCGATCCTCGTCAAGGTCAAGGACAACCAACACGCATCAGTTAATCGTATGCCATGGACTGGTGCATGTGGTGGTGGTCTCGCTAACTTCTCTGTATTCATGCTTACTAATACATTTTCTTTGTAACGTCTTTTGTGTTATATGGTCTTCAAAGTAGCCATGGTACTTTGATATGCCAAAGGGTTAATTCAAGTTAGATGCTGATCGCGGGGTTTGATTTCGAAGTTAGCTTATTCTTCATATCACTTCCGTCTAACTCGAGTAGACCTCCAATCATTCGACGTAGATCATCTACGTTGGTGATCTACATTGTCGTATAAAAATGTCTTAACAAGTATATGTGTGATCAGATTGTTCAAAATGTATTGTCAGTATAGGGTTGTGGAGATTATTAAGTTAATGTTAATGTCTAACCTCAACCAAACCACGAGCGGCACACCGGCTCAATGGTTAAGTAAGTTAAGCATTCTTGCGCGAGACTGAAGGCCCTGGGTTCGAATCCCACGGGGCGGGATTGTGGATGCGTACTGCTGAAGAGTCCCACAATTGGATGAAACGGCCGTCCAATGCTTCCAGATTTTCAATAGTGGTCTAACATTAATCGGTTCAAGATCTCAGTCAAAATGTATCGCACAATTATGTTGCATAATTCTAATAAACTTTATCTTCTCATTGCCCTATCGAAATTTATCAGTGGAACTAATTGTTTTAAACATATACAATATATGTATAGGATAATTTAAATCTCTCTTTCAAAATCTATACTACTGATATTGTTTTGAAAGTAGACAAAATCTTCCCCCACCATATAACCTGGTTTTTCTTGACAAAACTCATCGGAAAAAAAAAGTAACCAAGGATATTCTAGTGAACCATTCAGTAAATAATCTTTACAATATTGACAGTGGAGATTTATCTTCAGTACGAAAACTACTCATAGATAACCAGTTGTTAGGCTATTTCAATAAACGAGTACCTGTGAAAAAAAGAAACACAACAAAACTCATCTTACTTTAGTATCAGTTTCTAAATGTTCCATTCTTTTGTACATCATTCCTACTAAATCAGATAGTGGTGATGCAGTTTCAAAAACAGAATCAACATCATCTCGTTCAGGTTTTAGATTATGTTGTTGAGAATATTTTTTTATGCTTTCAAGTAAATTCTATAAAAAGAAAATAAATAAAAAATAAATTACATATATAGATTGTGAATAGTGATGATATTCAGAATAAAAATAGGCTCAATTCAACTCAATCCTTTCTTTATTCACTTATGTCTACAAAGGCTGAAGAAAATTCCGTACCTATGGTCAACAATGAGATATCCTTCAAATCTGTCCACGTAAGATACTCGATGTTAGTTAGTCAGATATCATTAGCAATAGTCTACTGTGGGAGAGAACAAATCAGCTTGCACTTGAAGAGGAAATTAGAAAAAGACATTGGAATTGGATAGGATATAGATTGTGAAAATCATCAAACTGTATCACGAGGCAAGCACTAACATGGAAACAGAAAAGATGAAGACCAAGGAATATATAGCAGCGAGAATTGGAAGCAGACATCAAAAGAATGAATGGTTACTTGAAGTAACTGGAAAAGATTGACGAGGACAGGGTTGCATGGAGAATGTTGGTGGTTGGCCTATACTCCTCCACGACGTAAGGTAACAAGCATAAGGAAGTAAGCTTCTAAATAATTAATTCATAACATGTAGGATCAGGGTCCTGCCAGTTTTTTACTTTACACTTCGAAGGTGCAAAGCACATATCATACCTACGGACACTAATCACCAATTGATTAAGTGCTCATTGCATGGCTTGGGCATTATTACACAGTTTCAGTGAAAACCTATGTATTACTCATATTAATAAATCATTTGCTCGACTACTGTATTTCAAGTCGATAAGTAACTATATTCATGGAATATGTATTATGGACACATTCTTATATGATAATAACCATAATCAACAAGAGTGACAATATCAGATTTTACCATTTAGTTATTCTAAGCACAACTGGTCTATTATAAGAATAAGATGTTCATATTGATGAATATTACTGGATAATAATCAATGTCGTACATGTTTAATTCTTATATAAGGCACATAAATGTAGTATTCTACTACACTATTGAACAATCAGAATATATATGGTCTTCATCCCTATAAATGTAACAAATTGTTGCATAATCCAAATGGTCTAGACAATTGGTATTGTCAATAAACGTAAGATTGTAATTGAGTTATTTTGCAAATTCATTAGAACTATACATTTTACATTCTATGTAGTTGAGACGTATATAATTAAGACAAAAATTTCGATAATGTAATAAGAAAATGAAGATTATCAGAACTATGTGATGATATATTAACGTAATACATTTCGAACACTCTGATCATACATAGTACACTTGTTTAAAACGTTGATATATAAAAAGATAAAAGGTCAAATAGAGTGGAAATGGGGTAAGAAGAGAAAAGGATGATAATAATAATAACAGACTGATAGGTCCTAGGTTCGAATTCCAAGAGCGGGATCGTGGATGCGCACTGTTGAGATGTCCCATACTAGGACAAAACGGCCGTCCAGTGCTTCCAGGTTATCTATTGTGATATTTGGCAAAGGCTAAAATAAGGCATGTATTATTCAATTTGACAATATTATATGATTAAAATGGTGAACGTTTGCATCGGTTACGATATTTATCCTTCATAATTGTGTTATTTGTAAATTATAAAGGTCATTGAATGATTTGGAGTAAAGTGTCCAGTCACAATTAGTAGAATAGTATTATAGGAAAAATGAAAATGCAACAAAATTGTGGGAATAAAATGTAGAGCGGGAGAATTTCATCTTGTCAATTGGGATAAGGCCAAGGTAAACATAGAGTATGGATATACCTTTTTTGGATACATAAGTTTGGTTTTCTGGAGTTGATCCAGATGGCTTCGGTTAGGTAGAGTAACCGCAATCTAGCTCCTTGAGGTAAATATTTTGCCTACAACTAGATCACCGAATACCTAGACTGAATATTTTAAACCTTTTATCCCCTTCCTTTTTTTCCTCCTTATTGTTATTATTTTTTGATGACCTCTATCTTAATCTTCACATAGATCATTCGCGATTCGTTTATCGTAATTACCTTGATAACACCCCCCTTATTACATATTGTATTCACACAACAATATTGTATGTACAATTACGTTATATATATGACTATTTATTCCTTTAACGTCAAACATGAAATATCTAAACGTTACAAGAATATCCATTTTTGACAAGCATTTGAAACATTGTTCGCATTCTTTTATAAGCTAAGATGAATAGTGGCTAGCTGTGGAATCCACGACGCGCGTTTCGTCCTATTTGGGACTCGTCAGCTGCATGCACCTGCATCTCAGAGTTGATCTTCATTCTGGGGCTCGAACCCAGTACTATTCGCTTCAAACGCCATCGCGTTATCCACTTAGCTACTGAGTCCTAATAGCCACTTGTTTGTCCAATGGGGTGAATTTAAATTTACTTGGTACTGTTTTGCTTGTATCTTCCCATTAAGGTTTAACACTGCAATTGATCAGTCTGTTACTAACATATTTGCATACTGTGTGTATTTTTCAATATTGCCTTAATTTACAAGCTTTTATGAAGAAAGATGGATAGTGGCTAATAGTGGAGGCATACACACAGTATGCACTTATGACCAATAACAGACTGATCAATTGCAGTCTTAAACCTCGTTGAGAAGATACTAACAAAACAATACCAAGTGAATTGTTTGTCTTCAATGCAAATTAACAGGTTTACATCTCACCAGATAAATATTTAGGTCAATTGTACCGCTGAATGAGATTAAGGTCAAATTTTAAATGTACTTTTGTTAGACAGGTTAGTGTATAATCTAATGTTAGATGATATGTATATATTCTATAGACCATAAATGTAATACGTGAACGATAGTCACATTATTAGTATTAATCTCAAATTATTATATAGATTTTAATCACTATGGCTTAATGATATGTAATCAGGGTTTGTTCAATTTACCTATTACATTGAGAAATACTTTTATTGAACTGAATTCAGCGACGAAAAGTTGCGTTTCTACGATATCATTTACTTAAGCTTTGCAATTTTGCAAACCTTAAGAAAGATTTACGAATACATGAGCGATAATCACATGATTATTATTATTAATCTGTAATTAAATTTTGATAGCTTAATCACTATAGTTCGATTTTAATTCATCACTTGACATTTGCCATGGAAACAAGGAATTGAAACTAAAGGATTTTAATCAAATTGTAAGTGGCCCTAAAAAGGGCCTTTTACTCGGTCTCTTAAGAGTTCAGATTTTCTTGAACAAAGGAGTTACTATGAATCCATAATATTGCAGAACATGGTACAGTAGACTCTATGGAAGTGTTGTGATGGGTCGTAAGCATAAAATGAATGGAACATTACTTCTCATGGACAAGAAATCCAAGCATTTCCTTTAGCGCTTTCACTAGGCGGCTGTGTAAAATTGCAAATATCACAGTCTGCTGTCGTAGGCATGTTCGTCATTGTCTGGTTCAGTGAACTCTTCTGAGTTAATAGAAACAATTTCTTTTTCTTTATTACTTAACGCAGCATCCAAATCGACGTTAGTTTCATAGTTGGTAACTGCTATCTGTTGAATCAACGGCATTGCAACAGCTGTAGAAGTGGAAGCCTCGATTTGAAATTGTGTTGGAGGCATCCTGCCGTAAATAACTTGATACACATTGTTATACAATAAATTACACTGTTCTTCAGACATATGTCTTACTAAGGAAAGACAAGATTCTTTGGCGCTTGTTTGTCCCACTCTTTCAAATCCAGACTCCGTTAACGTATGCATCCAAGGATTACTGTTGTACCTCAGGGAATGGCACTCGTGATTGTGATGCACATTCCCACGAACAACAGTCCAGTAACCTTCGATATACTTACAAAAGATAAAGGCCGGACATTGAATGTTCATGGAACTCCTTCATGAAAAATATAATAACACTAATCAAATTACCTCCTTCGTCTAATCCGCTGTGAGGAACCGCTAGATCTTCTACGGCCATTTCTCCAACATACAAATCTAATATACGATTTCTGATCTCTGTGGAAATGAGAATCTCTCACCACATAATGGCAGTAAGTAGATCTTTCATAAGTTTTGATGGCGCACTTTAACGCTTCGATTGATTGAAATGCTACGAGATACAATGTATTCAAGAATATGTTCTCCGTTTCTGTGACAACGTGAGAAACCCCAGAGCTTGTACTTTGCACGTTACTATCGTCCATAATTTGAAGAAAAATGCGATCGATCGACAAGTACTAACATTTTATATTAATTTTAAGAAATAACTGACCAATTATAACGAATTTTTAAAACTAGCCATTTAATTGGAGCGAAGAGAATGAAAAATATTTGGAAAAAATGGGATGAAAAAATATACTACAGTGAGTTTAATGCTATTCAATCTGAACAATGATCGTTTTTAATCCAAGTTTGTTGTTGTTATTTCAAAGGTACTTTAAATGTATTCATCATCCAGTTGTATGACTAGTAAATGGATGAAGATTCAATTCCAAATAGATTTACCATATATCTTAAATAAATCTTTTCAACTAGTATCATAATATACAATGCTTTCATTGATAAATGTCGATAATGCAATAAGAAGACGAAGTCTATCAGAATTATGTCATATATATTTGCGCAATACATTCCGAACAATCTGATCCCATATTACATACTTGTTAAGAACATTGATATATGAAAATTATAAAGTCAACTAGACAGATTAAAGGGAGGCCGTAACAAAGGAAAACGATAATAAAGTACACAAAAACAATGTGACAAACACTCTGGATAACAAATTAGTGTTACCAGGGTAGATTAAGGGTAAGAACAAATAGTTTTTGAACGCATAAAGGGGTCTCAGTTTCCGTATAGTCAAGGCTTCAATAAGCCTATGTATACGCCCTTGAAGGCTTTTGTACAAAACTGCAAAGGCTGACTTGATGTCAACCTTATGACCAGTCTCAACCAGATGTTTCGCAATGAGAGGAGATGTCTATTTATTCTGTGATCTTATTTGACCATTGCAATTCATTTGTTTCTGCAGCCATTTGAGCATGTGATCCGCCACCCTTACTTACAGATCATATAATTTTGATAAACTTCGTCTTCTCATTGCATTATCGCAATATAGAATTCTTAGCACACAATTTTCCAACAAACATCTCTTACTCTTCTATTCACAACCACATTCTTACTGATTCATTATATATCTTGCTAAGTGTTTTAAAAACACTTTCCGCAATGCAGTAAGCTCTTTTCTTAGAAACCGAGGAAAAAATAGTGTGGTGATTTAAAGGTTAAATGGTACTATTCTAGAGTTTAGAATTCATAAAAGTTAGTGTTCAACACTCCTTTAAAGCATTTCGACTCTCCATATAAGAAGTAAGACGTAAGTCTGTCTTCAAAATTTGTAAAATATTAGATCAAAAGAGATTAGAGGTAAAACGTACGTTAAAGTAAATGACGTTATAAATAATAATTATTATTATGTTAATAATTATAAGCAGAGATGGATCGTGGCTACCCGTGTCACCCAGAAGGCGCGTTTCGCCTCGTTAGATGGATCTACCTTCCTCCGACAGTTGATGTTCACTCTAGGACTCGAAACCAGTACTATTCACTTTGAACGCCATCGTGTTATTCACTTAGACACTAAGGTCTAATAACCACCAGCATGTGTAATATGGTGAAATTTTAATTCATTTTATACTATTTGTTTGTATTTTCTGATTGATGCTTAGTACTACAATTGATCAGTCTCTTATTGACATATGCGCGTCCTGCGTGGATTGCATCGATATTACCTTAAATCACAAGTATTTTAAGCAGAGATAGATGGTAGCTAGCAGCCCAGAGACTGATCAATTACTGTTTTCAACATCAATGGGACATTACAATACAAAATGAATTAATATTCATAATTATGATAATACTAGTTGAAATCATGAGTCAATTGAAGCTAGACCACCACGGAAAACCTGAAAGCACTAAACGGCCATTTCGTCCCAGTATGGGACTCCTCACCAGTGCGCATCCACAATCTCGTCTAGACGGATTCGAACCCAGGACCTTTAAGTTTGTCATTTCTTTTTCTCATATCTGTCAATTGGACTTTTATCTGATCCATAAACTATTTTCTTCCTTAACTCTCGATTAGTACGTAACCTCATTTAATATTTAGTCTCGAATCAATTTTATGATCCCATCCAATGTTTCCAGATTTTCCATAGTGATCTAGTTTCAATTGATTCATGATTTGAACTAGTGAAATTTCTAGAATCTTCACAAAATCCCTTCTGATAATTATGATAATCAGTCAGTCAGTCAGTAACAACATAGAACCTCGTACGTACGTACATCAGTTCGAGTTGCCACACCACATTAGCACAGAGATGCAGTTGTCGATTCAAATCCCATAGTGGTAGAGGTAATAAGAGTATAAGCAGTAATTGGGAAGATTCGGGTTTGGAGATGTTATTTAAAGAGTATAATCCAGTGAAATAAATTTGGAAAGAGGAAAAAAGGGACATGGAGAATTCAGAAGATTAGAATCTGGGAGAACACAAAGAGTGGATGCACCTGCGCCATTGCAAACGATTTTGAGTCATGTCATTCAGGGTCTCTAACACCTACTAACATGACTCAGTCCACTTGTCAGTGACTTCATGGGTTTGTGTCATGCTTAGGTTTGGCCGCCCCTAGCTTTCTTCCAACCTACTCCTATACCACTGAACATCGCACGTCGAGGCAGTCGGTCGTTGGACATACGTAACACGTGTCCCAGCCATCTCAACTGATGAAGTTTCACTACTTCATCAATTGATTTGCCATCCTTACCTAGTACCCGTTTCCTAACAACTGCGTTACTTACTCGATTGTCCCATGATATACGAGCAATGTTTCGAAGACACCTATGATCAAATACTAGTAGCCTACGAATATCCTCTACTCTTACCGGCCATGTTTCACTGCCATAAAGTAGGACGGAACGAACTGCTGCGCAGTAAACACGTCCTTTGGTTGATAGACGGATATCTCGCCTACGCCATAAATGACGCAAGTTGGTAAAAGCTAGTCGAGCCTTCTGTATCCGTGCTGAGATTTCGTCACACACCAGACCACAAGGGCTGATGAGACTTCCAAGATAAGTGAAGCGGTCGACACACTCAACTACTTCACTCCCTATCACTAGTTCGGGTGTCGATGTAACGCAATCCTGAAGCAACATTTTGCATTTCGAGGGGGAGAATCGCATCCCGAACATGCTTGCATTGTTGCTTAGAGTGGTCAGAAGACTCTGCATTTTGTCAGCGTCTTCACCAAATAAAACTATGTCATCTGCATATTCTAATTCAACAAGTGAACCTCCTGGTAGAAGTTCAACCCCTGGAAATCTAGACGAGGAAAGTGTTATCTCTAGAAGTACGTCCACGACAAAGTTGAACAAGAATGGGGAGAGTGGACAGCCCTGACGAACACCACTCGAGGTAATCAATTATGATAATAATTTTTAAGAATATATTACTAACAGATTATAATTTCATTTACATACTTTACATTCATCTACCCATTGTTGATGAGACTTTAATTGTTCTGATATACTATCTACTCTATCACATGATTGTGTCGGTGGTCCAGTTGATAAAGTAGTTAAACGTCTTTCTTGATTGATTAACCATTGATCGGTTTGTTTTGTTTTTTCTTCAATTTCATATAGATTTGTTAATGATTTATTTAATTGAATATCTAATTGTTGCATTTCATTATCAATTTCTGTACAATGTTCATTTAGATCACTTTTCTAAATGAATGAATAATATAAAAATACAGATTTTTGAGCATATGAAAAGTAAGGATATAAACGTTTATATACATCAATGTGTATCTAATATATTTGTTTGATCATGTGGGTTACGTTACATAGGCCACATAAAGAGATCACTGTGCAAACGCATCACAAGGAGTTGTTCTTTCACCCCTTTTTTTCGGTATGATCTGACATCTTCTACAGGAAACACTTTTATGAAATATGAGGATGATCTCACTGTATGTATGCCTATCTCTATCTCTTTACATTCCATAAAAGTGAATGAGTTTTTGTCTCGTATTGATTGTTGGTCTGTTGGTAAAGGTCCTACACTTAATTCGTCTAAATGTCAAGCTGTTAACTTCAGCATGAGACATGAACGGCATCTAAACACCACTTTGAGATCCCATAATGCTTGTGCCATTGGAAACTATTTGATAAACACAGTATCGAAGGACAATTATCTTGGTGTTAACTTTTCCTCTGATCTCTCTTGGTCCTCTCACGTTTTATTGTTATCGAAGAAAGTTTTCCGTCTGACTTACTACATAAAGAGACTGCATGCTCTTGGGATTACTCGTCATTTACTCTTACAACTTGTCAATTCTTGCATATTACCTATTACCCTTTACCGTTCTCCATTACTCTTTCCCGGGCTTCTCAGAAAAGACTTTCCTGTGTTACGGAGAGTGCTGAAGGCAGTTAGCAAGGTGTGTAGTGAATCTTTTGAGGTCTTTATTAATATCATTGCGTATAGACATCTAAAGTCTTGCAACTCTTCTCAGGTGTTATCTTATCAAATACTAACCATCCTCTTCACTCTTATCTTTCACCTTGTATATCCTCTGGTGGAACGAGACGTAATTACATTAAAATTCATTCACGCAAGCAAAAGTATAAAAGTTCTATAATACATTACCGAGCAAATATACTCTGTGACGAACAGGTTGTTAGAGTTAACCTAGTCAATAACCTGCATTATTAACATGTTTTTAAGAGTTTTTGAGATTTTTTTAAAACATTTTTTCCTCTCTTTTTTGTCTTTGCTTATGTCTTTTGTAAAATAAACTTGCTGAAATACCTTGTGTTGAGAATTCTATATTGTACCAAAAATATAATCTTGAATAATAATAATAATCTCAGAACACTGTCCGGTTTGGCTTTAAAATGTGAAACAATTACTAGTTCTATACAGGAGCATTTAATCAATTGTGAACACATCACTCCAAAAGATTCTTCTTTAAAATTGATCTACAGAGTCAAAGGAACTGGATTGAATGGACATCGAATCAATGTTTTATGCACTGCTGAAGCAATGGAAATCGACGAACTCAATCTTGAACTTTGCGTGCAGAAACAAGTCGTCCAACCATTCATTGTACCTTGGCCTAATTCCCTTAATGGATATGTTTCGGGATTTTTTCTGCATGTTTTTCTGCACTTTTATCCGATTATTATTGAACTTTCTTAATTTTTTAAACTATTATTTTGCATATTTACACTCTAATCAGTTATTATTACTACCCTATACAAGTTTTCTTGATTATTATTCATTTTCAGAAGGGTTTATGTGGAGATTTTAGTAATTTCAATAGTTGGGATCATGAGTCAATTGAAGCTAGACCACCATGGGAAACCTTGAAGCACTGGACGGCTGTTTCGTCCTATTGTGGGACTCTTCATTTGTGTGCATCCATGATCCCGCCTCGCGGGATCTGAACTTTTGTGCTTGTCATTGTCCTTCATATCTGTCAATTGGACTGTTATCTGACCCATAAAATATTTTCTTCCTTAACCCTTGATTAGTACGTAACCTCATTTGCTATTTAGTTTTCATGTCTCAAAAAACGTTGTTTTTTTAAAAAAAGGAAAAAAAGTATCAAGGTTAAAATACTAGTAACCCTACATATCAGTTATTTTTTATAAACTGGTATTCCACTTCTAGCCACTATTCATCTTTGTTTAGAAAGCTTATGACTTATGTCTATATCAAGGCAATCCGCACAGTATATACATGTGCTAACACGAGAGTGATCAATTTCAGTCCTAAATAACAATGGGAAGATGCAAGTAAAACAACACCGAGTGAATGTAATAGATAGTTTTCAATTTCACCTATGTATCTTTAATTTCTTACTCAATCTAAGTAGTAAATAAGGACTTGACACACATGACATTGACCACCACCCAGTGATCAATCAATTGTGATTACATCTCGGTCCTACAGAAGGTCAGTCGCGACCCGGATAGCTCAGTGGTAACGTCTCATACTGTGAAGCTGGGTGACACGGGATCAGGGAGCACCAGTTCCCTCAAGATTACAGGTACACCTTGCTGACGAGTGCCAAGTAGCACGAAACCTGGGTTCAGGGTTTCCTGTCGACTACCTTCAACCACCATCTAATCTAAGTAGTATATTAGATAAACTAATTAAATATTAGCAATAGTAACAATATATAACCTGGGGTGTTTGTTCTTGTTGTTGTTGTTGTGTAGTTGAACTACATGCCCTAGTTATCAGTTTTATATATTTTTATGGATGTACTTTAAAATAATGAAAACATTAGTGGACAACATTTAAATATTTTAACGGAAGGGCGTTTTACTAAATGACTAATTTATTAGAATCTACATTTGTACAATTGAATTATAGAATGTTAAGTATTAATAAGTGTACTTGAAAATATTGTAACATTAGTATTCTGAATTCTTGTAAATAGGAATAGACAACGCCTAAATCATGTCTTACAATAAGACAAAATGGTCATCTAGTACTTCCAGGTTTTCCATAGTGGTCTAAATTCAAATGACTCATGATTTCAACCATTGAAATAGATATTAGTTTATCTTATGTTAATATTATGTTTATAACAATATTTAATACGTTTATTCAATGCCTATGAAAGGATATCATAGACTATAATTGTAAGAGAAGAGAATTATGATGACCATAAAGTTCAAATGACTAGTAAAGATAATTGTTTTTTTATTTCACTTGACGTTGTTTACCCCATTGCACAAGCAAGTGGATAATGTGATGATGTTTGAAGCGAACATTACTGGGTTCGAGTTCTAGAGTGAACATCAACTTTGAGATGCAGGTACATCCCACTGACGAATCTTAAATAGGATGAAATGTGCGTCTTGGATTCCACTGCTAACCACTATTCATCTTTGCTTATAACTGTTTTATGTTGTTGTTTTTTCTTCTTCTATATTAGTATGATTAAAATTTATATTCTTGATTTTGAAAAATTAATTAAAAAGCCATACACATATTTGAAATGACATAAGTATTAAGGGTAATCATTTAGTTGCATTACAAACTGATCATAGTTGACAAAAGTAACCTAATGGATATCCGTAACTGTAAGTGGTGATTAGTTAATGAAAGAAATTAGATTTATCCAGGTTACAATTTTATGATTTCTAACCGGATATCATTCTGTTGAAATCTTGTAATAAACTATTATTGAGGCCTTATATCTGATTCTTGATTGTTCGTTGGATATTGTACATACCATATAGTCCATTATGATAACTGACCTACTGTAGAATTCAGAATATGTTTTCAGCTTAAATTCATGATTCTCTACTTCACATTAATCTATAATGAAAACAGCCTTCAAAATTATTATTATTTATTAATTAATGGCTTTATTCAATAGTATATTTTGGTACAATATAGAATTCTCAGCACAAGGTATTTCAACAAGTTTCTCTTACAAAAACAACAGAAAAGAAGAAGGTAAAAACAAAGATTAGAGACACGTTTAAGAATACAGGTTATTTACTAGGTTAACTCTAACAACCTGTTCGTCACAGAGTATATTTGCTAGGTAGTGTATTACAGAACCTTTATACTTTTGCTTGAGTGCATGGATTTTAGTGTATTGACATCTCGTTCTACCAGAAGATATACAAGGAGAAAGATATGGGTGAAGGGGATGGTTAGTATCTGATAAAATAACACCTGCCAGGAGTTTGCATGACTTTAAATGTCTATCCATAACCATACTAACGACTTTGTCGATAGGATTCCATCTGCACTAAGAAGAACCTGACATACATGACATTGATCACCACCCAGTGATCAGTCAATTTTAAATATATCTCACTCCTACAGGAGGACAGTTGCGACCTGGATAGCCCAATGATAATGTATCTAACTGTGAAGCTGGGTGACACGGGATCAGCTACTGTTTGGTAAATTAATTTGTATATTTTTGAACCGTATTTATTTCATGGTACTTATGGTTTTCTAATAGTTGAATTCATGTATTAATTGAAGCTAAACCACTATGGAAACACCTGGAAGTACTGGGAGGTCGTTTCGTCCAGTGCTTACAGGATTTCCACGATTGTCTAGATTAAATCGACTCATGAATTCAACGATTAAACTACTACAATTTCCACAAACCTTCATTCTGACAGGATTTATTTTTAGTGGCATTATTAGAACTCAATAAGTTTTGAAGAATAAGTTAACAGAACATTGTAACTACTAGATGCTTTGTTTACTTTGTAACTCGATAACCAAATATTCGTGAATATATATTTTTTTCATAGCTTACATAGTAATCACATTTCTCATTGGTATTTTACTGTGCATCTAATATCTACTTGTATAACCTATGAATAAACGAGAAGTCATGTTACTTTCAGTTATATTCCGATGAGTATAATGAATGGTAACCGTCGGAATCTATTTCTGGAGTAATTCTATATGCATATTTTTACCGTATGATTGTTAAGCAGCTAACCTATGCATATTCATGTTCCTCTTATTTTAAGCTTTATTTTGACCCTACGATTTACCGCTCTTGAGTTTTGCCCAGTCTATTAATTACAGTCTCCCACATTCACAGCCACTTTTGGCTTGATCTTGTACAAATGTTGTTTTCTATTTGTGGTGTGAGGTGGTGTGTTTGATTTACATATAAACCCAGTATATTTGAAATACATTATTCATATTGTAGAGACTGAGATTGGTGTTCTGAACTTAATAGGCAGGGCTAAGCAGGAAGCAGGACCGGTAAGGACTCTAGACTGCTCATACGGGTTTTATGCGTCATTGGTCCGGTCGATAATTCTCTGTTCTCTAATTGGAGGTATCATTACGTAATACATTAATAGGACACAGAGCACAAGTTATAACACTTTCAAGAATGTTCTCCTAGGTGTTCTGGTCCACAATGTGGGCATAGGTTCGACTACCACCTCCGACACATACATGTTACTTTATAACTGAATCTGAATGCTATTTAATGCCCAAATTTACAGCTTTGTCACCAACTGAACTCATTGCTAGAAATTAAGATTTTTTAAATCTTGATAATTGATAAAAATTTATCTGATAATCTGATTAAATAATACATTTGTAATATCCCAATGAATAGAAAAATTAGTTCAGTGCGTTATAATAATGATTCGAATGAAATGGCATGTATTGGTACTGCAGTTTTACCATACCGTCATGGCGCGACAGAAGAACGCCAAAGAATCTTAAAACAACACAGAATTAAAGTATATTACAAAACAACGAACACACTTCGAAATACTTTAGTTCGCTTAATAGAAAAAATCCCTTTCATGTCTACACAGAACTCCATCTAGAAATTAGGTTGTATCGATTGTGATACCTTCTATATTGGAGAGTCATCTCGTGAAATCTTGACTCGAGCCAAAGAACATATTAGGTACACAAAGAAACCTCCTTACAATCCCGTAGAGCTGAATTAACTTTAAATTAAATCGGCAATTGTAGTTCACGCCATTTTCAACGATCACCAAATCGATTTCAAAAATATCAAAATATTGCAAAAAGGCTTTTCCATTTACATAGAAAGGAGAGTAGATGAAGCGTTCCATATAATGCTTGATCCTACCTGGTCTATCTATCCTAGACACCTAGTCTGATCATCTTTACAATTCACACTATTATCTTACAAATTAAACTCTATCCATTCTCACCATAAAGGTCATACAATTTTTATCCTTAACAGTGCACACATACATACACACAAATTTACATACATATCACTTATGAATCACCTTGACCGAAATAACATGACATTGATTTATTCAGACCTGTTTTTTGATTGATCAAATATTTGAAATATTCCCATATTGTAAATTTAGAACAACATAGACATAAGCGAACAATATTGTTTTCGATTAGATCCTCATCAGGCTTTACTCTAATATACAGTAATATTTATATGCATATAAGAAATGAATTAAACCAATCAAGGTAGTTTATAAGTCAATGATGATAACCATGGAAAAGATTACATAATAAGTAAAATGTGAAAAGTACAAACTGATGGTGTGACATGAGGTGCATTAGTTTTTGATAAGCAATAATAATAAAGGTTCAAATCAATGTTACATAATCGGAAATAGGTCAATGATTAGGAGAAAATATAGAAACTGAGATAACAATGATAAAATTATAAGATGACGTAATAAGAAATGTTCAGATAATTGGACCATGAAACGTATAGTTGAGAGAAAATAAAGTGGTAGGAGGATGTGAAGAAAAATAATAAACGAAGAGAAATTTTGAAAAAGAATAAATAAATAAATAAATAAATCCATTTATTTAGATGGTGGTTGGAGGTAGTCAACAGGAAACCCTGACCCGGGTTTCGTGCTACTTGGCACTCGTCAGCAAGGTGTACCTGTAATCTTGAGGGAACTGGTGCTCCCTGGCGGATTCGATCTCGTGTCACCCAGCTTCATAGTCAGAGACGTTACTACCAGTTTAGGTGACTCGACACTGCGGGTACTATGCATTGAGATTTAGATGTTGACTACCTCCAACCACCATCTAAATCTCAATACATAGTGCCCACAGTGTCGAGTCACCTAGACTGGTGGCCACATTGCAACATGATCGATAGCATTCGATCTGCACTAATAAGGATTAGACAAGCATGACATTGATCACCACCCAGTGATCAATCAATTGTGAAATTCATTTATTACTTAAGGCCAAGGGAGAGATAAGGATGTTACAAATTTCTTCTGAACACAAAACTAATGCACCTGTTGTCACATCATCAATTTGTACTTTTCACATTTTACTTATTATGTAATCTTTTCCATGGTTATCATCATTGACTTATAAACTACCTTGATTGGTTTAATTCATTTCTTATATGCATATAAATATTACTGTATATTAGAGTAAAGCCTGATGAGGATCTAATCGAAAACAATATTGTTCGCTTATGTCTATGTTGATCAAATATTATTCTTGCATTGTTCTGTTGTACTATTTAAACTTGGATTAATTTTACTTTGGTTAGTTAATCTCTGAAGAAGTGGCTTATACTGAGTTACGAAACGTCAGAAAATTTAATTTTTCTACTCATTGGGATATTACATTAATTTATTTATAACAATCTACCCAATGCTCAATTTATTCGAAATTATCAAATTAAACCTTGGTAATGATACCTATGATAAGCTGATTGATCAATAATTAAGATGAGATTCATTTGATCTATTGTATAATTTCAACAAAGATCATTTAAAGGAAATATCTGATTGGTTAATACTAATTAGACTAAAAAGTTCAATGAAATTGTATCTATAATAACATTACCATTTGAGATATTTTCATTTTCATCTCATTGAGTAACATATCACCATCACCTTGAGAAGCAGCTGAATTTAAGAAATTCTGACATCGTCTATCATTGGTTTGGATACTTTCGGTGTATTTACGGCGTAATGTCTATAAACGGAACAAAGAAAAACTGATAATGGTCATAAATACAGTTTAATAATTATTTTGATTATTATTATTATTATTATTATTATTATTATTATTATCAGCTTTATTCAATATTATATTTTTGGTACAATATAGAATTCTCAGCGCAAAGTATTTCAACAAGTTTCCGTTTCTTTCTTTTTGGTCGGTCCTGGCGATAAATATTGAGGGATCGCCAGTTAGATGTTAGCAATTCAGTGAATGAACATCTGAATAATGTGCATTCTTTTCGTTGTATATTGCCAGCAACCACATTGTCTCTTATTGAGTTTTTTGTAACTTTGACAACGAAAGGTTGTACACTTTTCAGAAACGCAGTAGAATAGGTTATGCGATTAATAAACATAATGATATATTAAAGCAAACAAAAATAGATAACTTTTTGAAATATGTAGATGGCAGGAACAGGTAGCCCAGATGTTCAAGCAGGCCGACTATTAAATTAAAACTGCTTAAAGGTAATAGATGTGTTATATATGAGACAGTAATTATTGACTAGTCAGACTGTAATCTGTTCAATGATTCGATGTAACTGTTGACTGATGGCAATATTAAAATCATATATTTATAATGATCCATATATGCTTAAGCTAAAGTTGATGATTAAAATGTTTTCCTCTTATGAATTATATGTAGATATACAGTTTATCAACTAGAGTGACTTAATACAATTACTCAAGAGCGATATTTTATAATAAATGTTGATGTTTCGGAGACACTCAGTTATATGTACGTCGAATAGAACCCACTTTACAAATAAAAAACTCTGTTTTAGGAGATTGCAGACCAAAATATGTTAATCAGATACGATCGTTCATATCAGTCGTAGCAAAATACTAGCCATTACTTTGGATAAGCTGGTGGCTATCATGAATCAATATGTATGTATAACCAGTTGACAAGTTCCGAATAAAACTGAATAAGTATCCTAAATTCTAATGTAAAACGCTATACTACATGCACGTTCGTTTTTATACTTCAAAACAGAAAATTTATATTCATATGATATCTGAAAAACTAGTAGGTGGTTCATAAATCAGTTTTACTTGGCTAGCTAGCTAGCTGTAAGTACATCAATCAATGCCTAATCAATGTCCAAACTTCATATTTTAGAAAACCGCACTGATTTACTGTCTGATCTAATAGTTAGACCAAATAAATTGAATCTGGCTATAGAGTTGGCATTTTAAAGATTATTAACTCAATACCACCCTAATGTTAAATTATATTCTGAAACTGGATATAAACGTTTATAAATTGAAGAAAATGAATAATTACATGATATCTACTACTGTTTAATTACTGTTAGTTAGTTGATAATTGAGTCAAAAAAAGTAAGTTATTTATTCTGTAGGCTTTTCATCATTTGGCATTTTCGGTCAATGGGAGACATAACCAAAGTAAAGGAGTAAACAATGACAAATCTAAGGTCGATAAGAACCAATCAACGTCGAGGTGTACAGAACAAGCTGTGAAACGCATATGGAGAAATTCAAACACTTTACTTCAGAAGAACGATGAAGGCTCCATGACCAAACCATCCAGCTCAGAGAACAAAACTCCATCGATTTATTCACTTCATGAATGTGATATATTAAAGTGAGACTTTTCTAAGAGATTTCATTTCATACTACAACTTTAATATATTTGTATTTGTCTAATCAAAATGTCTGATGGTGTTACACTAATGATTTAATAGAACACAACTACGTCGAACAAAAGTTTTCGTGTAAACTATCTTCAGTCAGGCAGTAAATACAGACTAAATGAACTAAAGAATGGCTGGATGCAAAGGCCACATTCATACAGTTAAACAACATGTGCAACTCATAACAACTACCAAGCAATATTAATACGAACGTTAAGACAGTTCTACGGTGCGGAGCTGAAACTTCCAGAACTACCACAACTGTCATCAAAATGGTCCAAGTATTTATAAACAATTGTCTACGCAAGATACTCGACATTCGTTGGATGGAAGAGAACAAACCAGGATCCAGACGAGGAGGATATTAAGAAAAGATGATGGAGTTGATGAATAGGAAATACATTACAGAAATCACCAAACTGCATCACGGAGCAAGCGTTAACATGGAATCGTGAACGAGAACAGAAAGATGGAAAACCAAAGAATAAACTGCAAGTAGATATGAAAAGAATCAATAACAACTGTGAACAACTGGAATTGATTATCGATTATCGTGCGCATCCTATGCTCCTTCACGACATGGGGTAACAAGTGTAAGTAAGTACATAAATAAATAAGGATACAACACTGAATTCATGAATACATTAATGATAAGCTTATAATCTTTATCAAGAAATTAACATGAAAGCACTTACTTTTAAATTATCCAACAAATTCAATAAATCTTCTTTACTAATCCCTCCACTAGTTGATGATGCATATTTTAAATCTTTTAAAGCTATTTGTATTTCATCCATTTGTTGTTTTAATGTTGTGAATGTTTCATTAATTGATTGTTTATGAATAAGTTTACGTCTAATTACTTTTTCAGTATTCTATTGAAAATAATGCGAAATGATGATTAGATATGTAAGTAGATTCTATACGTAATTTAGCGGTAAATAAATCTCCCCACGTTTTCGACATTGGATGCTGACCACATTAGTTTTAATGGACTCATCTAGCTGAAGGCGCTCGGTCATGCATCCGCACCAGATCATGAGTGGGAACGCCGTGCTCAACATCCCCTGCAATCGCTAGCCAGATTAGATCAGACGATCCTCGATATATTGATAGCTTATCAAATATATCTTCGAACCTCCTCGCTTCTGTCTTTTGGTTTCACTTGGTGGGTACGATTCATATTAGGTGTTACTGGTTAAAGCGTTGTCAAACTCCGAATACATGTAGCATCTCTAGTAAATATCGTTAACTCATTCTATTTCAGAATAAAGTACTAAGTTATAATGAACTGATATGATAGCGGGTATTCGACCTTTTTCTAACATTTGTAATGTTTGATTATAACTTTAGTGAACACAATGTATATAGGTATATTCACTTTCATTTGCCTACATTATTCTTCGTCTATTTTCATAAAATATGCCCTTAATTTCGAATAGATTTCAGTTGTTCTCACTTTATGTATGTCTTTTATTCATACTTTAATTATATATCTGTGATACATATATTATTCACATTATTTAAAGAATAAGTTAGCCATTGTTCACTCACTAGGCTTTTGGCAACCACTTCTATCTGGATCTATTTAATTTCTAATTTCATCCGTTTAGTATACCTGCTCATGTCATTGTCTGTGATGTTTGTTTTAAATACAGCTCTCATTCTACAGAATGTATACGAAGTCAAACGTTAATGACATCAAACATGAGCTATCTGTATATATCATCTATGATTACAACAATGTAGCTCAACTGAACTTGCCAGATAAAAGAAAAACAAATAACATGAACTTAATACCTTCAAATTATGCGATTGTATGCAATATTCACTGACTAAATGAATAGGAAGAAAATGTTTAATATCGAACATACATTAAATATTGAAGATTAGATACGTTACAAATTCATGGGCACTTATACTATCAAGAAACATAAGCACAATAATTAGTACTAAAATTAGATAAAACCATTGTGGAGTGTGCTACTTATATTGACATAAGTAGTAGGTGATGTTAGTCGTGAACAGAATGTCTGGCAGCAGAGAGACAAGAGGATCGAACAATAAAAAAGGGAAACAGAATGCAATTTATATGGAAATGCAAGAACAATGAAGTCTGAGTCATTAAGAGACAAGTGGTGGACATCTTGCAAATTACGTATTTACTACTTGATTGTTAGATTTTATTAACAAATCCTGTAAGTTTGTGCCGAATGCATTCGGAATCAAACAAAAGATCAACATGATTGATGAAGAAGAATAAAAATCCATGAATCTCGATCGTAACATTTCAACTAATCTGCTAGATTCATTAAATTCTTCAAAATACTATGATTTAGTTAACTTTACTCAAAGATACTCAATTATACCAGCGATAACATCAAGTTCAAATGTAAGAGAGGTGAACATTTAGCCTCGAAAAAAAATTCAACTATTCATAAGTTATACATTTTAAACTGGTAATATCTATGACTGTGAATTTATTTCCTGTAGCACATCATATAACCAGTCAGTCTGTCATGCAAAATTTCAATTCATCAATCTCTACAACACTCAGTGATAACAATCATCATACCCTTACTAATAGATAAAGGTGAGAGATAATTTTCAGAATTCTAGTGAGATATCTTGACTAGTGGAGTTCAATCATGACCAGAGTGAGATAATTGTAACCACCAATGGTAGTGGATGATGGTTATGTAAAAGCGCTAAATCGTCGAAATTAGAAGTACAAACAACTGAATATGAGTTCAGTTATCTGAAAGTTTAGTTATCATAACGAGATTTGAATCCATGAAGTAGTAGAAGATGTGCCCTTCTAAAGACGAAATGCTTCTTCATAACTCATGAAAATAACAATATATTTTAATCTTAATGACTTTTAAAAGAACACTCATAATATAATGGTACAATATCATCAACTTGAAACCATTACTTACATTAAGACGATCATTGAAACCTTTTATTTCATTATATAATTCTTCAACGCTGAATTTGTTTAAAATTGACATACCACGATTATCTTGTAAATTAAGTGCACGTTCTAAATCATTGACTTGACCATTAGTAAATGTTAAATGTCCACGACAGTCATTGAACTATATGAAGTTAGTAATAATAATAATAATGATAATCTTATTTCATTGTAAACCACAGTAAAATTGCCCATCATAATCCTCTAAAAGACAATAATACTGGTAAAATTATTTCACCGATATATCATTTAATCATCAAACTATTCCCAATGATCTATTAGTAAAAGTTTGGTAAAAGAGATAAACTTCACTGGTTGAAATCATGAGTCAATTGAAACTAGACCACCATGGAAAACCCGGAAGCACTTGACGGACGTTCCGTCCTAGTATGGGACTCCTCGGCAGTGTGCATCCACGATCCCGCCGCGCGCACGAGACTCTAACCCAGGACCTATCAGTCTCGCGCCAGGCGCTTAACAAACTAGACCACTGAGCCGCCATCCAATGGTGTTAATGTCCAACTTCAACCAATCCACGAAGTTGCGCCACCAAACATCATTGTCTTTAGTGAGCTGATATCTCACAACAGACCTAGTTGAACTCCACTGGTAACGACTTCTCACTAGAACTTCGGGAGTATCTCCTTAAGTCAGTCACTAGTGAGCAGGTGATTAATATCAGAATGGGTTTTTGTGGAGATTTTAGAAATCTTACTGGTTGAAATCATGAACCAGTGAAATTTCTAAAATCTCCACAAAAACCCATTCTGATAAAAGAGATAAACAGTATTTTTTTTATTTTAAAAGTCAATAGAACTATAGTATGATCCCAAAGTTGATTAACCATTAGAACGTCTATGAGATATTTATATGATCTTATTAACTAGTGAGCATATATTATGATTAAGTTATGATGTCTTCTAATTGAACGCTAGATTCGGTCCCTTAGCTCTTCCAGCAACCTCGAGGCTAAATCTACACAGCGACTTGAATACGAGAGAAAAGGCTCGAAATATCAAAGAAAATGCTTTACTCTAAAGGTTTGTTTATGTACAGAAAATCTAGGGTTTTTATAGTATTTTAGATGTCCTTGAGTCTCCGGAAAATTCTGGAATGCTTTTAAACATTGTAGCCGTATAGGTAACCATCCAATCAAAAACTTGACATGTGACTTTTCACTTTCTAGATGTTTCTGGCAAACCTTCTAGTGAACGCTGATTAGATAAGATGATTTTCAGGGCCTTTCTTGGCTTTTTTTCCAGGAGTTTCCTGGATCTCTCCAAGAAGTTAAGAACACATTATTAAAATGTTGAAAGATTTTGATGTGCTCAATTTTCCACAATATTTATAAAGTTATCGTATATTCACTTTAGAAACTTGATAAATTGCAAAGATCCTCTCAAATCACATAGTCTCAAAGATAAATGATATGTATGAAAAATGCAGGTGGGTGGACTTATTGTGAATGAGTCGATTATTCGTCTGGTTAAAACCATCGCTAACATCCTAGTCGATTTTTACATATAAACCCATGAATGATGTACATATTCCTTCGGCCTTTAGGATTTAAACTTAATTTATTGTCTTACCGTTTTTACTCTACATAGGTAATAGAGAAAGCATAAAGAAGAGTGTGCTGACAAAGGAATTGAATTATAGAGCACAACAAAACTCGTCTATGAATGTAGACCATTTCACACTCGGTTCTTCTATAAAGATATATATACTATTTAATACCATAAGGACTACGTATTACTTGTGTGTATAATTTTCTATGAATTGGTAAGATAACTTTCAATGAGTGCAGCTGATTGTGACCAAATTCAACTATACGAAAGGATTATTTGTTAACAAATGGTTCATTATTTTGATGGAGTTTTATTCTCTGAGCTGGATAGTCTGCTCGTGGATCTTTCATCATTCTTCTCAAAGACATTATCAGAAAAAACTTCAGATAGACTTCTATCTATCCAACTCAGAGAATAAAACTCCAACAAAATAATCCACTTAAACTATAAGCCTTCTCCATCATCTGAAATAGTTTATCATAGATATGAGCCACATACGCCACATTCGATTTTTTCGAAGGCTGTGACACTGACCGAGCGCCCAGACTGAAACATATGGTTATATTAGAGGGGTCACACTCGGAGTCTTCGACCTGAAGGTTTAATCCACAAGGTAACGGATCAACATAAGGAGATACAATTCTATGGTAGCCGGTTGTTAGGTTTGAAACTAACACGAGTTCACTTGATCTGCGAACGAGAACAAAGACTCAGTGACAAAAGACCAGCAAGCTAGCTATTTGATGCGTCCCAGCCTCGCTAACTAGAGGGAGAAGTCCAAGCTTGGAATGGGAAGTATATTCTACAAATCAGCCAGAAACGAGCGATAACAACAAACACAATTCAAAACGTATATATACAGTACAAAACCGTCCTTAAGAAGAGTTACTAAATAGCATACTAAAAGACGCAACGAACCAATAATATCTAAGATATCTTCCAGTGGGAAATACAACATGAAGGTGACAAGAGCGTCTTTGGTGCGAAAACAAAGAAATTCAAATAATCTAAATAAAATTACAAAATTAGGTCCTTTCCTAAGTGAGTTCTTGGGATCTAACGTCCCCAACACCGGTGACCAATAAGTAGTTCAGTTCAGTTAACATTAAGCTATAAATCTTCTCTATCCTCCAAAATAGTTTATTCTTTCAAAACTTACTTCAAGATATAATGATGAACATTCCCATGTATGAATATCAGTTTCCAAGAAAAGATTATTTTGTTTCTGTTCTAATTCATTTAGTTGTAATTGAATATGATTTAAATTATTTTCAATTTCATTAGTTTTCTCTGTTATATCCGTTAAATCTTTTAATTTTATTGGTAATAAATGAATAAATTTCTCCATTGATTCTTCTAAATATAATAAACGTTCATTTTGTTCTAATTGTATTGGTTGAATTATTGGATCTTGACTTAGATTAGTAGCATTTTGTAAATGTTCTGTAATCTTGAATAGAATTTTAATTGATTGATCGATTGATTGATTGATTGATTGATTGGTGGGGGGAGGGGGAAGGGAAGGAGGGATGTTTGGGAAAAAAGAAAAAGGATGAAATTTATGTGATTATAGAAATTGAAAATAGGAAATTGTTATATCCTAGTAAAGATTACATTACGAGTAACGTCTGAGACCTATTAATGGACTAATATTATCTATATATATATATTCTTATGGTATAACTATTCAGTAGTCAGATTATGCATATTTATATTCCTCTTATTATAAGCTTCTTTTTGACCTATAGATTATTATTGTACGATTTACTGTTCATAAGTTGTACTCAGTTTATTGATTACTGTCTCCCATGTTCACAGCCACTTTTTGGCTTTATTGTGTACGAATGTTATTTCCTATTTTATGATGCGCTGCAGTCTGTTTGGTTGATATATAAAACCAGTATGTCTGAGGCTGTTGTTGGCATTCTGGACTCAGTTGGACTGGCTAGGCGAACAGCGGACCAATAGGACGCTAGGTTGATCAAACCGAACGGACGTCATTGCTTTAGCACAGTACAAGAATGAATAAGTCATATTTTGATAGTCGAATAAATCACGTGATAACTAGCGGTCCATAAAGACACAACAGAAATGTTGAAATATATAGTCTTTTCAGTAAAACAAAATAAAATAAATAAATAAATGGATAGGATACATATTGAGGAAAGCACCGAACTGTGTCATAAGTTAAGTCCTCACATGGAATCCTTAAGGTCAAAGGAGGAGAGGAAAACCAAAGAACAAATTACGCCGAGAAATGGACAAAAATATGAGAAGAATGAACAACAATTGGATAGATCTAGAAAGGAAGGTGCAGGATAGAGTGGGTTGGAGAATGTTGGCTGGCGGCCTATACTCCACTGTGAGTAACAGGCGTAAGTAAGTAAGTAAGTCAATAACTACACTAGTTGATGTCATTAGTAGTTTATTTTACATAGTTTGGGATATATAAATCATGTTTCCTTCAAAACATTCCTCATATATGACAATATAGTGATTATTCCGTTTTTATTGTTTTAAACATTCTCTATTTCGTCATTTTAACTTTTTTTTTAATGCTACCAGTCTTAAACGTTTGTACGTAGATGTCTTTCTTAAATTCAATTTCTCATGAACCATCTTTATGGTGCCTACTGCGGAAGAGAGAGTTGAAGAGGAAATTAGGAAAAGACTCTCGAAATGGACAGAATATAGACTGTGGAAATCATCAAACTGTATCACGAAGCACGCACTAACATGGAATTGTGAAAGGAAATAGAAAAGAGGAAGACCAAAGAACACACTGTAACAAGAACTGGAAGCAGACATGAAAAGAATGAATAGTGATTGTAAACAACTGAAAAAGATTATCAAGGACGGAGTTGGATGGAGAATGCTGGTGGTCGGTCTATATTGATCCACGAGGGATAACAGTCGTAAGTAAGAAGGCAAGTATCCGTATGGTGAGCCGGTGATTAATAGTATAATCAAAATGAGAGGTGGACTGACTTCCTGTGCATGCATTCATTTTGAACTAATCATGGTCTTTACTTAATTGGTGATTCACTTCTAAAGAAGTGTTTTCCTAAACGCATCATATTCATAAACACCGTCCTGTAGTTGATGACTCTCTTAATAAACTTTATTACTTTTTCACCAAAAATTTGATATTGAGTAGTGCATTTGCTAAACGGACTATTTGTTTTATTTTAGTTTCCTTAGAATTATAAAAATTCAGTAACCACCAAGTAATCAGTTGCTATAAATTTCCGATTACTACAGGAAATAAATCGTGGTCTAAAAATTTGAGTAGTAACGCCTGTCGGTACGAAACAGAGTGATATTGGTTTGAATCCCATGGAGCGAACCAGCTCCTTCAATAACATAAAGGCCTGTTCAAATATTTATGCCATCCATTTACAAACCATGAAAATAATACTTTAAGCCTTCCGGACTTAGATTTGTGTGAACTGAACAATCATGAATTTCAACTGTATGAACTGTATGAAAGACGTATAAACTATCACGATGCTCACTACTAAGATCGAGATAATGCTCTCTGTGCCTACTTTGATCGAAATAACGAGAGGGAAATATGTCGTAACTCATACTTTCAGTATCTAATGACTTGAAAAAAATAGTTGTAGGAACTCAACTGATAAAAATTTTTCTCCGCTGAAGATTAATGGCAGATATTAACCATTGTAAAACCATAGAATATTATTATAGAATAACAACAATTTCAATCATTGTTAAACAGGAACTTGTTGGAATGATACACAGCTGATGGTGGGGATTCTTTAATATAACAGTATTAATGATAATCAATAGGGCTATTATTATTATTATTAAGATGGATGGTGGCTAACAATGGAATCCAGGTAACGTGTCTCGTCCTACCTGTGACTCGACAGCCGCATGCACCTGCGTCCCAGAGTTGATGTTCACTCTGGGACTCGAACTGAGTACCATTCGCTTCAAAAGCTATCGCGTTATCCACCCAGCTACTGAGTCCTGACAGTCATTTACTTGTGCAATGGGGTGAAGTTTAATTCACTAGGTATTGTTTAATTTGAATCTTCCCATTGATGTTTAGGACTGAAATTGATCAGTCTCTTATTGGCATATGTGCATACTGTGCGTACGGCCTCGATATTGCCTTAGCTAAGTGGATAACGTGATGGCGTTTGAAGGGAACAGTACTGGGTTCGAGTCCCAGAGTGACACATCAATTCTGAGATGCAGGTAGATCCGTTTGACGAGTCCCAAATAAGATGAAATGTGCGTCCTAGATTCCACTACTAGCCACTATCCATCTTTGCTTGTAATGCTTGTTAAATTAAGGTAATATCGAGACAATACGCACAGTATGCACATATGCCAATAACAGACTGATCAATTTCAGTCGTAAACATCAATGGGAAGATTCAAGTAAAACAAAACCAAATGAATTTTTTACTATATAGTTCTCTGATTTTAATGAGATGTTCTGTTATTATTGTGCTCAAATACATTCAATTGTTCCCATTCATGTTCTTGTTCACATACATAAATATCATTTAGATACCTAACTATTTTACTTTAATATCAGATGCGTTTTGTGGATATTATAGTAATTTCAATGATTGACATCATGAGTCATCTAAAGCTAGACCATCGTGGGAAACCTGGAAGCACTGGATGGCCGTTTCGTCCTATTGTGGGACTCTCCAGCAGTGCACATCCACGACCTCGGTCCCTGCGAGATCCGAACCCAGGACCTACTGGTTTCGTGCGCGAGCACCTAACTACTAGACCACTGAGCTGGCTGTCATCCAACGGTGTTAATGTCTAACTTCAACTAATCCACGAAATCGAGCGACACATCCACCATTGTCTTCAGTGAGTTGATATCTCACAACAGACCTGGTTGAACTCCACTGGTCACTACTTCTCACTAGATCTCCAGGATATACCTCGTGAAGCCAGTCACTAGTGAACATATGTTGATGAATATCAGAAGGGGTTTTGTGAATATTATAGTAATTTCAATGGTTAAGATCATGATTCTTTAATATATTACTTACTTTTGATTGTTCATCTAAAATATTTTGTAATTGTCCAACAATAATCGATAATTCATTCGATGTACAACGTACTTGTAAATGTTTCAATTTACCATTCGTTTTATTTTCAATTAAATCTTTTATTGAATTGATCCAATTTTCTATTTGATTTAAATGATTATTTAATTCATTTTCAAGTTTTAATTTATCCGCTAATCGTTTTGCTTCCACTTTTTCTAAATTAGCTTGTCTTCTTTTTGAAATCTAATTTTAAAAGAAAAAAAAGAAAAAAGAGAAGCACATTAGATTTATAAGTATGATGATGATGATCATCATCATTAATAATGAACCAGTGGTGCACATGGGCTCCAGTATCCTGAAGGAACAAATGGCGTATGAACCAATCGTTGGTCACCGGCTACCATGGGACTGCATTTCCTCACGATGCTCCATTGCCTTGTGGATCAGACCTTCAGGTCGAAGGCTCCGAATGTGGGTTTGTAAGAAAACCATCTGGTTCGGTTTGGGCACCCGGGCAGTATCACAGCCCACACACATATCAAACGAGACTTGTGTGGCGCATATGTATCTGGTGCCCCTTTGCACCAATATCTATGTGTTAAAATAAAATAATTAATAATGTTTGGGCTTAAAACTCCCAGTGATCTATTTACTCATTAGTGTTATGATATCCACCAATATCTTTGGGTTGTTGATGATTCAGTAATGAAAATGAATGAGGAGACTCAAAATGTAATTCATTAGATTTATACTTGTTGACTAAATGATCCTATACTTTGTAAATGATATTTAGGTCTGGTAATTGATCAATTGTTTAGTATTAGGTAAGCAATGTTCATACATCTCTCCAGTTCTCTATAGTTTATAATGATTCTTTAGCTGATTTTATTTGATGATGCAGTACTAAGGATTATTAAATAATAACATACATTGATGTGCTTCTGAAAGAATACAGAAATCATGCAAGCATAACAGAAATAATAAAATATGTTGCAAGAAAACTAAATATATACAACTGGATCACATACTAAATCAATTCACACTTTGTTTCTTGTGTGTGTCCTTGTAAGGAACTCCTCATTAATGCACATTCACGATCCTGCACATGTGAATCGAGGTCAGAACTTTCAGTTTCACCTGTAAATACTTGATTTCTACACCACCGGGCTGGGAGCTAATGATGCACATACCTAGCTTCACAATATTGCACAAGTATTATCTATTGTTTGCAGGAGATAAAAGTATCACACGTGACACAGATGGAACTACATCGGTCATTGTTATGAAACATTTGTCCACTCCAGGCAACAGATGAAGGTTGTGCAATATTATGAATTGATTGAATTTAGACATGTGCATCATTGTATCACGGCCCAGTGGTATAGAAATCAAATATTTACAGGTGAGACTGAAAATTCTGATCTCAATTCCTGTGTGCAGTGTCGTGGATGTGTACTGATGAGAAGTTCCATACAAGGAAGAAATGACCTTCCAGTTCATTCACATTAGTTCGTAAATTAAACTGTAGAAGTTCTACTGATAGTAATAATTGTTAACAAATATAAAAAATTATAATCCCAACTTATTTACTCACATCGGATTCTAGTTTCTCAATCCTTTTACGAAACATTTCCAATCTATGATGATCGGCTGATTCACCAAGATAATGAGCAGCTTCATTAGCTTCTTCTAATAACACAAATATTTCATCTCGTCGATTGAACCAATCATTTTCAGAAAATTTCGAATCTTCAAATTGTGACAACCAATTCTGATAGAAAAAAAAACATACATATGGAAAGGGAATTCATAGATATTTATCTGATAGTTAGCTGTATACAACATGTGGATAAAGTGATTATGGGATTACCAACTTCTGTCATATCTGTTAGTTGTTTCGCTTTAAAAACGAAAGGAATTGGTAAGCATTTATGGTAGACTTATTACACTATTGAAAGAGATGATCGACAAAATATTCATCAGTGTTGTATACCCTGTTTCGTAATATTAGTAAAAGTTTCCCTAACTATAAAAAAAAAGATAAGAAATAATCAATAATCAAATATTTAGTGTTTAGTGATCCAATATCTAACTCCAGTCATATCGTATGTTGATCGCTATCGAAATATACATATCGTCAATTCTTGTATATAATCATCGACTTAAATCGCGCTGATGAATAATGGAATCAAATAAGTCAAATACGAGAATGAATATTTGAATACATATTATTTGTACACTCATTGATTTATACAGACAATTAAAGGGATGAAGCAAAGGAAGAGAAACGAAACGACGTACAATGGAGAAGGCCTGTGAACTAATTCCATCTAATCAAGCGCCAGATAAAAATAGGTTACAGACATGTGATGGATAGGATAAGATATTCATACGCATATGTTCATTCAAAAACAATCAGGGTTGATAAGTGAATAATCAACAAGGTTAAAACGTGATTCAAGAAGAATGGATAAATTGACCTGTACAGAAGCTAGAATAAGTGATATGGGCTTAACATAGTAACCGACACCACAAGTGCATATATTTATGTTATAATAATAGTAATACTCCATAACTCAGGTTGATTAGTCGTCATCAAATATTCATTAGATGGTTCAATCTAGTTAAAGATAAATGAGCATGGAAAACAGGGTTTATGATCCAATCTTACTAAAAAAATATCAGGATGGTAACTATTTCACTTTAAATAAAATTTAGTTCTATTTATGTAGCGAGGTAGTAACTTGATATTTACAACCCTTAGCTTTCAAACACTGCATTGTAATATAAAAATTTAACCACACCTAATTTAATGAGGGCAATTGGTTTGTATCAACAGATTGTACAGCGAAACATTTGACTTTTTTTGATATTTATTTTTAACACACATGAAGGTCTGATCCACAAGGCAGTGGAGCATCATAAGGAAATGGGGTCCCACAGAAGTCGGTGACCGACAAATGGTTCATACGCCATTTGTTCCCTCAGGATACTGGAGCCCATGTACACCATTAGTTTGAAATCCGGTTAAAGCGCCGGACATTCGCTTTTCGTCCTCTCATTTTCGTAGACAACACCCCCGCCACGAGAAGGCAGTGAGTAGGCCTTCCCTGGCAGAGGCTATATATGCGTGGTCATGTGAGAGCATTTGGAGAGGGAGAGCGGACTCTCCCCACTGTCGGCTGTACCAGGGCATTTTTATAAGGAATAATAATGATGAGACGATAATTTATGAACAACGCTAAAATGACCTTGAAAATGTACATCTACTTACTAGGATTAAATGAGGTTTATCAATTAGTGCAAGGAACTAGGATTTGAATTAAAAGTTGAACATTAGAGTTAGAAATTATATTTCATCTTATCATTACAAACTGACACATCAGCTATAATGTTGAAATGGTATTTAAGTCAAATGAATGGATGAATCTCGTGACAAAATCTAAAACCTGCTATATTAAATCTGATTCGTTTGTCCATAAAAAACGTATTGAATCCATGTGAAGAATTTCTCAAAGATTACTTAGACGACTTACACTTGTTCTTGGCAATAAAACTATAGACCTTTGTATTTAAACAAATGGTATCTTTACAAAGTAACATCATCATTTTAATTAATCACAATTTTGAACTTACTTCTATATTTCTAACACGATGATCTAATTTATCCCATAATGTTAAACGTTGTTTAATACGTTCACCTAATTGTATTAATTGATTAAATTTATCTATATTCCATTTCATTTCACAATCATCTTGCCATCGTTGAATAATATCCAAAGACATTTTTGGTATAAGTTGATCATCATATTGAACAATTTTAGTTAATAAATTAAAATGTTTACATAAATCTGATTTACATTGATCTAATTTCTCTGGAATATGTTCTGTCTTTAAACAAAGCTGTTTTGTTTTTTTTTGAAGACAAAGAAAGAAAAGAAGGATAATTGAAGTTATAGGGGATACAATTTGATTTCATGAGAAATGGTTCCTTAGAAATGATACGTGATAGTTGAACTCTTAGGATCTTAATACGTTATGCTATTAGTTCTTATTGAAAATTTATATGAAGAAACTACTTATCTACTTACTTATTGCTATTACTTACAATCGAACATAGGTTGCCGACTAACTTTCTCTAACCCACTCCTTCCTTTTTAGTTCTATCCAGTTGTTGTTCATTCTTCTCATGTCTGTCTCCATTTCTCAAAGTAATGTGTCCTTCGATCTTCCTCTTCGCCTTTGGCATTGAGGATTACATGTAAGGGCTTGTCTTGTGATGAAATTCGGTGCTTTCCTCAATGTGTGTCCTATCCACACCCAGCTACTCATCCTGATTTCTTCCTCCTTCCTTCCTTCCTTCCTCGAAGCTCGTTTGTTCTGTCCAACAGTACATTGTTGCTGATGGTGTTTGGTCAACCGGTCCAATGTATTTTACATAGACAACTGATAATAAACATTTGTATCTCCTCGATGATAGTTTGCGTAGTTCTCCAAGTTTTCACCACATACAGTAGAACTGTCTTGATATTTGCATTCAAAATTCTGACATTGGTGTTGGTTGATAGTTGTTTTGAGTTCCAGATGTTCTCCAATTCTAAATATGCTGCTCTTGCTTCACATCCGCATCAGACCAATCGTGTTCATCAATGATGTTGCTCAGATATGTAAATGATTTTACACCTTCCAAATCTTCTCCGTCAATTGTGATTTAACTGTCACATGCTGTGTTGTATCGTAGAATCTTGCTTTTCCATTTGTGTATGTTGAGACCTACTGCTGCTGAGGATGCTGTTACACTGGTCGAATTCTCTTGCATTTGTTGTTGCGTGTGTGATAGGAGAGCCAGATCATCTGTGAATTCTAGATCGTCCAGCTACATTCTAGCTGTCCACTGTATTTCATGCTTCCCTCAAGATGTTGACGTCTTCATGATCCAGTCGATCACCATGGAGAAAGAGAAAGGGTGAGAGTAAGCAACTTTGGATGACTTTGGTCTTTACATCGAACAAGTCTGTGAGCTGTCCTCTATGCACGATTTTGCAGAAATGACATAGAAGAAAAATCATATTATACACAACCTTTGAATAAACTCTATTTAAGGCATTTCCTAGAGTCCATCAGCTTTATTTTTTCTTTAAATCTTTATACTATCTTAGTCTACCATTTAGATAATAAATAGAATAAGTCATGTCTTCATTGCAAAATTTACGATGGCATGATAAAAAGATATAATAAGCCAATGTGATATTTCATTCAGAGATTTCAGTAAAGAAAGTTACATCCATTTACATCTATTCCAGATATTTACATAATGATTTCCATAATAATTTAGTCATTAGCATTAAATGACTGTAGTTAATTTATTAGATGTTCTACAGAAGAAAAAACTGTTGACTTGAATAAACCTCTTTTTACTGAAGCAAAAATCAAGATCATACTGTCGATCACACATAGTTTAAGATCAAAGTCATTATACTTTGGGAAGTAAACCTGAATGATACGCAAATAATTGTATTGTACACAATATAGGCAGCTTGTATTATATACACGTGATGAATGATATACTGTTTACCTAGTTGGTAACAAAAATAAATAAGCTATTTTAACCTAACAACAGATGACAATCAGTTATCATCCACCTTCATCAGACCTCATAGAAACTAGTCATAAGATTAATTTTAAAAACAGTTTTTCCAATGTTGTATACAAGTCATTATGATCGAATACATGGGTTATTTAAAAATGTAGTCCTAATAAAGCTGGCACATTCTTATACCAGAAGAGTGTTTTGTGTATATTATAGTAATTTTAATTGTTGAAATCATGAGTTAATTGAAGCTCGCACGCGAGACTGATAGGTCCTGTGTTCGAATCTCGCGAGTTAGGATCATGGATGAGTACTACTGAGGAGTCCCATAATAGGACGAAACGGTCATCCAGTGCTTCCAGATTTTCCATACTGATTCAGCTTAAATTGACACATGATCTCAACTATTAAAATTACTATAATATCCACAAAAAACCCTTTCTGATATAAATTCATTTTACTTTTTTGTATCATCGATGATGCAAACAATGTTCTATCTTTATTGTTTTCAACTTCCAACAAATTAATACTGAATCAAATGGTTCAAGATGTATTCCATTGATATATCAAGGGATTCTGAGAAATCTCAAATTAAATCTATTATATATTTATTAACTCACAATATCTAACAGTATAAGATTTTTTTTTACATTAAACAATAATGATTACCTGATAATCGGTAAGAATTCCATTTACAATCTCTCTAGTTTCAGTATGTATATTACCATCGACTAGATCCAACCAATTACAAAAACGATATTCAAAACCTGTAGCACTTTCACGTCGACGACTACGTATACGAACACCTGTACTAGTTTCTGTACGATTAACATTATATAATATATCAAGAAATGTTCTACGAGCTTTGGCTGCATTTAAAACTGCACTATATCCAGGTTCATAACCAGTAACTTTTGATAAACGTGTACTTAGTCGATCAATTAAAGTACTAGGTAAATTGTTTGTCTTTTCATTGTCAATAACACGAGATAAATCATCACGAATAGAGTTTAACTTTTGATTATTTGTTCCGAAAATTTCCTAGAGAAAATGTGAAAGTATACATTAACTAATAACTTGTTAATCAATAATCAAAATGTAAAAAAATGTCCTTAAGTTTACAAGTTTTATAGATTGGTTGAAGTTAGACATTAACACCGTTGGATGCCGGCTCAATAGTCTGGACGTTAAGCACTCACGCGCCAGACCAATAGGTCCTGGGTTCGAATCTCGCCAGGCAGACTCGTGGATTCTCACTGCTGAGGAGTCCCACAATAGGACGAAACGGCCGTCCAGTGCTTCCAGGTTTTTTATGGTTGTTTAGATTTGACTGAATGATGAATTAAACTATTAAATTATTTTTCATGGGTTTAAATTTATCAAGAGATTAAGTAGTATGATGATAATACTAGAAAAAAATGATTTATATCTAATGGTTTTTAGAAAATAATTGAAGCGATTTTTTTGAAGTACTTTACTGAGGGGAGATAATACCAATAAATGTATAATGATAGACATTTAGATTACCCAAGTGTTTTCACATATAACATAGACTGGTGAACTAATAATCTGTAGGTTTATTGAAGAGCATAATTCAGCATTAGTTAATTCATGATATAATATAATCCATTGGATGCTGGCTCAGTGGTTCAGTAGGTTAAGCGTTCGCGCGCGAGACTGAAGACCCTGGGTTCGAATCCCGCGAGCGGGATCGTGGATTCTCACTGCTGAGGAGTCCCACAATAGGACGAAACGGCCGTCCAGTGCTTCCAGGTTTTCAGTGGTGGTCTAACATTAATCGGTTCATGATCTCGATAAAAAAATAATACAGTCCACTTTCAGTATGGGTGAGAAGAGCGAAGTGATTTATTCCTGATACGTTTTTCTCCATAAGTTATGGCTTAAATGAACTACAATAATGTGTATGGTAGATATAAAGAAAAAGTAATCTAATCAAATGATATGTTTACTCATATTTTTTATTGTATCACTTACTAATCTTTCATTTTGTAACTTATCTATTAATTCATTTGATGGAGGAGAATATGGAGGTTCAGCACTTGAAGGACGCCATGATTGATTGACTGTAATACAAAATCCCATTGCTTCAGTACCAGATGGTTTTTGATACCATTTTAAATTTACTTGTTTAAACCATTTTTCAGCTTGACTTAACCATTTAGCAATATGACCATATTGACCAGGTATTTTTTCATCTATTTCCCATAACCATTCATTCATAATATTGATAAAATTATTCCATGATTCTTCTAAAATTTCTATTTCACTTAGATTAATTAATGAATCAGTATGAGATATTAAACCAGAATACCATTGATCTTTTAATGATTCATAATTTACTTCTTCTATCTCTTTCCCTGTAATTAATTCCTCATATACCTATCAATACAAGAAGGTGTACTTATTATTATTATTATCATTATTATAAAATTAAGAAATATTTCCTGAACAAAAGAGTGAAACTAAAAATATCGAGCGAATCATCTATCCTCGTCAAGGTCAGGGACAATCAACGCGCATCAGTTAATCGTATGCCATGGACTGGCTCATGCGGCAGTGGTCTTACTTTCGCTTGTATCTACTTCAACTAATATATTTCTGTAATAACGTCCTTTGTGTTGTACAGTCTTCAAAGCATCTATGGTACCTTGATACGTCAATGGGGTGGTCCACGTAAGGTGCTGACCACGAGGTGTGACTTCGACGTTAGCTGGTTCGTCACACCATTCCCGTCTAATTCGAGGAAGTCCCCAATCATTTCGACATAGATCATCTACGTTGGTGATCTACAAAATGATAAAGACTCAAGAAATAAGAATAAATTTATATTATTTTGTGTCATTTACTGATCTTACTATGGTGAGATTATGATTTATGGACGACTTTTGAGCAACGCTAAAGTGACCTTGAGAATGTTCGCCTATTAATTAAGACCAAATGAGGGTTAAAAATTAGTGTGAGGAATTCGAATGATGATTAACAGTTGATGATTAGATTTAGGGTTTTCATCATGAACTGACATCAGCTATAATGTCAAGACTTTATTTAGCCAAATAGATGAGGGAATTTCGTGCCAAAATCCTAGACATGTTATCTTACACCTTGTAGCGGTAAATAAATCTCCAAAATCAATAGCACTATAAGTCTTCGACATTGGATGCTGACCACATTGGTTTTAATGGACTCACCTAGCTAAAGGCGCTCGGTCATGCATCCGCACCAGATCACGAGTGGGAACCTCGTGCTTAATATCCCCTTCAGTCGCTAGTTAATCTAGATCAGTCGATCCACGATATATTGATAGCTTATCAAATATATCTTCGAACCTCCTCGCTTCTGTCTTTTGATTTCATTTGGTGGGTACGATTCATATTAGGTGTTACTGGTTAAAGCGTTGTCAAACTCCAAATGCCTATGGCATCTTCAACCTGATTGGTTCGTCCATAAATTATAATCTCGCCCTTGCTATGTTCATACTGTATATAAATCGATATTGGCTATGGTTCTCGTTTTTAAAATGACCATGATCACTGCTTTATTTTCCCAACAAAAACTTCCTAGATCATTATATCTCAATTCCAGTATAATCATTGAGTATCATTTCAAAATATCATTATATAATAAGTACAATTTACTCCATTTTAATAAAATAGTCAATTCACTGGGTCTATTCATTCTAAATTAAATGAACGATTAACTTATTATTAAGTAGATGACCTGAAGTCATCTTTATTTATAGACAAAGCTTAATAAAAATCTAGATCGTGTTAAAATTTAACTGCAATTGATACTAATATGAAGTATTTTTAGAGTACAAGTCAAGTTAATTAGATCAAAATAATGATACACTGACTAGATGAAATCATCTCGAATGTAGAAATCTTTCAAATATCATATTGCATCATGTCAAACAGGTGAATTATTAGACTGTTATTAGTATTTTTCCTTAACAGGAAATTAGCAAACAACGTTGGAAGTGGATAGGACATATATTACGAAAATCATCAAACTGCATCATAAGCAGACATGAAAAGAATGAATAGAAGCTGGGAAGAACTGGAAAGGATTGTTCAAGACAGGATTGGATGGAGAATGCTGGTGGACTGCCTATTCTCCTCCACGAGGAATAACAGGCGTACGTATGTAAGTAGTTTTTTCCATTAAATTTTGTTCATATACACACAAATAAAACTATACTCCGTGTATCTAGGTAGCTTCATAAGTGCTGGTGGTGGCGTGAGTGATGAGATCAATGCATGTATAGCGAAAGCCATCTTTGGCGCCTTCGTGATGTTAGTTTTGCTGTAAAAGGTCGGATCTACAATGCATCGGTGAGGGCAGTTCTGCTCAATGCTTGTGAAACATGGCCTTTCTGAGTTGAGGATGTATGACAACTCTCTGTGTTTGATCATCGTTGTCTCCGAAGGATTGCGGACATCCAGTGGCAACACCATGTTAGTAATGCAGAGGCTCGGCATCCTATGTTCGGGAACAGAGACGATAATACAATCGGTGTCACCATCTTGAAACACCGTCTTCAGTGGCTTGGACATGTTCTACGGATGTCGTCCCAGAGAATTCCATGTCGTGCATTATTTGCCGACACTGGGACTGGTTGGAAAAGACGGAAAGGTGGTCAGTGCATGACATGGTGTCGTGGTATGAAAGGAAGCTGCAAAGAGTTGGCTTCTGTTGGTCCTTCACGACCCTCTGGCTGGGGTCCGAGAGATGGCGTGACACAGTGACTAGAGACGTTATCAGATATGGCTCAGAATAGAAGCCAGTGGCGATCCTGCTGTAACTTTCTTTTACTTTCTTCATAAAAAGTGGTTGTAACTTCCTTAAGTGAATGAATTGTTTCTGGTTGTACGTTTCCGTTTCCCCATAATTATTATTACATCACCATACACTAATCTGTGGTCGTTATTGTTCTTTCCCTTTTTCTTCTCTCTCATACGCACCCAACATTCTTTTTCTCTTCCCATTCTCATTGTTATTGTGTAGCACATATATATGTCTGGTGCCCTCTTGTACCAACATTTATGTGTTCAAATAAATAAATAAAATTCTTCACGTGGAACATATAGTCATAATAATCAAAGACAAGCAATACCAAAAACATAACTCGTATATAAAAACTGGCCAATCTAAGATAATATAAAGATTTCTTACTAAACTAATCAGAAATGAAGATATTTTCATTCAATTTAACTCCAGTTATTCAAAGAAATCTCTACGATGGAAATGATAACTCTCGGTATTGTTCATTCCCTATAGTTATTAAATACATTAGCTTAAAATAAACTATTAATTACTCTTGAAATTTCATGTTAAAATGATAATGAATTACGGATTACTTTAAGACATCATAGTTTCGATATTTCAGTGAAAAAAAAAATGTAATTTAATGTTACCTGATATTGATCATTTAAACTAGTACGCGCAGACCGAACCGTTTTCATTTTCAACTCAGATTCTCGAATAAATTTCATTAGATTATCAAGTTTAAGTTTGATATTCGTTTTGGTAGGCTTTAGCATTATGTATTAAAATAAACAAAAAAAAAATGGTGTGAATATTCATCTATTCTTCAGAAAATAAATACAATTTTGATATGACGTTTTATACTACTGAAATGTAATTCAGTAAGTAACGAGAATTTATAATTATTTTCCTCAATGAAATAGTGAACTTCAGAAAACTTGAATGAAAAAGGCTGAAATATAGTAACTGTTATAACAACCGCCATTTTCTTTATAATGCTATGGAAAATGATGCATTTGTCGTATTCAAGCAAGTTATGTTCTAAGTAATTTACTCCGAATTATATAACTGACTATAAGTATCTGCTTAGCTTGTATTTGATTCATAACTTAAGATATAAACACTTTCCACCAGATTACTTGTTATGTCACATTTTTTTATTAACTGTATTAAAATCCATACGCCAATAGATTACGTGACTACTATGAAGTTAGACGGGTGTTGCGTCCATTGGAATTAATAATCTCAGACAATCTAAGACAATGGTGGATGTGTCGCTCAATTTCGTGGATTAGTTGAAGTTAGACGTTAACACCATTGGATGTCGACCTAGTGGTCTAGAGGTTAAGCGCTAAAGTGTGGTACTGATAAGTCTTAGGTTTGAATATTGTGAGGCGGGATTATGGATACGCACCAGTGAATAGTCCCATACTAGGATGAAACGGCCGTCCAGCGCTTCCAAGCTTTCCATGGTGGTGGTCTAGTTTCAACTGACTCACGATCTCAACTATTAAAATTACTACAAATATCCACAAAACCCCTTCAAAAATAATTATGCGTATAAGAGGTATACATACTGTTTATGGTATATGAAAGTTCAGTTAACTGATAGGTCAAGAATGTATACTATATTGAATTCTCAAATCAAGATTAAATGATTTGCGAATGTTCTCAAATTTCAGAAATAAATTAACTGCTTTCAGCTTATGATCAAATCTATCTTCTTAATAATAACCATTTTATGAATCTGATTCATTTGAATAAAGAAAGAACAAACATCATAGTAAAATAATATGAATTTGTGATAACTTGTCAATTGAATGCTGATTGTCTTGGCTCTTTTAATGCTACTTTTTATATCTGGTCGTCGCTGGTTGTTTTGTCAGTAACCCTTATCACTTATACTCGAAACAAGGAACTTCGGCAATTCTCATGATGCAAAAGTAAGTACACAAGACTGGTATAAGTAAAGATTTATTAACCCTAGAACACGACGACGACGATAGTCGAAAATACATTCGTTTATATATTGATTGTACACACAATTTGATTAATAATTAGGATGAAATCACATATATGAAAGAGTTCACTTATCTTATGAATACTCTTCAGCTGATTACAAGCTAAAGTTATATTATTAATCATCAAATCGAAACAATCTTACATACTTTATATCAGAAACATCCATATTTTAACTCAGTTTATTCTAGACATTCCTGTGACAAAGTATGTAATGACGTTACACTCTACTGATTGATACAGTCATTTTATCTTGTAAGCAACCGAGGAGAATTCATATTCTTCTGTTATAATACTTAATCTTTCTTTATCCAAGTTTAGAAATAAGGATAATTGCCTATTAGTTGAATAGATAATAAATAGTACACAGACGTTCGAGAACTTGAATAAATTGGGTCAATTCACGTATATAACCGATCAACCTATTAGACAAGAGTTGCTGACTTAAAACCATTCACAATATTCGTAGAATTAATCACTGTATGTATGTATATGACAATGAAGTAAAGATCACATTAAACTAATGACGATACTAGATAATTTATCTTGACTGCTTATGTAAACCAAATTGATTTTATTTCATTTGAGGCTTTCCATAAGAATCCAGTTCTTTGTTCAATTTAATCCAGTGGGCGAAATACTAATTAACCATCGTTAACATCCATTTCAAATTGTAGGTTATACTACTGTTAATGAAGGTTTTATCTTGATGACTTATTTAGTCAATAACATGTCGATAATCATACACACAGAGGGAAAAGCAAGACCCTCCGTTACAACACAGCACGCAACAATCGAATTACACTTGACGGAGAAGCTTTAAAACATGTAAAAACCTTTACATATCTGGGCAGCATCATTCATGAAAATGGTGGATCTGATGAAGATGTGAATGTATGGATCGGAAAAGTAAGAACAGCATATTTAGAACTGAAGAACTTCTGGAACTCAAAACAACTGTCAACCAACACCAATGTCACAATTTTCAATACAAATGTCAAGACAGTTCTACTGTATGGGGCGGAAACTTGGAGAATTACCAAAGCCATCATCCAGAACATACAAGTGTTTATTAACAGTTGTCTACACAAAATACTTCGGATCCACTGACCAGACACTATCAGTAACAACCTAGTGTGTGAAAGGAGAAACCAGATTCCAGCTAACGAAGAAATTAGGAAGAAGCAGTGGAAGTGGATAGGATGCACACTGAGGAAAGCACCGAACTGTGTCACAAGACAAGCCCTCACATGGAATCCTCAAGGCTAAATGAGGAGTGGAATACCAAAGAACTCATCAAACCGAGAAATGGAGAGAGGCATGAGAAGAATGAACAACAATTGGATAGGACAAGAAAGGAAGGTGTAGGACAGAGTGAGTTGGAGAATGCTGTTTGTTGGCCTATGCTCCATTAGGATTAACAGGTGTAAGTGTGTAAGTCATGTCGATAATCACACTAGATTCACATACATGACGAAACTGCTAAACTTTTTCTTCAGTTCCTTTGATTCAAGATGAATATTCAGCTGATTTGTTTACTACAAATTCAGGAGAACATTAACCACTTAGACTGATTCATTTTATAGCTTGTTAATAATCACAAAACAACTAACATTGAGATATTTATTTACTAATTAGTTAGATTTTACTCATTATTCTTCATTGTTCTCTTTCAGCTTCTCATGATAATTGAGAGTTAGGTTGTTATAAAAAGTACATTTACTTTTCCTCACACTTTTATAACATTCGGACCCAGAACCTTCGATTAGGTGTTCGCACCCGAGAACGAAGATCTTGGGTTCGAATCCTGTGTGCAGGATCGTGGATGCACACTTCTAAGGAGTCCTATAATAGGTCTAGTTTTTTCAAGTTTTCAATAGTAGTCTAAAATTCATCGATTCATAACCTCATTTAAAAACTTAACAATATTCACAACTCCACACTGATAAGTAAATATTACTTACTGAATCAGGTCTTCGTCTTCCTGCATCCGGATAAGCTTTGAAAAATTGAGCAACATATGTTACAATTGACTTTTCATCTGGTCTATCAACATCAACATCTAAAATTAATCGAAACTGTTATTCAGTATATGAAATACAAAATTTCATTTGATTTTATACGGATTTATCATAATGTTCGGAGACGTTTATTATACCTAAGCAGTAAATGTATGTAAAATAAGCTTATATAAATTGATTAGATCAGGAATTTGAAATTTGAATCCCTACCCGATGGATCTAATGTTTAAATGTGCCGCCTGAAGTCCCTCTGGGGCTACTGCCGGTCTCAAGCCCGAATAAAGGAGGAGGGTCGAGCATGTGGTTAGCAACCCCATCCCGTAGAAAACTAACTCGCTGAAAAACGCTAACCAGAAAAATGTTTATCATGATATCAGGATATCATAAGTTCTACTCCTAGTGAAGACAAAAATATGCTTTGTTTAGGTGACGCATCCTAAGATGAAATAACTGTCCAGCGCTTCATGGCTTTCATTGATATCTCAAATGAAGTTCATCTGTAATGAATTCATCTAGTATAAGATACCAATGACTCGGTCTTTTTCAACTTTGTTATTATTAAAGAATGTAAAAAGCAATGCAAATAGTTTCTATACGCATTCTCTCTACTATCTACCTTAATCATATTTATGACAACAAATGAAATTGCTCTAAATTTGTTTATTGAGGTAAGATGAAGTTACATTATTACTGTTTATAATGACTTTCATTATGTTCATTGTATTTCTTTTTCATTCAAATCAATTGAAACACTAACCTTCAGGATCTAATAGTCTTGGTATACCCAAATGTTTTTCAGCTTGAGTAAATGCATGTTCTAAATTTTCTTTTGATGTTCTACTCTTTACTTTGTCCATTTCAACAAGACTGGAATCAATATTATGTACCATAGCATTGAATGCTATACCATCACGCCAACTTGGACCAAAATCACGAATTTGAACATCGTATTTTCTAAATATACATGGTTACATAAGATATGATAACATAATAGAAACGTCAGATTATAATCTGTAGACGTAGACTAACAATAAATTATATAAAACATTATCAATGATTAATAAATGCCTAATATATTATCATGTTCTAAAGTGTACTACTCCATAAATCCAACTATGATGTATGCCACATAGTTGTCGACAGATATAAGTAGTATCTATCATTAATCGAAAGTGAAATACCTGGCATCAAAAGCTTAAAATGATCAAAGGAAAGTGAACCGAAAACAAAGAATGATTGGTGTGGAAACGAAAAGAAACCCAATGAAGTTTAAGTATAATCGATAGTCTCCATCTATGTTCTCATTTATTACACAACTATCAAACCCTTAGTCTCTAAGTTGATTTACAAATAACAAATGAATTTCCCATATTGTTTCTTAAAACTTTGTCACCTTCAAATCTAAATAAAGGAAAATGAATACAATCAATATATTGGAAAATTATACTTAGTCACACTTGTTGTTGTACCAGAAGTGATCATTAATGAACTATGAATTCTTACCATCTATGCCTAAAATACATATTTAAATATACATTGAACTCAATGAAGAATTTTTGAAACCTGGTTACTGTCTCATAAGCTAATCAAGTATTTTTTATCTAGAGGAGTAAGGAAGATACTAATGGAGTTTCTAAAGAGATCCTGTAATAATAATAATAATATGGTCCTATCAAAATCTCTCAAGCATTTCAGTGTATTTCTCGAACCTGTTAGTAACAAACATTAACCAATCCCTATTCTATCATATCTATAAACTTTAGATCTCACAACGTAGACAATATCTTGAAAGTATTGACTTAGAATTTAAGTGCGTACACTTCTAATGACAGTTTATTTACAGTTCAATTCGATTCACACCCATTGTCATTGATACATTTAACCTATGATCTATTTATATTATACATGTCATAATGTCTCACTAGATCCTTGCAAATCTATTTCGAAACTGTTCAATATGGAGTACATAATCATTGTTTTAGATATAAAGTCTCTGATTACCTTATACGCCAATTATGGGAATTCCAGATAGTTATATTATGTAGATGTGGTGATAAAAATTTTAAAACGTAAAACATGAAGGTGTAAAACACAGAAAAATGATCCCCTGTGTTATTTATTTATTTTCACAAATAGTGTAATCCAAAAAATTATTAACAAAAAACACAATTTGATCTAAGCCCTCAAATGCCCTGGTACGGCCGAAGGATGAGGAGAGTTAGTTCTCCTTCTGCGAATGCTCTCACATAACCACGCGTAAATAGCCACTGCCACGAAAGTACTACTCACTGCCTTCTCAAGGCACTACTGTTATTTACGAAATTGACGGGACGAAAAGCGAATGTCCGGTGATTTAACCGGGTTGGTGGACACGGAACGTCTACCTATGGGAGTTGGTAAACCATGATTTCAAACCAACGGTACACATGGGTTCCAGGATCCTGAAAGAACAAATGGCGTATGAAACAACTATTGGTCACCGGCTACCATGGGACTGTATCTCCTTACGTTGCTCCACTGCCTTGTGGATCAGACCTTTAGATCGAAGACTCTGGGTATGGCCCCCTAAGAAAACCATCTGCTTCAGTCTGGACACCCGGGCAGTATCACAGCCCTTACACAAATCAAGTGACTTATATGGTGCATATGTATTCGACGCCCCTTTGTACTAATATTCATGTGTTCAAATAAATAAAACAACTATAGCTTCTGTGTAATTTACAATCATTCATTTTTTTCATTTTCTGTAAAATAAAAATTACAGTCAGCATATTTTCTTTACTCTGTTGATTGTGCAATAAAACCATGTGAATCATAAGCAAATAGTGTTCATTTTAAATAGTAGAAAATTAACACACTCAAAGAACAAAGAATATAGTGCTTCATACTCACAAGCCTTTTCTTTTGAAAGAACTAAAAAAAGTGGTAAATATTGAGAGAAGTAAAATTTACAATCTTTCAAGAGGATTTACAATTTTCACCCAATATGTATGTATATGTTACCTTCAATTATGCTTCAGTTGACATTCAAACTCCATTTCACCTACTTTAGCCTAAGTGTCGATGTAGTATCATTAGCATTCATTGAAAAGATATGTAGCTCAAAGTTAAATAATTAAACTTTTACTTGGCAAATGAGATACAATAATTAATAGTTCACATGAGATTAACACCGGAGTCAGATAAGGCTATCTACTGTTCCCCTTCGTCTTTCTTCTAATGATCGACTCGCTTATGAAGACCTCAACATCTGAGGAAAAACACGGAATACAATGAACAGCTCAGAACCAATTAGACGATTTGAACTTCGCAGATGATCTAGCCCTCCTATAGCATACACATGAACAAATGCAGTTAAAGTCAGCCAATGTAACAGCAGTCTCTGCATCAGTAAGCCTCAACACACACAAGGGGAAAACCGAGATTCTCAAGTACAACATGCAGAACATTGATCCAATCATACTTGATGGAGAAACTCTGGAAGATGAAGAATCCTCCACGTACCTGGGAAGTATTATAGACGAACAAGGAGGTTCAGATGCAGATGTAAAAGAGAGGACTGGCAAGTCAAGGGCTGCATTACTACAATTGAACAAAATATGGAACTCAAAAAAACTGTCTCTCAACCAATATCAAAGTCACAATCTTCAATACGAACGTCAACACAGTCAGTTCTACTGTACGGTGCTGAAACCTCCAGAGCTACCGCAACCACCATCAAGAAGGTGCAAGTATTTATAAATAGTTGTCTACTCAAGATACTCAACATCCATTAGCCGGATACAATTAGTAACATCCTTCTGTGGGAGAGAACAAACCAACTTCCAGTTGAATAGGAAAGGAAATTAGGAAAAGACGATGGAAATGGATAGGACATACATTACGCAAATCATCAAACTGCATCACGAGGCGAGTGCTAACTTGGAATGGTGAAGGGAAGCGTAAAAGAGGAAGGTCAAAGAACACATTAGGTCGGGAAATAGCAGATATGAAAAAGATGAACAACAACCGGAAGGAGCTGGAAAGGATTGCTCAGGATAGAGTTGGATGTTAAATACTGGTGAGCGGCTTATGCTCCCTCTCAAGGAGTAACAGGCGTAAGTAAAGTAAGTAAGCAAATGAGATTACCAGTAATAAAACACAGGCTCTTTGATAAACATACTAGCTGGTCTCACAAAAATATACAGATTTTTCAAAACCAGAATTAAATATCATCGAGAAACAGAATTTTATTATTAGGATTTGCATATCATTTAAGACAATGCATTCTATAACAACAAAATTTTGTCTGTTATTGCATACAGATAACACAGTTATGATTTGGTGGATAATCATCAAAATCACAAGAAGGCAGTCTATTTTAATTGCCACGATTGCTATGTACACGAACTGTATGTATATATATATATATAACTCAATCTTATCGGGGGTTAGTCGCCGCTTGAATGGCTCGATTGTAATATTTCAGAATCCGAAACACTTTCGAATCTCTTAAGAAGCATCAGTTCCCTTAACGTTCTAAGTGCTCTCACTGATCAGTCTAATAATGTACAACTGATTATTGTGAATCAAGCTCAAAAAATTAATGTATTCAGAAATGGTTTGGTTTATTTTTTAGGTTTTCTGTAAGCACTTGATTTCTTCCCTGTATCAGACTTCATCTAATTGTCTATCGTTTTGCATCAAATCTGAAAATTCAGTATGAAAGTTTTATAATTTTGAAAGAAAATCATTCTTAATATAGATCTTAAACGTTTCATTAAAACCTACCCAGCGAAAATTTCTTGAACCCAGGTTTGTAGAGCACGTTTAGCTGAACCTCTTGCTTTAAGTGAACCAGGTGGAAGATCCAAAATCTTCAGTAGTAACTCTTCTTGTTCCTCAATCTTAATATAAGTAAAGCATGTGAAAATTGACAATAAATTTTAATTAGATATATTTTTCGTTAGTATAGAGTTGTACGGATTGTTGAGTTTTAACTGAGATCATAAACCGATAAATGGCAGTTCACCATTGAGAACTTGGAAGAACATGACGATCGTTTAGTCCTAGTATAGGACTTCTCAGAAGTGCACACTCACGATCTCGCATGCAGGACTCGAATCAAAGCTTTCAAGTCCTGCACATGGTCGTGAGGTTGAGTGTTTGCGTGTGAGACTGAAAATCCAATGGTTGAGTCTCGCGTGTGGGATCGTGACTGAACTCTGCTAAGAAGTCCCATACTAGGTCGAAACGACCGTCCAGTGTTTCCAGGTTTTGAATGGTGGTCTAATATTGATCGGTTGTTGATATCAATTAGATATATTTTGTAGTTGCACAGTTATAGCAGGCAAAAAGAATTTAACTGATTATGATTCAAATACATTATGTCTAAAATATATGACATGTAAACGCATAATAGATTTTGATATTTGTTAGGTTAAGATAGCTTGTATCACACATAGACTGTTGTTAGACAGTTATTAAGAATCAGGAAGCATTAAAAGACTGTTTCGTCTGAGTATTAATCTTCCCAATAACCTCTTCTAGTAATTTTATACCTCATAATGAGGGCATTACTTGCGACCGTTTATTAAGATTCAAACAACTAAAGTTTCCTACACAAAACCAATCTACATTCTTGCACAATAAACATGTATTATTACTGATGATAAGTATCTTAAGCATAATTTGACTAGTTTCTATTGGCCATCAGTAGAATAATTTCAATTATCAGAACATGCTTTTCCAATACGACAGTTTAATAAAATTTTGTTTATCAGTTTAGGGGTTGTGGAGATTGTTAAGTTTTTGATTGAGATCATGAACCGATTGATGTTAGACCACCATTGAAAATCTGGAAACACTGGACGGCCGTTTCGTCCTACTTTGGGGGTGGTGCACATCCCCGATTACGCTAGCGGGATTCGAACCCAGGGCCTTCAGTCTCGCGAGCGAACGATTAACCTACTGGACCACTGATCAGGCATCCAATGATGTTAATGTCTAACCCCAACCAATCCACGAAATCGCGCCACCATCTTCCATTGTACTGAGGTAGACACTTGTTTCTACCCGACACGGATTAGCTCCACTGGTCACGGCTTCTCACCAGAACTCCGAAACTGAAGGCCCTGGGCTCGGATCCCGCGAGCGGGATCGTGGATGCGCACTGGTGAGGAGTCCCACAATAGGACGAAACGGCCATCCAGTGTTTCCAGATTTTCAATGGTGGTCTAACATCAATCGGTTCATGATCTCAACCAAAATCTTAACAATCTCCACAACCCCCATACTGATAGTAAATGAATAATTGAATGTTCGGTGCGACTATGGACTATGGACGACCTTTGAGCGATGCTAAAGTGGTATTGAGAGTGTTCACCTAATAACTAGGACCCAATGAGGGTTAAGAACCTGTTTGAGGGATTAGAACTTAAGGTTAGAGATTAAATTTAGGGTTTTCATCACGAACTGACGTCAGCTATAATGCTAAAACTCTATTTAACCAAATGGATGAGTGAATTCCGCGCCAAAATCCGAAACCTGTTATCTTATACCTGATTGGTTTGTCTATAAATTATAGTCTCGTTGAATATTCTTTACACAATACGATCTCAGATACTTGAAAAATAAAAAAAGAGAATCAGAGGACTAACAAGGCATTTTGTAAATGTTTGTACGGAACTAGCTGTTACACTCAAAGATTTTTGAACTGAATAAATTACTTAATAAGCCAAATACACATTCAAATACTCTAATTACTGATATTTGGTTCGACATATGTTTGTAGTGTCAGTTACCATGTTAACCCCACATAACTTATTCTAGCTTGTGGATAGGCCAATTTATCCATTCTTCTTGAGTCATGTTTTAATCTTGTTACTTATTCACTTATCAACATTGACTGTGTTTATATGAGCGTATGTGTGTACATTGCTTATCCTATTCGTCACATGTCTGTAGCTTATTTTTGTGTGACTATAAATATTGATTAACGCTTGATTAAATGGAGTTGGTTCACACGCTTTCTCCACTGAGCATTATTTCGCTTCGCTCCCTTTTCTTCGCTTTCTTCGCTTCATTCGCTGCGATTCCCTGATTGTTTGTTCCGGACAACGAGTGTACAAAATGTATAGATTCGAAACTTTATTCTTGTATTTGACTTATTTAATTCCGTTATTCACTATAAGATCTAAGAAGATAATTATAAACGAGGATAGCCAGGATGTACAGTTTGACAACAATCACTGGAGTCAGATCCCGGATCATTAAATGTTCCTCAGATTTCAGTGAATGTTTATTAAATTTAATGAAATATTGACTCTGACTAGTTGCCTAGTGTATTCAGCTTAATATTGATTACTTGAACGAAAACATAATTACAACTTAACGAAAATTTATTCTACCTAGTCATCATATGAATGTCAAGTAAAAATATATCTGAAGGGGTTTTGTGGAGATTTTAGAAATTTCACAGATTGAAATCATGAGTCATTTGAAGCTAGACCACCATGGAAAACCTGGAAGCACTGGACAGCCGTTTCGTCCTAGTATGGGACTTCTCAGCAGTGCGCATCCACGATCCCGCACCCCGCGAGATTCGAACCCAGGACCTATCAGTCTCGCATCAGGCGCTTAACCAACTAGACCACTGAGCCGGCACCCAATGGTGAAATTTCTAAAATCTCCACAAAACCCCTTCTGATAATAATCATCTGCTCACTACTGACTGACTTCAAGAGATACTCCTGAAGTTCTAGTGAGAAGTCGTTACCAGTGGAGTTCAACTAGGTCTGTTGTGAGATAGGAACTTACTGAAGACAATGATATATGGTGGCGCAACTTCGTGGATTGGCTGAAGTTAGACATTAACAAGATTGGACGCCAGCTCAGTGGTCTAATTGGTTAAGCGCCTAGCGCGAGACTGATAGATCCTGGGTTCGAATCGCGCGGGGCGCGGGATCATGGGTGCCCACTACTGAGGAGTTTCAAACTAGGACGAAACGGCTATCCAGTGCTTCCAGGTTTTCCATGGTGGTCTAGCTTCAAATGACTCATGATTTCAATCAGTGAAAAACATATCTGTATGAAACCTGACTAAATCAATGATGGAGAATTACAAGTCTTTTTTTGTTTTTGTAAATTTGAAGTAAAAGAAGTAGAGAAGTAATATAAAATGACGAAATCCATAAATTAGCTGATTGTAAATTTGTTAACTTACTTGGAAATATAGTATAATAACCCATATGAGACCAAGAACAATAGCTGGTTTCCCGTCAGCAATATCAGTCGGATTGACATTGACTAATTTAACCTATTTATGATACATATGTTATTAAAAGAAACTTTTAAAAGAAATAGTTCATTATGCAGTCACAAAAGAAAGATAACAGGAATAAAATCAATGTATATACTTCATTCTGATTGATACCAACTAGGTAGTCTTTGATAACCTACACTGTGATTTCGAATAAATTACTACATTGTGATTGTTGACTTACTCAAGCTAGTGACCATATTTCAGGTTGATCGATAAGATCTAAACATCATGATAGTCATTCTTATCAAGTAATTAATTAGTTTACCTTCAGTCTATTACAATTATCTGTTCGGTAGTTTTTATAATTGGCTTTATACTTCTCAACTGTTGGGTATTTCCGGATAGGATTATTTGGATAGCTGTTCTTAATACTCTAGATGAACAGTAACATTTAATCATTGTACTGTAAATGGTTTATATTTAGCAAACCAATAATACGATTGTGATAAAGAATTTGGTTACAAATACAAATGTGTCTCTAACTCTGATAGTTAGCACATTCATAATAGTTGTTATTCAGCTGATTTTTTTTTCACTTTAACTAACAAGAATACGTTGTATACCGAGTGAAACCTGACAGATCACATCATATCACAGGCTGGCATAGTAAGTAAGATTTCTTTATAGTGTAAGTAGGCTAAGAGCCTCACCAAAGTAGTCCCACCTAAATGTTCTTTACTGGGTTGATCCAGACATATATATATTGCAAGCACCATCATACCTCCATTACCAACGAAATATCTGTTATAACTGTCATATCTTCTCACCCAAATTAGTTTTATTGACTAAGCGTAATTTCATGACCCCACCATTAGAAACATAACTAATGCATAATAAGAGGATAGATGGACAGTGCCATCTGATTTTTAATTAGTACTTGTAAAAATGTTTTTAGTTTATATAAACCATTTTTATTGTGAGTAATAGTGAGGCTAGACGCAGGGTATTAAGGTATGATGACAAATCCGTTGATGAAGTTGTGAATTTTCATCGAATGAGTTGGTTGGGCCAAGTGTTACGTATGCTTAAACACTGTTTACCATGACACGCAATGAGTCATGTTGGTAGATGCAGACTACGTGATTGGGGTCCACGTCACTATCGTAACCAATGGTTGGCGACTCTTGGTGACATGGTTCAGAATCGATCACAATGGAGTAGGTATATACACTCTTTGTTTGCCGTTAAACCGTGAGATTAAAATGGCGTTGTATCCTTCTTTCTATAAACTTTTTTTTCTTCCTGTACTTTATCCTTATACACAATCTTTCTTTGATACATTTCTACCATTGAAGTGACTACTTCTACGAATTTGGTGTTCATCTTGTTGTGCTAATGAGGTATGGCAACTTGAACCGAGACATATATGTGCCTGATCCTACGTTGTAGCCAAATGACTGAATATAATAATGCTAAGCATGGTGTCGTCTGTTAAATGAACAACCTTTTTTTGAAATCTTTACAAAAAATTAGATACAACCTGAATGTTCACTATATTGTAATGAATTTCCACTTACATTCCTTGAATGTAAAAATTCCAATGCAGTTTTAATGTTTGATAGACAATGTATCCGATTCATTTGAACCCGACTTTCTGCACGCTTTGTAAAGAGGAAGAAAGTTGAAAACACAATTAAAGAGAAGTTCAATATGGAACGAAAAAATAAAATAGGTGGATGTTTGCATGTCATACGTTGCTAATTGAGATTTATATAATCACTGTATATTAACACTATACCAGTCTTATCATTACTAATAAACAACCAGTAATTTATAGACGATCCATTTCATTTACAGTTATTTCTGAACAGAATAATGATTGTTATTAATAGTTGTTGATAGCTTTTTCATAGACTACCTGTTCAGTCAATTAATAAAATCCGGTCTTACCATTTGACTAACCGATATAATTATAAGAATAGGTGTTTTTGAAGATTGTAGTGATTTTAATAGTTGAACTCATGAGTTGATATAAGCTAGACCACCATTGAAACATAAAAGCACTGAACGGACGTTTCGTCCTCAATATGGAACATTTCAATCCTGGATTCGAGTCCTGCATGTGGAATCGTGACTGTGCATTGCTAAGGAGTTCCCTACTAACCAATATAACATTGAATCAAATTTTTGACAATAAATAGTGATGTTTTTCTTTCTTCAGTGTAAATCATTAAAAGGGTTTTAAACGATTCGGATTAGAATAGACATTGTACATCTCAATAGAACATTTCTACACTAGAGTGTCTAAGAATAGGAAGTGAAAAGTAATTAACCTTTGTCATCATATAGAAAATACATCTAGTTCAAATTACACTGAAGAGCTGGTTTTTCCTGGTTATTTTTATTCTGTGATGTATAATACATTGGAAGATAGTTCTCTTCATGTACTAATATTAAATAAAGGTTACATTTGTTTTATGTTACTTTCATACTCTATAACATTAAGCATCCGTAACTTGGAGGTTTAAATTTCATGACGTTTGTGTTAACCTACGGCCACAGAAAATAAAATGACCTTCGCTTTTAGATTTGATAATGGATAAGAACTAACGAGATTCAAACCCTACATAATATGGGGTTGTGGAAATTATTGAATTCCATTGAAATCTTGAACCGTTATAAGTTGGGTCACTATGGAAAATCTAGAATCATTGTGTTTTCAGGTTTTCAATAGTGATCTAACTTAAATAAATTCATGATCTTAATGAAGTAGAAACTGTTCGATGTATGTAATAATTCACTCAGTGTTCGATGCTATATACCTTTAAACTTGTCTTGGTTGGGAATTTTTTATAATAACCTGAAATGTGAATGCAAGCGAACGTGATAAGAGTTTCAAATATAACATTTTCGTATATAAACTACATGTTATAACTTGTGGCCATGTGCCCTACTAATGTATGAAGTAATTATACCGCCAATTAGAGAACAGTGAATGGTCGACTGGACCAATGACGCATAAAACCCGTACAAGCAGTCTAGAGTCCTTACCGGTCCTGTTTCCCGCTTAGCCCTGCCTATTAAGTTCAGAACACCAATCTCAGTCTCTACAATATGAATAATGTATTTCAAATATACTGGGTTTATATGTAAATCAAACAGACCACCTCACACCACAAATAGAAAACAACATTTGTACAAGATCAAGCCAAAAGTGGTTGTGAATGTGGGAGACTGTAATTACTAGACTGGGCAGAACTCAAGAGCGGTAAATCGTAGGGTCAAAATAGTGCTTAAATTAAGAGGAACATGAATATGCATAGGTTAGCTGCTTAACAATCATACAATAAAAAGAATATACATATAGTATTAGTCCAGAAATAGATTCCAACAGTTACCATTCATTATTCACATCGAGATATAACACTTCATATACTTTTCAATTTGATAGATGTTGTCACAGTTTCTCATGAAAGATATTTTGTTTATACTGAATCACATCAGTCAAATATTTAATTAAATAAGAAGAGAATGTTGATGATTAACTATATACATTCATCTCTGTTTGTATGGGACTTTTAGTAAAATCATTCCATATCTTTATAGTTGAAATTATTTATTTATTTTAACACATAGATATTGGTACAACGAGGCACTAAATACATATGCGCAACACAGATCTCATTTGATATATGTGAGGGCTGTGATACTGAACAAGTACCCAAACAGAAGCAGGTGGTTTTCCCAGGGAGCCACACCCGTAGCCTTTGACCTGAAGGTCGAAGATGGACTCTCCATGTACACCAACCCGGTTAAGGCGCCGGACATTCGCTTTCCTTCCTCTCAATTTCCTAAACAACACCCCCGCCACGAGAAGGCAGTGAGTAGGGCTTCCCTGGCAGAGGCTATATACGCATGACCATGTGAGAGCATTTGGGGAGGGAGAGCGGACTCTCCCCACTCTCGGCCGTACTAGGGCATTTGGTGGCAATAGTTGAGATTATGAGTCAATTCAAGCTAGACCATCATGAAATACCTGGAAGCACTGGACGACCATATCATCCTACTGTGAGACTCCTCATCAGTGCGCATCCACGATCGTGGATCACAACTATGAAAATTACTATGATATCCACAGAACCCCTTCTGATATCATTCCATATCTCACAGAAATCTATCATTAATATATTTTTTTTCTTTTAAATTAAACGTTTTATTGATGACTTAATTCATCTTCCTATAATTTATGGCTATAAATTTATATCATATGTGTCTTTATATTGAAATGAATATCCGATTATATTACCGTTTTCTTTTGTTATTGAAAGAACATTCATTCATAATGATCAGAATGTCCAACTAACTGTTAATCAAATGACTAATAATTATAAGAAGAAGGAGAAGAAGAAGATTCATTTCTTTTATGTGACAAAGGAATTTGTCAAACTTGATTTATAGAAAGTACAAATGTTGATCATATAAACTTTTTTCATTGATTCATATCATCTATTCATTTATAATATGACAGGTTGAATTAAACAATCAAAGTTTATTCGATCAAGTTAAGAACAGTTATGTGTAAGATTCAGCAAAGCAAATATTATCAGTATGAGATTGTGGAGAGTACAATTAAACACTTAACCGTCTTCACAACCCCATACTGATAATTATCATGTGCTCATTAGTGACTAGGTTCATGAGAGAATTCTTGGAGTTCTGGTGTGAAGCCGTGACTAATAGTGCTAATCCATGTCAGATATAGAGATAGTTATCTACCTCAAACAGGTAAAATATTGTAATTTTGTATTAAGTATACACTACGATTTATTTGAACATAGGTTAATTGTTCAAAACATTTGTGTTTCATATAGGACACTAAAACAGAGCAAATTTGATGGAGTTTTGTTCTCTGAGCTGGATAGTTTGGTTGTGGAACTTTCATCGTTCTTCTGAATGACATCATCCGCACAAACTTCAGATAGAAGTGAAGTGTTCGAATTTCTCCATATGCGTTTCACAGCTTGTTCTGTACACCTCGACGTTGATTGGTTCTTATTGACCATGAGCAAACTATTCAGCTCAGAGAACAAAACTTCATCAAAATCATCCACCTGAGCTACAAATCTTCTCCACCATCTCACAGAGTAACTTTCTTAAAAAGATTAATAATTTTAAAAAGTCTTAACCTGATAAATGTCATTTAAAGTGAGATTTTGATTAATAACAGGCTATTTTCATTCAAATGAATGATCATTATAAATATACCTTACAAGAGGGTAATTTTACATTACTTTTCAAGAGAACCAGACACCATTTAAGCACTTTACAAATTGAACAGTACACCTCAGTCCCGTGGTTCAATTACCGTATTTAAACCATAACCTATATAAACATTAACTATCTTTAACACAAAATATAAGTCTTATTTACTTTATTGTAACAGAGGAATTACGAACGGATAAATTTAGAGCCTCTTGACGGGGTTATTAAAAACTATTGATCTCTCAATCATTCTTTGTGTTTAAATGAATCTGCGTCAACAGCATTAATCTCCAGCATACAAAACCTCTGAAGTGTTCGATGCATTATTTGCTACCCGGTATTTAACTTTAATTGTGAATATTATGGTTTAAATGACGTTAATTAGACTTATTAGACATAACTTGGTTGGATTGAAACAGTTATTTACTGAAAAGAATGGTGGATGGTCGGTCAATGTTGAGGATTGTTTGATGTTAGATATTAGCAAAGTTGATCTAGAGGTCAAGTATTCGTCCGCGACTTAAGAAGCTGTGTTTGAGTCCTGTATGTAGGATCATGGATGGGCACTGGGACGAAACGGCCATCCAATGCTTTCTAACTTAGACTGTTTCATGATTTCAAATAAATTTAATCTGTTGATTAGTGATATAAAAGGCATTCTACTAGATTTTTTGAGTTATAGTTCTGTGTGATTTAACTAATCCTAGTGGATGGTTTACTTTATTTGAAACCGAACAGTGCAAAGCATTTAACCATTTCTCTTTCTTAATTTGAAAATCCCTAATAGTTGTGTATAGGGTGTAATGAATTCAGAAATAGGCCAAACTTTGTCTTCTGACATTAATAAGAATTGAATAAAACAAAAAGTACCGAAGATATAAAGAACGTACAATTACCATTCTATTTCAACACCAACTTAACAATTCAAGTTCTTCATTAGCATTTAGCTTATACTTGATCCCTGACATGACCCTAAATGTTCTACTACAATATATTTATAAATGATGTTGCTGGAGTTTTGTTCTCCACCAAAATCATACACCTGAGCTACAAATCTTCTCCGTCATCTCATAGATGATGTTATACTCATATCCATATTTAATTACTAGTGATGATCTATTAATGAAGGCGCGGATCGGCAAAGCAAGAGCAGCATATTTACGACTGAGGAACATCTGGAGCTCAAAGCAACTGTCAACCAACACCAAGGTCAGGATTTTCAATACAAATGTCAAGACAGTTCTACTGTATAGGGTGGAAACCTGGAGAACTACGAAAGCCATCATTCAGAAAATACAGGTGTTTATTAACAGTTGTCTATGCAAAATACTTCGGATCCGTTGGCCGGACACTATTAGCAACAACCTACTGTGGGAAAGAACGAACCAGATCCCATCGGAGGAAGAAATAAGAAAGAATCGCTGTAAGTGGATAGCACACACATTAGGAAGAGCACCCAACTGTATCACAAAACAAGCCCTCACATGGAATCCTGAAGGTCAAAGGAAAACAGGAAGACCAAAGAACACATTACGCCGAGAAATGGAGATGGACATGAGAAAAATGAACAAGAATTGGATGGAACTAGAAAGGAAGGCCCAGGACAGAGTGGGTTGGAGAATGCTGGTCACCGGCCCATGCTCCATTGGGAGTAACAGGCGTAAGTAAGTAAGTAAGTAAGATGATCTATTAAAAAATAACCAAAGTAAGAAATGATATATTACTTTATCAAATATAAAAAAAGCTTACTAGTTTCTCTCCTGATAAAACTTCTAAAATTCTTATTAACACTATTCCATTCTTGATATCTTCAAATAAATCTTGAACTTTCAATGGTGGATTCGCCTAAAGTGAAATTATAATCATCAATAATTGAATGGATAACTCGAAACCTTAATAACAATGAATCACATATTTTAATGTACAAAGTTTGTGTTTGATCACTCCTAGAATACTGAATGTTTATTCTTAGTAGTGCGATGATAACGGACATATTAAGTCTGGAATCAGTACAGAGATGATTTACACTTTGTATTCTTGGAATCTTAACTTATAATTCTAGATGTAATAAAATTGGGCTAGATCCTTTATGGAAGAGGATACTCAAAATTAAATCTTATCCTTTACTTCAAAATACTTCATAAACTATCCTTTACATTCAATCAAATGATTCAATATGCAGACACTTCTCATTACGACATCCCTAACTCCTTGTCACTAGTGAAACAAATTTATTCTAAATCATCTCTTCATATGAATTACTTCACCTGTAAATTTTCTAGACTCTGGAATAACCTACCACAATCTATCCGTACAATAAAATCACTCCCATTATTTGTTCGTTGCATCGATGTATACTGCTCCTCTGAAAATGCATTGAATGTTCTAGCACCTGTAAGTGTATCTCGTTCCACTATAGGAACTTTAAATGTTTAGCCATTTTTATTAGTGCATTTCCTAAGTTAAACCACCCTACTTGCTGTCACTTTATGGTAACACTGTCCCTAGCAACCTCAACTAATTTGAACAATATCTAACGTTAACAGTATATTACTGTGTCACATGACACATGAATTTCGGTAGACCTCATTGACATACTTTGCTGCTCTCTGTTTTCATTTTACTTTCTCTAGTTGTAGATAATTATCATTAATTCGATTTGGCACATGAAATGACCTTAATTACTCCGTTCATAATCAACAGGTTGTCCATTTAAGAAAAACTAAAAGTTCCCGGCTGATGCATTGGATTGCTGTTATACATGTACTACCTAAACAATTACTGAACTAGTATACTTAAAACGTTCTTCTATCACATGTTTGTTCTGTATATCTAATGTTCCTCTTTATATCAAATTGATCATGCCTATAAACTGGCGTGAATTCTGTAATTATTATTTTCAGAATGTATTATATTATCATGTTTATAAACTTGAACATCTTTAATGGTGTATAATAAGAAATAGGGAATGATAATAGAACGAATAAACATAGTTTTAATCTATAAACTAAATAATTATAGGGGTTATCCAATAATCATTACTACGATCCATAACGTTTAATACCACAATCATAATAAACTAATGGAACATTGAATGTCAAATTATGCAATAATGATTTGATATTATATACAACAAAAGTGTAAAATGTATACTTCGCGTTCATAGATGAGTACTACATACAAATCATAATAAATTGGAGTGTCACTAATATAAATCATCAATGTCATTCTTTACAATAAGCTATATAGGATATTATTTCATAACATATACAATGACGCTTATATCAGTCTTATATCAGTAGTATACATGATAGTTATGAATAAGTATGAATAAAATAAATGTGATCACTATTTATAAACTTACATTACTCAAATATGTGTTTAACCAATTGGTAAATGTTTTCTTCTGTACACGTTCTTGTTCGCCTAGAGTAAAAATGAAACCATAAAATAAATTATGAACAGAGTAGTCACAAGTGGGGAGCCGCATTCCTACAATTGAACAACATATGGAAATCAAAAGAACTTTCAAACAATATCAAAATGAGGATATTCAATACGAACGTCAACACAGTCAGTTCTACTGTACAGAGCTGAAACTTGAAGAACTACAACAACCACCATCAAGAAGGTACAAGTATTTATAACTGGTTGTCTACGCAAGATACTCAAGATCCATTGGCCGGATACAATCAGCAACAGTCTATTGTGGGAGAAAACAAACCAACTTCCAGCTGGAGAGGAAATTAGGAAAAGACGATGGAAATGTATAGGACTTACACTACGCAAATCGTCAAACTGCATCACGACACAAGCCCTAACTTAGAATCCTGAAGGGAAGCGTAAAAGAGGAAGGCCAAAGAACACATTAGGTCAGGAAATAGAAGCAGTTATGAAAAGGGTGAATAACAAATGGTAAGAGCTAGAAAGGATTGCCCAGGGTAGGGTTTGATGGAGAATGCTCCTCCACGAGGAGCATATTACTATGAAGCTGATAAACTATCAATTTTTAGCTAGTCAGTAGAACGGGGAAGTATAAAACTATTGATTCTTATTAAGAAAAATAGTGAGTATTATTCTTTGTTAGATTTCTTTGAAGGTTTGCTCAATTTTGTGAATGGGCTGACTTCATTTGAAGAAATAGCAGCTATCAAGGGAACATTAAGAAGTTCGGTTATTCTTGTATAGAGTTCTTCAGTGGTACACTTCTAAACTTACGTGGGATAAAACAGGAGATTGAAAGCTCCAATTATCAATAAACTGCCTAGCTGTTAAGTTTAAACTCCGTAATCCACTTTATACAATGTCAGTTAAAATACAGTGATAATTTGATATATCATTATTAGTTTAGACTTCATATACCATAGAATTTATGGGTCCCTATTGGAACTTTAGGATATACATATCAATACAAGTCACTAATGAGTTCTGAATCGTCCTTTAATTAAATTTCTCATGGGATTTTGACGCTTTCCTTTATATTAGATGACCCCGTAAGGCGGTGTCGTGGATGCGCACTGCTGAGGAGTCCTACAATGGGACGAAACGTCCGTCCAGTGTTTTCAAGTTTTACATTGTTGTTTAGCTTCAGTTGACTCATAATTTCAACTACTGAAATTACTACAATCTCCACAACATCCCTCCTGACACATATGCTACTTAATCAGAGTAACAAATTGAATTACTGAACTGAATTACGGTAACTAAATCCATATTTTTCAGACTTTACATAACTCAGTAATACAAGAAACTATTCATACTCATATGAATATGAAAATGTATCAGTGTAAAAATTGGAGCTTCACAAAAGATTTGAAATTAGGTCATTTAACCTTGTAATAAGAGATAACGTGGAGACGTGTTCTTTTTTCATTGAGAAATTGTTCTCCTGTTTTCAGTGTACAGTTACATCACAATGAATAAACTTCTGGATAACTAAGTTGTAAGCTTAGATCTTAATTTATTAATTTCTGGTTGACGACTTAGATAGTATAACTAGTCCTTAAAAATAAAGTATAGCTTAATGACAAATGCATCGATCTATGTTTGTTTATTGAGACACTTATAACAACCCAATTATAACTGACGATCAGATACTTTAACACTTGACACTGATCGGCTATTGTACGTTTCTGAATGAGGTTTAGAGTTATCCAGGATCGGAGCATAAGTTAGAGATGTAAATACAGGTAGCCGTGCAAAATAAAGAAACTTCAATTAACTCTCTGTAAACTATTTAAACCTTACTCTGAATCCTCCTTAGTTTAGACATTCAGTAACGGAAATTAAGAACGAATCCCAAATCTCTTCTTTTGAAATGGAATTTTTACACTTGTTAATTGATTTGCTACACACAGTTACAAACCTTCCACAATGATAATAATGATAATAAAATGTACAACTTCATTCAAAACTTGTCTATTAATGAGTGTATCACTGACTTCTAAAACATTTTTTAATGAAATCTCTATTAACAACATCACCATCTCAGTCAGTTTTCAATACAGCGTTCAATCGAAACACGACCGTATAGGAGATAAATTAACTTTTAATGTGCTAGCTTTTACCTAACTTATGTTCAAAAGTCTTGTTGGTAAATTTTCTATCTTTGGAATAACTCCCTATTGACTATTGAATGAAGGTTCAAATTAAATACTTAAATGAGCAAGATTATTTGATTATGAACATAAATATCAATCCATAGTATTGTCACGTAACTGCCCTCCCCTTGAAGAGTTCCATAATAGGAAGATAAAATTGTACAGGGTTCGCTAGTTTGGAATGATTTTTCTAACTTCAGTTAATCTGTGATATTGACTATTGGAGGAGTTTAAACTAATAAGCCAGAGTTCAGTAGTCTACATATTCAAGTTTAATCATATTGTAGCATCGTGAGATCATTACAGTTTTTCAATATAGGTACATATATGGACATTGACATGCACTGTATAAATATCTTAAACGCCAAGTAAACAACTATCTAATCATCTATGACGTTTAGTAACTCTTCGTTTAACGTTAGTAAGTAGTTTTCACGGTTGAAATGAAGGGTCGATCTAAGTTAAACCATCATAGAAAACCTGGAAGCACTGAATGATTGTTTCATCCTACAATCTTCACAAATCTCCATATTGATTAAAGTCTTAAAATATCTGAATAACTAGTAAAGAAAAAAATGAGGACTATTTTAAAAGCGATATAAACCTGAATATTTTATCGTTATTTCCAAACACATATCATTTTTATATATAAAAGAGGTTCTCGATGTCAAACTGCTATGTTTGAAGCGATTACGATTTTCACCTAGTCTGCGAACGGAACAAATACTCTGTGACCAAAGATCAATAAACTAGCTATTATGATGCATCCCAGACACGTTAACTAGAGAGAGAAGTTCAAGTTCGAAACGGGGAAATGTATTCCTCAAGCATCCAGAAACACGAGCAATAACAACATGCAAAAATCAAACGTATATATACAGCAATAAATTGTCCTTGGGAAGCATTACAAAATAGCACAATAAACGATACAATGAATCAAAAGCTTTTAAGACTATCCCAAGTGGGAAATACGAAATGAAGGTAAAATTGAGCACTTCTGACGCGAAAACAAGAGATTAAAATTTTTAAAATAAAATTACAAAAATGAGGTATTTACCAAGTGAGTTCTGCGGATTTAACATCCCCAACACAGACGTGAGTAGTACTACAATGAGATGTTTATTTTATTTAATTGTTGAGTTCATGAGTCAATTAAAGCAGGACCCGAAAGTTCTGGGTTCAAATCCCGCGAGCAGGATCGTGGATGCTCACTATTGAGGAGTTCCACTCTAAGATGAAACGGCCGTCCATTACTTCCATGTTTCCCATAGTTTTCCAGCTTTAAATGACTAATGAACTCAACTATTAAATTACTACGATCTCCACAAAAAACCCACTTCTGATATTATTTTATTGCAAATCTAAATGAATTACCAAGTTACATCATTCACTAAATTGTATAAAAATCCATTCCACAGTTACTCACTTCATACCATACAACCAATAATATTAATTTACTAGATTACACAGAAATACTTTACAATTCTCAAATAATCTGCTTTTAAAAATAGCATAAACTATAGAACTCTTTTAAACCTTTGATCATTGAATGTTATCTGAGGATCCCGCAAAACAAATCGGACTTAAGTTGAAAATATGTATTACTAAACTCTGACTAAATTTAATAATATATAGTTCATGATTCAGTTGAAGCCAGACCACTATGGAAAAGATGGAAGCACTAGACGGCAGTTTCATCCTAGTGTGGGACTCTTCAGCAGTGTGCATCCGCGATCCCGCCTCTCGAGATTCAACCCCATGACCTATCAGTCTCGCGCGCGAGCGCTTAACCATTAGACCACTAAGCTGGACGGCATCGAACAGTGTTAATGTCTAACTTCAAATAACCCACGAAATTGAGCGACACATCAGGATTTGATAACCGTTTTGTGATATAATTTAACATTGATTCTACTTAACAATTATCTTATTTAAAGAAATAAAAGCAACTAAACATTACAAATTCAGTACATACTCTGAACCTTGAAAGTACAAAGTTGAATACAGTTAAACATACTACACAACTGCCAAAATTTTGACCTAATTATTAAAATCTGATTGATAGAACTACTGTGGTACAATGTTTCGGTGAACTTAGAGATAACCTTGAGTCCCCAAATGCTCTGGTATGGATGAAGGGTGGGGAGAGTCAGCTATCTCACCCTCTCTCTCTCTCGAAATACTCTCACATGGTCACGTGTATATAGTCACTGCCACGAAAGTACTACTCATTACCTTCTCACGACATTGCTGTTATTTATAAAATCGGGAGGACGAAAAGCGAAGGTTCGGTGCTTTAATCGGGTTGATGGACACAGAGAGTCTACCCAGGGGAGTTCAAAAACCATGATTCCAAACCAACAGTGCATATGGACTCCAATATCTTAAATGGAACGAAAGGCGTATGAAACAATCGTTGGTCACTGGCTACCATGGGACTAAATCCCCTAAAGTTGCTTCACTACTTTATGGATCAAACCTTTAGGTCAAAGGCTCGGGATGTTGTCCACTAAAATAAACCACCTACTTCAGTTTGGGCACCCATGCATTATCATAGCCGACACACAAATCAAGTGTTATATATACAATAATGTAATCAGACTACATAACAAAAACTCAACGAACTATTCAATATAATCATTTTAAAAACCTTCCATAGAATATTCAAAAATGAAGAATATTTAAGCAAAAATCCAAATGGATTTTCGCTTCTATGAGTTTCGCACTATACTTCAGATACTTATTGAATCCCTTCAGTACAACTGGGTGCTCACTAGATTTCAACAGTTTAAAAATCCCCCAGAGACTACTCAAAAATGAACAATA